GAATTTGTGGGTAAATATATAAATTAATGTTGCTAGTTGGGGAGTTTAGGACAAGGAAACAGAGTCTAAAAATTGAAGCCACACTGAATCATAGAATCCCTACATTGTGGAAACAGCCATTTGGCCCATCACGTCTGCACTGAACCTCCGAAGAGCATCACATCCAGATCCACCCCCACCCCTACTCTATCCCTGTAACCTTGCATTTCCCATGGCTAATCCACTAGCCTGCACAGCCTTAGACACTTTGGGCAATTTAGCATGGCCAATCCACCTAACGCGCATGTCTTTTGGCTGTGGGAGGAAACTGGAGCACCCAGAGAAAACCAACACAGTCACAAGGAGAATGTTCAAACTCCACACAGACAGTCACCTGAGGCTGGAATTGAACGCGTATCCTTAGCGCTGTGAGGCAGCAGTGCTAACCAATGAGCCACTGATGTTTCAAGATTGAAGTTAGGAAAACTTCTTGAAGAAACTTGGAATTTTCTTTTGCAAACACTTATTACAGAAATAACATTTTTATAGCATTCCTTCAGTAATATAACACCTCAAGTCCCTTCTCAGGGTCATTATAAAACAAAATATGACACTTAGCCAAATAATAAGATATTAGGTCAAATCACTAGAAATCTGGTCAAAAAAGTCAGCTTGTTTTTAAAGATTGAAAGTGAGGGAACTAGAAGGAAAGGTATGAAAAGGAAATTCCAAAGCTTAGAATCTAGGCAGCTGATGATACAGTCACAAATAGGGTATGATTAAACTTTGGGATGCTCAAGACTTCAGAATTGAATGAGGGCAGATATCTCAGGTCTGTGGGCTGCATGAGATTACAGCGATAAGGAAAATTGAGTGCTTGGAGCACGGCCCAGGACAAAGGAGGGGGCTACGTCAAGGGCCAATAATCTGGACTCAAGGAGGTCTGTTGTGCTGAGGTTTGGAGTGTGGCCACTGTGCTCAGCTAAGTGGCTGGGACTTGGAGGACCTCCAGGGACAAAGATTTCCGTCCCTGCACCTGCCTTGAAGGGATTTAAAAATAAAAATGAGAATTTTAAAATCAAAATATTTAATTGGAAGCTGATATAAATCAGAGTAGAGGAGTCAGAGATAAACAAGGCTTGATGTCACTCAGTTACGAGGAGAGCATTAAGTTGATCTTAGGTCTACAGAGGGTAATAAATTGGACAGTTGTCAGGAGTGAACTGACATTGTCAAATCAAGAGATAACAAATGGCAGTAGGACGGATTCGGTACAGCAGATGAGATGAGAGGGGGAAATCAGTTGACATTACAATATGGAAATATGACATATTAATGATAATTAATTGTTAATTTTACATCTTGTAATGAAGCCACTTCATATTTCATTGAAGATTGGAGTTTGAAAGGATTGTGGAAAAAATGCATTTACTTCATTATCTGTGAATATCTCGAGTCGGTTTGCCAAAATATCTAGAAAGCCTTTGAGACATTGAAACTTCTTTTTTAAATTCATATTCTTGGAAATCATGTTTCTTCAGATAATCGCATGAATTCACTTCAGGGAAATATCTGACTTTCACAATTGGATTCTGTGGTTGTTCTGTTTGAAGTGTTTAGGGTTTTGAGTTTGTTTTGGGACTTTTCCGTTGAAGAAAGCCTACTCCAGAAAATGCTACCTTTTGTCTCCTGTTTCTGAACAGTGCTGAATTTAATGTGCAGCCTGATAGTTCTTCTGGAAGAGACTAAAACTTCTCAATATTTTATTTCCTGAGCAAGCTGTGCCTGCCAAGACCCAAGAGCCAACTATGCATGAATAGTGATTTAATCACAGACGTTGGAACATCCATGCCTTATCCATTTGGCTTCAAGAATAACCACCATTGTCCAGAAAGTTTTTTTTAATGTGGAGCACTGGAGAAAGAAACATATTTCCCCCATTATCTGAAGTGTAGGTGTGTGTGTGTGTGATTTGGGTGATTTGGAGGGGTAACATTTGTATTTTCATGTTACGAATTGTAAGTGTTAACCAATTCTGTATCATCACTGAATTTGTTTTTAAGATAATTAACAAACAGAAACAAGGAAACTCACCAGACCTGGCAGCATCTGTGAAGAGAAAACAGAGCTAACATTTAGAGTCCAGTGACCCTCCTTCAGAAATAGAAGCAGCTAGGAAAAGGTGTTATTTATGATGATTACAGGGCTGGGGGAAGGAATGACCAAATGAGTAGAGATAGAGCCCAGTGAGAGAGAGAATAAAGGGTGGGCAGAGAAAGGGATTGTTGATAGTAAGCCAGGGAAGATGAGAAGGTAGGTAAGTGATAATGTGGACTATGAGTAGATGAAAATGAGTTAGCTGTGCTGGAAATAAATCTGCGGTTGCATGGGTAGGTAATAAAGAAGGAAGGAAGTGTTCATAGTCTGAAATTGTTAAATTTGATGTTGAATCCTGAAGGCTAAGGTACCGAACAGAAGATGGTGTTGTTCTTTCAGTTTGTGCTGAACTTTGCCAGAGCACTGCATAGGCATGAAACATAAAAGTTGGCATAGGATTGCATGGGAAGGTGTGGGGAGATGCTGAGGAGTGGACCGACGTGTCCCAGAGCGGGTGGTCCCTGCAGGATGTTGACCAACGAGGGGAGGGGAATATGTGTCTGGTGGTGGCATCCTTCCAGAATAGGCAAAAGTGGCAGCTCTTGATCCTTTAGATGTGGAGTCTGATGGTAGTATCCCACTGAGTGAGGCATAAATGCCACCTTTTACCAGCTGCTTCTTGTTCTGAAGAAGGATCACTGGACTCCAAATGTTTACTCTGTTTCTCTCCACAGATGTTGCCAGAGTTTCTCCAGCAACTTCTGTTTACACTTGCTTTAGATCTCCAGCATCTGCAACTGTTTTAGTCTATTCGATGGGTCTTATTGTTCAAAGTCCAAAATAGAGAAAGGATAACATTAGCCATTTTGGGAATTTGGTTAAGTATTTTTATTTTATGTTGTGACTGGTGGAGTAGTGAAACAAGAATGACAGTGCACTCCTCCCCTCTCTGTCATAACATAAAAGTAGGAGTTTGTCTGTGATATCCAGTGCAGATAATGTTCAACTGGAAGTGGGTAGCAATACAAAGGATGAAAGGAAATACCAGTTTCTTGTGCACTATGTCAAAATAACATAGGCATTTGGTTAGACTTGTCTGAAGATGGTTACTTTTTCTAATCTCCCAGGAATAAATCTTCCAAGTCAAGGTTATTAGAATGGGTGGACAATTTGAACTTAAAATTAAAAGCAAGGGCTGGAAAAGCACAAGTATTTGAGACAGTAGCACGACATTTGAAACTGGAAGAAGGGCAAAGGAAAACATCTAGCAGTTCTGTAGAGTTAATGAGAACTGGTTTGCCGGTGAAAAAAAATTGAATAGTAAGTAGAATTAGAAATGAAGGATATTTTGAATTTTTAAGGAAAGGAAAGTACATTTCAGAGAAGTTAAAAAGTTAGTCATGGAATTTAACATGAGGAAAAAAGATATTGTTTGAAACTCAAGAATATAGACCCAGTTTCCACAATCTCTCATAAGGCAATCCACTATTCCAAAGATTAATCTGGCAAACCTTCGTTGCACTCCATTTATGGTAAGTATATATTTCCTTGGTTAAATTGACCAAAATGGTATATCATAGTCCAAGTGAGGTCTCACAAAGGTTCTGTACAGCAAGATATCTTTTCTTCTATACATAAATTTGCTTGAAATAAAGACTGCCCTACAATTTGCCTCCATAATTATGTGCGCACCTGCATGCTAGATTTTAGTGACTCAAGGAAAAGGACACCCAGATCCTTTTGCACAGCACTTTCCAACCTCTCACCATTTAAAAACAATTCTGCCTTCTTTTTCTGCCAACGTTAATAAGTTACATTCCACCTGTTCTGCAGTCGGCCTAAGACAGACATGTTACCCACTGTACAAGTAAGCCCTCTGCTTCGGCAGTGTTACAGACCTCAGAGCTCAACTTCAACAATTTCACTTATTCCATTTTGATTACACCCTTACACAGGGGACAGCTGAACTGGATAGTATTTTATGTTCTATAAATTCATAGAATCCCTACAGTGTAGAAACAGGCCCTATGGCCCAACAAATCCACACCAAACCTCAGACCATCCCACCCAGGCTCATCCCCCATAACCTACCTAATCTACACATCCTCGAACACTACGGGCAATTTAACATGGCCAATCCACTTAAGCCTGCACATCTTTGGACCGTAGGAGGAAACCCACACAGACATGAGAAGAATGTGCAAACTGCACACAATCACCTGAGGGTGAAATCGAACCCAGGTCCCTGGTGCTGTGAGGCAGCAGTGCTACCCACTGAGCCACACCATTCTGGCATTTGATGGCAAAAATATGTAAGAACTACGGTAAGTTTGGATTTGACCTTTAATGACTGGACTATTTCACACAAGGGATAGTTCTAGAATTCTCCCCTACTCAAGGTTGTGCACGGTAGCTAATCGAAAATTTCAAACCTTAGAGCGATAGCCTTGAACTATCAAAAACATCAGTCAAGTACTAAAGGTGGATAAAATCAGTTAAAGATGAGCCATAATTTAATTGCATGATGCAGCACGTTCTTTCGGTTGAATGATTTTGCATTCTTCAGTTTGCCAACCAAGACATCTGGTTCAAGAGTTTTTAGCCCTCGATTTACTAATGGTCTCATGCAGTTAAAATTGAGTGATGCACAGTTTATAGCCTGCGGCTCAATGAATCTTTAAACCTGTCTATTAACGGCGTCCATATTAGCCCCGACAGATACGAATGGCACACTTCATACAGCATGTTGGCCATGTTTGTGTCCGGAAGCCGGTGTCTAAAACACAGCGAAACAGCTTCGCGCCGGTGGAAGGGAGAGGCGGGGCAGTTGCTGAGGCCGGCTGGTTGGTATCCAGAGGAGTTACCATGTGAGAGATTGGGCTTAAAAGCAAGGTACGCGTATCGGGGGACGGTATTGGCTGGTGTCCGGCAGGGGTCGGGGTGAGGTAGTGGCTGGTGTCCGGGATGGGACGAGTTCAGGGTGAGGTAGTGGCTGGTGTCCGGTAGAGGTTCGGAGGTGAGGTACCGGCCACGATAGGGTGGAGGCGGTATTTTGTGTGAGTGCGGGAGGTGGGGCCTGGTACGAACCGCTTTCCGGGTCCGTTACTAGGACGGTTCGGAACGTGATATCACGTGGTGTGAAGGAGGGCGGAGGCGCGAGAGGGAGCGGCCGTGGGGAAGGAGCCTGTGGGTCGGTGGTTGCGACATTGAGAGCTTCGGGATGCGGTTCTGATGAGCTGTGACGGAATTTGAGAAGCCGCGGCGCAGAGAATCGGCATCTCCGAGAATACCCAGAGAGTCGTCGCGGCTGGTGGTGACATGTTGTCGACATGGAGAGAGAATAACTGGCACCAGGACATGGAGAGCGCGGAGGAGGCGGAGTGCAGGTAACAGCCTGACTCTGCTGTGGCGAAGCATCTCAGTGTCCCCGACTTGAGTTTCTTGTTAACCGGCAGCTCCTGACTTGTGTTTGGGGCGGGGCTAACCTCTTCCTCTTTGACGACAACAAATCTTGTACAGGACTCGGTGATACACTGTAGAAGACTGCCCAGTTAATAATTACAATTTATTTAAAAACTTACTAATAATGATGGGGTGGAGGCTGCTGTAACGATAGGTGTTTCTGAAACGCATTGCTAGGCTGTTGAAAGAATATGTCAGTTGTCTTAATGGACAAATCCACAGCACATTAGTGACTGAGCTGCAAAGTGAGACTGAGTTTTTACATGTTGTGAGACTTGTGTGAATGAACGTGAAGATATTTTAATTTTTAAGTGCTAGGTCAGTGAAGAATTTTGCTGTACATGCATAGTAAAAGCTGAAGGCATAAAGGCAGATAGATGTCTGTGATTTGAATCCTTTAAATTAGTTGATCTGTATTAAGGACAGATGAATGTTTTTTCATTTGGTTGATGGCAGGGGTACGCTAATGAGGTTGCTACAGCTCACCATTTTGCAGTCATGTTGCAACTCAAAACATGTATTTTGGATGTGTTTAATTTGCAAAATGAATGGTGACCTCCAAGGAAACTGCATTTTCATTTTCAGCACTGATCCCTTTACCTGTATTCGAGTTGTGTGCTTTTTTTTAATTAACTTGTGAGATGTGGACATCGCTGGCTGGCCGGCCAGCATTTATTATCCACTTCTAGTTGCCCTTGAAGGTGGTGATAAGCTGCCTCTTGAACTGTTGCAGCCCATGTGCTGTTGGATGACCTACAATGCCATTAGGGAGGGAATTCTAGGATTTTTCTCCCAGTGACACTTAAGGAACACTGAAAAATTTCCAAATCAGAAAATTACAGCACAGGAACAGGCCCTTCAGCCCTCCAAGCCTATGCCGATCCAGATCCTCTATCTAAACCTGTCACCTATTTTCCAAGGAGCTGTATCCTTCTGCTCCCTGCTCATTCATGTATCTGTCCAGATACATCTTAAATGACGCTAATGTGCCTGCCTCTACCACCTCTGCTGGCAACGCGTTCCAGTCATCCACCACCCTCTGCGTAAAGAACTTTCCATGCATATCTCCCTTAAACTTTTCCCCTCTCACCTTGAAATTGTGAACCCTAGTAATTGAGTTCCCCACTCTGGGGAAAAAGCTTCTTGCTATCCACCCTGTCTATACCTCATGATTTTGTAGACCTCAATCAGGTCCCCCCTCAACCTCTGTCTTTCTAATGTAAATAACCCTAATCTACTCAACCTCTCTTCATAGCTAGCACCCTCCATACTAGGCAACATCCTGGTGAACCTCCTCCACGCCCTCTCCAAAGCATCCACATCCTTTTGGTAATGTTGCGACCAGAACTGTATGCAGTATTCCAAATGTGGTCGAACCAAAGTCCTATACAACTGTAACATGACCTGCCAACTCTTGTACTCAATAGCCCATCCGATGAATAAAATCACCAATGAACGGTGAGTGGCTTGGCGAGGAACATGCAGGCTCTACTTCTGCCCTGAGAAGGACAATATCTTGCACCATATGTGGCAGTTGTTTTCCTCTTGAACAGGTTTTCTTGCTTTAAGTGTGATTGTTGGTATTAGTATGCTGCTGTAAATGAAATGTTGATTTGGGTTGGAATGGAATAATTCATGAGTATGAATTAAATATTTTCAGTTTTCTGCACCAGTTCTATGGACAGTTTTAATTTAAAATTCTATTTTGAATTGAGCAAATTTGTAGTGCTGAATTAGTCATAGTACAATGCGTAGACTAATGATGATAAAAACTGTAATAAGACTGCCCTTTTTAGTAATAAGATATTTACAGCCAGTGAATTTTGGTCTAGTTTGCACTTCATTTGGATTTACTTTCTAGTGGCGAAAGTGTTTTGCCCACTTTATTTGTTTCCAGTTTCTCTTCTGTTGTTTCTTTAGTTATTTTCAGGTCCAGTTGACAGAAGATACAGAATTTATCCCAGTCTCCTTATTTAGTTTTGCAACTGCATTATCCTGTCTCTGGCAGTATGATTTTTTTCCCTCTTACGTTAGCACCTAAATATTGTTGGAGGATCATGGAGAGGAACCCCACATTTCCAGCACTTTGTGAAGCTAGCGTGTTCTAATTCTTTACTTTGGTGCATGTCACCTTATTTGTCACAACTGATGTTGCTCTGTTCTGGAAATAACAAGTGGTGGAGATCATGGCAGGTCAGGCAGCATGGAGTCATCTAGACTCGCAACGTCCGCTTGTTTTCTCTCCATGGATGCTGCCTGACCTGCGGTGATCTCCACTACGTATTTGTTTTCAGTACAGATTCCAGCATCTGCACTAATGTGTTCTTATGTGCTGTTCTTTTGAGTCCTTTCAAGTCCTACCTTGTCTACCCTGTTCCTGTCAGCTAAGTGCAGTCTATTTTTATTGAATCATTGTAGTTGTCCAGATATCTTCCCTTGATTTTTTTGCCTCTTATTAAGTAGCCTTTTTTTTTTAAAGAAAGGGCAGAACAGCATATTTGGACATCTTTGTATAAAATGTGATCTAGTAACTTTGAGTTTGTGACCAACGTTTTTTTGCAATGCTAATTTCATTCTGATTTACCTTTTATATTTCCTGTGGTTATTTTTTCCAGCTGAAGCATGTGTTAGTCTTAAAATAAAATAATTTGTATAGCTAGCTTAAAGGCATGCACATTATTGTCATGTTCTTAAATGGCTGACTGCTTCCCTGGTACTGTTTTTTTTCAGAGCTTGAACTTATTGAGGCCAGAGTGGCTCAGAACCACTCAGTCCTTGTATAATCAGCAGCTGTTTCTGTTGCTTGTATTGCTGATTTCCCCAGTTGCTTGCATGATTGGTCACACTTCCTTATTATACAGTAAGGTATTAGTAAGAATTCAGTTTTTGCATGCTGTCAAAGCAATCCTCTCCCTTGCGTACATGGTCAGCAGTGTACCCTTGAGTCTAATCTACTTTATTTGCATATTATGTACTGTCACTTAATGATATTGTGCAGAAACAGAAATCAGATTTCCATGTGCGCAGTCAAAGCTGCCTTAACTTTCTACCGTCTCTTAATTTCAAGGTTATCGCTTGATCCTCCATTGTGGGTTGAACATCATTTTGGATGAGCCAAACGACATCTGTTTTGACGAGGGCTTTCACATTTTTTTTCTCTGTAGTATGTTTTCTTTGCATCTACTTTCTTGTCTAATCTTCATCTTTTCAGTTACTGCTGAATCCGTTGATGTAATTGGCTGATGCTGACTTTCTCTTGCACTCTCCTCACAGGTCTCCCTGCTTCCACTCTGAATTGTAATTAATTCAGAGTGTTATAACCTGCATCTATCACTACTGAAATCTTTGTGTTGTGATAATCTCTGTATTTGTGATACTTTCCTGTCTTTCTGTACTCTTTGGATTTTTAATTTAGGAATATTTGCCCTTATTTTTGGAAATCCTTGATAGCCTCATTACCATATGTCAGCATTCAGGCCTATGTTACTGCTTATATACTTCATTCCTCCATCACTTGTGTGCTTTTTCATGCACCAAGGTTATTGTTTTTTGGAATTCTCTTTCAAAATCTTAATGTTCCAGTCTCTATATCTCTGCTTTAAAACTCTTGTTAAAACAAAAGACTGACTGCTGAGAATTATGGACAATACAGTGTGGAGCTGGAGGAACACAGCAGGCCAGGCAGCATCCAGTGTATCATTTTCCACCACGTCAGCTACTTACAACCTGACCCCACGACCAAAGAGAGAGTTCCCTCCCCACCCCTATCTACCCTTCCTAGGGACCGCTCACTCTGCGACTCCCTCGTCAGGCCCACTCTCCCCACTAACCCCACCACACCTGGCACCTTTCCCTGCAACTGCAGGAAGTGCTACACCTCCCTTCCCCCCCCCCCCCCCCCCCCCTCCATTCAAGGCCAAAAGCAAACCTTTCATCTCAGATGGGGGTTAACCTGCACATTCGCCAGCTTGGTCTACTGTATCCGCTGCTCCCGATGTAGCCGCCTCTACATCGTTGAGACCAAGCGTAGACTCTGAGACAGTTTTGTAGAGCATCTGCGCTCTGTTCGCGACAAATGACAATACCTTCCGGTTGCAGACCATTTTAACACCTACTTCCTGGGTGACGTCCATCCTGGGCCACCTCCGGCGCCACAATGACACCCCGTGCAAACTGGAGGAGCAACACCTGATATTCCGCCTCTGGAGCCTACAGCCCGATGGCTTAAACGTGGCATTCACTCGGAACAAAAACAAAGTTACTGGAAAAGCTCAGCAGGTCTGGCAGCATCTGTGAAGAAAAAAAAAAATCAGAGTTTACGTTTTGGGTCTGGTGACCATTCTGAGGAGTGCACACTGGACCCGAAATGTTAACTCTGATTTTTTCCTTCACAAATTATGCCAGACCTGCTGAGCTTTTCCAGCAACTTCTGTTTTTGTTCCTGATTTACAGCATCTGCAGTTCTTTCAGTTTTTATGAAATTCACCAGTTTTAAAATCTCCCCTCTCCCAGCCTCCCTCTCATCCCTGCCACCTTGACCTGACACAATCTGTGCATCTTCTCTCCCACTTATCTGTCCCACTCATCCCACTGACCAATCCCCACCACTCCTGACCTGCACTCAACTATCACCACCCCACCTACCTTACCCAGCCCCCCCTCCTCTCTATTTATTTCCCATCTCCCTATCCCCTCCCCATTTCTGAAGAAGGGCCCTGACCTGAAACATCAACTTTCCTGATTCACTACTGCCTAGCTTTCTGCGTTCCTTCAGTTCCACACTGTGTTGTCTCTGACTCCAGCATCTGCAGTTCTTGCTATCTCATGTTGAGAATTATCTCCTGAATTCATTCCATTCTTTTGATTTCTGTTCAGTTAAGACTTCTGTTGTAATATCTAATTGAGGAATAATAAATCAAATTGTAAGTGTTTTATCATGGTGGAATGCATTTATGTACACAATCTGTCTCCTGGCTTTCATTTGTCGGCTGGCCTGCGACTTGGAACAAATTAGTTGTGCTGGTTCGGCAACTATTCTGGATCAATGAGGTTCATTTTTAGGGACTGATCTTAAGTAAAGGAAAAATGGTCTTCTTGGTTGCCAATTCTCTCAGTCCCGTTTTCAAGATTGGTTTATTTGCCTTTTCTTGATGGTACAAATCCCTGTCCACAGCATACCCATGAGGTTGTTGACTTGCTCACCGAGCTGGCCCACCGTAGACACGCACGGGAATTCCTTGAGGCACGGTTCTCCACCCATACGTCAATCAACAAATATATAGAATTGGACCCCATATATTAACCTATACAGATCAGAACCAGAAATGACATTACTCTCCATAACAGACTGGACAGTATAAATTCCAAGTGGAGTAGAACAACGTCACTTCATCGGAGGCTCCACTGATGTCACCTAGCATGGTGACAACGTCTGAACAAGAACAAGCCAGCTCGGCGAGCAAGTCAACAACCTCACCCACAACCCGAGCTACAGATCTTTGCCAATACTTTAAACAGCATACCTAACTTTTGGTTATTTGTACTGTTAAGATGGTGCACCATTTACACAAAGCATAAAGGAAGTACTGATTAGTGACTATTAATTGTAGAGCTTAAATTACTTGTTATTTTGCATAAGGGATACCATTTTTGGTTATAATTGGGAGTGACATTGGAAATGGGTCAAATAACAGCTGAACTTTAAATCGAGTGTACATGAAACATCTGGCTAAACAACCTCTCTTAGATTTGCAGTTTTCTTTTGTTCATCTGCAGACAAGAACAGTGGAAACTTTTGGGAGGCCTGAAGACCACTGTGGAAGGGCTGCTGTCAACAAATAACCCTAATGTCTGGTCTAAGTATGGAGGATTGGAGCGTCTCTGCAAGGATATGAACAAGATTTTGTGTCATGGACTCCTGGAGGATGAGGTCTCTGTTTTTGTAATTCATTTCATTTGGATGGATGGTGCTCCTATTAGAGGTTAATGATCTTATTTGTTGTAGGAAGCAGAACCTGAGCAATTGAATTATCTAGCCATCGTAAACAGTTACGAGTAATCTACGTTACGATGCTCCTTGGTTCATACTTCATATGCCCCCCTGAAATTATTAGACTTGTGAAGGATTTTTGGTTAAAATAATCTTTATATCTGTATTCAAAATCCCATGGAGGAGAAGGAACTGGCATTTTTTGGTATTTTTTTAAATTGTAGATGGGGGAGAGATTGCAACAGATTTTTTTTGGTAATAAATTATGATTCATGCTCCTTTGATCATTTTCTGAATTATGTTTTCTGCTGTTACCAGCATAACATTGCCTTTAATGACTGAAACTTTGATAATTGGATTGCATCTTGTTGCACCATATACCTTTGTCTTGCTGAATTGAATCAGTTTCTGTATGGTTTTAACATTTGTTGGAGTAGGCTTCTGTTAATCGGAAAATCTCCACAAAATTTTGCCTGGGTGACATAAAAGTCTATTAATGACATACTGTGCTGGCTTAATTGAATCTAGTCTGAAACTAGTTTTCTTTAAACTGGTTTGCTTTGGACTATTGCTTTTTTTGCCTTATCTTTATCTTCCCTGTTAAGTCCCCACTCCCTGCCTCCCAAAACACACACACCAAAGTCACCACCACAGAAACTTGAAGATGTGCTTGATTCTCATCCAGAATATGCATTGTGTAAAAGATCTGCTTGAGAGACCTATCAGCTTTTGCTTCAACTGATGTCATTAGTCTCTTTGTGGAGAGATTTCAAACACTTTTTCCTAAATTAGACATAGCTAAAAGGAGACTAGAAACTTATATTTTTCATCTTGCACCCATCTGAATTGGGATGCAAGAAACGGGCTTGGGGAAAGGAGACACCAGATTAGATACAATTTTCATAAGTATTATACTGCAGCTAAGGAGCAAGTTGTTTTGTGACTTTAAGTGTACTAGGAACATAAGGACAGGACTAGCCCATTCATGCTGTCAAGTCTCCTCTGTCATTCAATATAATCATGGCTGATTGAATATTTTAATGCTTTTTACCAGTGTTATCCATATAATCCTATATGCCATTGACCATCAGAAATCTAACAACCTCTAAGCATGCTCACAGACTAATCTTCCACAGCCCTCTGAATTAGAGAATTCCGAAGATTCACCACCTTCTAAGTTTTTTTTTTTTTTTTTTTTTTTTTTTTTTTTTTTTAAAAAAAACAGTTCTCGTAATCTCACGCCTATCTGATACACACCTGAATTTTAAAATATTTCCCCTGGTACTAGACTCCCCAGCCTAGGTAGATGCAAGTAAGATACCTGCATCTACCCTGTCTACCCTCCTAAGTATTTTGTAGGTTTCAATGAGATCACTTCTCATTGTCTGAAATTTTAGAGAATACAGGCCCAGTTTGCCCAATTTCCCTTGCATAAGAGTCCTGCCACTCCAAAAGTAAGCCTGGCGAACCTTTCTGGCAATAATATCTTTGCTGAAGTAAGGAGACCATAACTACACAACTCCAGGTGCAGTTTAACAAGGCTTCTATGTAATTGAAGTACATTTTGCCAGCAATACTAGTTATTCAGGTTGTTTGATTGCACAAGATACTCTGCAAGGGAATGCACATTAAAATACTAATTTAAAAGCCCGACAATTTTGTGGAAGGCTTAAGTTGCAGCTCATAGATGCTGATGGTAACTAGAGCTTCATTTTAAGTCTGTTTGAGCTAATTTTGTTTATCTGATGGTAACTTTTTGACATCAATTGGAGTAGACTTTAACTGGAATCATAATGGTTTAAACCACTACGTTTTGATGAATTATGCTTGTATAAAGGCAAAAGTTTTTTTTTATTAAGCTTAAAATGTTCTTTGCATGTGTAACACAGTGCTGAACAATTTTGGGTTGTGAGTTTGTTCTTTATTGTCAAATGGATTTTTGAGGATCACTAATAATGCTACAGATTTGTCTATGATCTTCCATATGTAGAATTCATAATGCCAGTGAGAGCAGAAGTTTCTTTCCTAATTTTTATGGTGTCAATTGAAAATAGATAGCTATCTTGCATACACTAGCACAAGACAATGATCTAAGGTTTAGATGATGTCCTGAGCCACTAAATTTTGCATCATTTTATTTGAAATTCAGATAACTAGTTCCCATGACTATATTACATGAGTACTACTGCAATACTAAGTGACTCATACTGTAGATGTGGGGATTTTTGCTCACTGTTGAAAATAATATAGGAATAGCTCCTTACTGCAGTACTCAAGCAAGCTATATTTCCTTTCTCTTAATGGGAAGTTCACAAGTTCAACACATCTGCATTGCTCAATTCAGGAACTTGATGGATGTGTGTCAGTCACTCGTCACACATGTAAGGAATCTTTTTCAAAGGAGTTATGGAATCTTTTGCTTTTGTATTGCAGTTTTTTCCACCTTTCGCTGAACTCTTTGCACTTAGTGTGACTATGGAAAGCCAGATGGATTTTACCAGGAAATCAAATAAATCTGACTGTGATCTCGTATATTACAAGAGCAGACAATAGATATGGTTAAAGAAAGATCTTTTGTGGAATGTAACTGCATTCTGTGTTCTAGGTTTATCTGTATTTTGTGCAAGTTGCAAGGTTGTTATTTTCACTTCACTTGGTGTTATTGTTCTTGATTAAGTTTGTCTTTTAAGCCTGTGTACTGAAATAGGAACGAGTTAGCTGCTTTCTTTTGCACTAACGTTTACTGAGACTGAATCAAAGAAGAATTAAAGGTGTAAATTGTTAATACTAGAGAATTAATTACATAAATATTTAATTGTAGTTTTTGTTCTCATTCAATAGGTATATTCACAGCATAAAGATTATTGGCAATTTATAACTGATTGTCACTGGGTCAGCCCTAGCCTTGTTCATCATACTGTGCAGGTAAGGCACGGCGAGATGTATGCTATCACTGTTACAGTGAAACATTTACTGTTTGGTTAATCCTTTGACACTTTTGTATGTAAATAAGATTTCCTTTACTCACATTTTACTGTTTAATGTCTGTGCTGCTTTTTGCAAAGTCTGTAGAATAAAAATTAAGTTCATAGATTTGCATTTAACTCTATTGCCAGTTTTCTTATGCAGTTCCTATGTAGCGTAGGTGATATGGACTATGTATTACTTACGAATCCAATGTGCAGTCTGTAGGTTTGACCAGGTGGTGCAGAGATGTTTTGATATCCAGGAAGAGTTTCTCCTTTTACTCCTGGGAGTCTCCTGCTGCAACCAAGTTAAGAATAATTTGAGTCTGACAGATATACAAGCTATATTTCCTGCCCAATGATCTAGTTTTGAGTGAATTAGTGCCTTGACACTGGAAAAGATGCCTTGAGAGGATGCTGCTGTTTGTAATTGTAATTTATTATTACATGTATTTATGAAAATACCAAAAAATTTGTATAAGTTGCCATAAGCCAGTGCCATTTTAATTACATAAATTATAAAAATAAATCATACAAAGTTAGGACAAATTTCATTTGTTGTTTCATCGATGGCTTCTTGATTTCTGAAGTGGCTACAGTGCGCTGCCACACGCCACATCTGCCAAAGCTGTCCCTGCCCGCAACACCAAGGAAACATGCTGAAGCTGAGCCCACTGCCTCGTTGCTGCCAATACTGTAGCTGCTACCATAGCCAGGAGACTGTCCCAGCTCTTGAGGACCGGGACCCATTTCAACTTTCAAGAACCGATTGTCCAAATTAACTCCTAAGGATCAATTGTCTTTTTTGCCACCAGATTTGGAGGGTCTTTTAAAGGTACTGTTGGCCGTACTTCTGAAGTGCCTGATCTACATTGCACTTTGGAAACGTAGGCATAAGTCTGCAGGGAACACTGTCCAGTAAACCATGGGTTTGCTTTTGTATTTGGAATCTTGCTTCTTAAATAGTCTGTGTCATTTCTTTTGTCTTGTATTACCTGCTCATGGAGTGAGTGACTCCAAACAACTTTGGTTTTAAGTGGGACAAACAATAAAACAGTAATTGGAAAAGCAGTGATGAAGGGAAAACCTGATAGAAGCCAGTTAAAAATACCCTACTTTTTGAGTTTCAGCAAATAAACTACTACCCAACTGACAAATGCATCTATTAAATAAAGTATCCCTCTCTCATTCTTCTTGTTTCTTAATCTGCATTTTATTGTATTTGCACTTTTTTTTGTTCCAGTAGAGATTCCCTTTGTTGAGATGGTAGGCTCTGGCAGTTCTGTTGCACTATTTGAATGTAGACAATTCAAATTTGTTTACCTGTAAGTGAAGACTAATTCAGATCTTTTTCCAGTATAGGAGAAAGTGAAGACTAAATCTGAAGAATGGAAGAGTATTGAGATGTGGAAATAGTAATATTACAAAATGAACAGGAAATCAGAAGGAGAAAAGAGCCTCCTTTCGCTTAGCAGGAAGAGATGGGTGTATGCTTTATTTTGGGTATAACAAGGGTAGAAAGGAATTAGACAGAGGGCAGTGTAAATCCAGAAGTATGAGCTGGGTGATATTGATGTTGAATTTTTAAAACCACTCAAATTACAGGAGAAAGGCCATATCACTGACTACTTCTGCTTTCCTAAACACAGTCAAGGTGTTTGATTTAAGGGCAAAATAAATAGAAGCACACTATCTTGTAATAGGTGAATACATTTTTCTTATTTTTCCCTTTAGATTATGGAGAATGATGCACATTGTGTCCCAAAAAGTAATCCACAGAAAGCCCAGTACTGGCTCCACCACAGCCTTCAGTTCCATTCTCTCTCATCACAGCTAAGGTCATTGCTCAGCAACTGTGAATACACTAGAAAATTTTACAAAGGTGCAGTATAACTTAATGTACTTTAAACTATAATGTGTTGGATTTGAACTTAACATATCTGCATAAGATCCTCAACATGCATAGTTGAATTTGAGGCTTCAGAGTCTCTACTTCTAACGTATGAATTGGATGCATAGGTATAATTATGTGCAGTTGGGAAACAAATATTAATTGTAAAGACAAAAGGCTAATGGTGCAGTTGGGAGCTATAGTATGAGTAATGATAGCAGGAAGTCTTGGTTGAGAAATTGGAACCTTCGAGGCTGCTTTTCAATTTTGGCCCTCAAGTTTTGTTTTCCATACAAATCAAACTTGCGGGCCAATAACTTCCTGAATAACACGCCGTACAAGTACTAGAAATAGTCATTTGGGATCAACTATAATATAAAAGTCTATGGGCTTGCAGTGACATGCACACTGTTAATCAGGTTGCTGGCTATGTACTGGGAGTTCCAAGTTTTAAGGAGAGAAAAATGACCAAACCGTTTCTTGATGACACAGCATATTTCTGTACTTGAGATGCTGATATAACAGAACAAACTTTAGGAGAGAAAATACTGTGGTGTGCAATGGACGTTTGAGCAATAAAGTGATTTGGGTATAAGAAAGTATAATTACTGCTGTCAAATGGCAGAATACTGACCTTACTTCAAGCCAGCAGGAATTGACTTTGTATCAGTTGTATTTTGAGAATACACTTTGGAGCTGCTTTTAAAAATGACTTTTAAAATTCAAGAAGTCTACAAAAAAATGAACAGAACTGTAGTCATGATTTTTCATTATAGGTTGTGAAATAAATGTTCACCATATTAGTTGATTAATGACAAAGCTTGAAGTTTTTTGAGTGTATTAGGTTATTGAATTTAAAAATATATAAAATTTTGACTGTACTCAATTAAAGATAAAATCGCATGAAACAGGACTTAAAACTAAATGTCATCCAAGAAATGAGTTGTTAAACAGATTCTTGTGTAGTGCATACCTGTTGATGGATGTCTTTTTTGCCCTAACTTTCTGCCTTTTGGGGGAATAAAAGAATCATTATAGGCTGTTTATCTCTTACAGATACTGCTTTTCTGTTGAGCAATCCCCATGTGACTGCTATGTTTCAGTGTTTGGAGGCTGTGGAACAGAATAATCCTAAAATGTTAGCTCAGATTGACACATCCGTGGTAAGGCAGGCTTTTTCCTTGGAAAATAATTAATGCGTGCACAGATTATAATGAACTGTCTTAAATGCTCAAACAATATTTCTAAAACAAACTGACTTTGACCCCAGGCTCATTTATTCAGGCCACGAGTGCTGGTTCCATGCTCTAATACTTCATGCTTTTTTAAAAAAAGTTCTGGATTTATTTGATGATGCACCCTCAACCTGCTCTCTTTCTGAAGACATTGAATCGTGTTGGAATAGGTTTTAGCTCTCTGATATCTTGAACAAGTAGTTACTTACCATTTTTCCTGTGAAGCTATTCTATTAATTTCACAGTTGTTGAGATGTTAATGACATAAGGGAAGGTATGTTATTTGAACATCAGAATGCTGTGTGGGTATATCTGTATTAGGTGGCATGCTGAGGAATTTTTAGCCCCTGTGCAGCATAGTGTGTTGAGGCTTTTCAGAGCCTCTGTGTAGCAAATCGTTTTGGCTTTCCTGCCCTCCCCTTATTAATAGAATAATGCTTGTGCAGTATTCCTTGCTCTGTAAAACTTGACTCACTAGCATGCCCTCAGCAGGAAACTAGTGCAGCCTTTCAGTTTAGTAAATGCAGAGGGATGTTGAGGGAGGGGCTACACATGGTGCATAAAGGCAGGAATAAGGATTGTTATTTTCTATACCTTTTGTGGAAAAAAAAAAATCAAACATCATGGAGTATGGTGTTGCTAGCTAGACCAGAATTTATTGCTCTAGAGGAAATGGTAATAAGCTGCTCTGACTGAACCGCTGCAATCCTTGGGGTGTTGGTGGCGCCCACAATACTATTTGGATGGGAGTTATAAGATTTTCACCAAGCAACAATGCAGAAATTGTGATAGAACTCAGTCAGAATGGGGTGTTGTTTGAAGAGGAACTTCCAAGTGGTGGTTCCCTTGCATCTGCTACACTTGTCCTCTCAGTTGTAGAAACACAGGGTTTGGAAAGTACTGTTGGATGAGCCTTGGCAAGTTACTGTAGTGCATTTTGTAGATGGTACACACTGTTATCACTGTGCATTGTTTGCTGTTAGGCAATGTTATGGAGAGTGAAAATAATGAAGTTGTTATTGTTTCTCGAAGAATTTTGGGCCTTATGCACTCCATCTTGTATAATCAGTAGGCCGTATGTAGTATTGAAGTTGAACATTTGCTGGAAAAATAAAACTTAACTGGTGTTTTTCCAGCAACTATTGGGATCTTAAGTTATTGGTTTTACTTGATAATCACTTTCACCCAATAATGCTTGTTAGACCACTACAGTGTTGATTTAACAACTTGATGGAAATACCCTTCTGGAATCCACCTAGCTGTGGATATACTTGGCTGTGTAGCATATTGCTGTGCCTAATTACAAGAATGAGTAAGTTTTGGTTGGAACCCCAATGTACTGTCAGATTTCATTTTTTTGAAAAAATGTACTTCATGATCATGAATTATGTTGCTGTGAACATCAACACGTACGTGGAACATAGAACAGTACAGCACAGGCCCTTCAGCCCACGATGTTGTGCCGGACTTTTACCCTAAACCTAAGGTCTATCTAACCTCCACCGCTACTTTATACTATCATCCATATGCCTATCTAATAGCCGCTTAAATGCCCCTAATGAGGCCGATTCCACACCCCTACCACTCTAAGTAAGGAACCTACCTCTGACCTCTTGCCTATATCTACCTCCTTTCACTTTAAAACTATGCCCCCTCGTAAAAGCTACCTCCACCCTAGGAAAAAGTCTCTGGCTGTCTACTCTATCTATACCTCTGATCATTTTGTAGACCTCTATCAAGTTACCTCTCATCCTTCGTCGTTCTAAAGATAAAAGCCGTAACTGTCTCAACCTTTCCTCATAAGACCTTCCCTCCGTTCCAGGCAACGTCCTGGTAAATCTCCTCTGCACCTTTTCTAATGCTTCCACATCTTTCCTGTAATGAGGTGACCAGAACTGGACACAATACTCCAGATGTGGCCGAACCAGGCTTTTGTATAGCTGGAGCATAACTTCACGGCTCTTAAACTCAATCCCTCTATTAATGAAAGCTAACACACCATACGCCTTCTTAACTCTATCTACCTGGGTGGCAGCTTTCAGGGAACTGTGAACATGAACCCCAAGATCCCTCTGCTCCTCCACACTGCCAAGAATCTTTCCGTTAACCCTGTATTCTGCTTTCAAGTTTGTCCTTCCAAAATGAATCGCCTCCCACTGTTAGTGTACATATTACTGGCTTCGTTCTGTTGATATTTAATGCACTTCTTGTAGATAAGCTGGCTTGCATAATTAAATACTGTAACCAGATCATGAATAATATGCTGTGAGAATCAGAAAGATAGTTGAGTAAGCTGATCTCATCAGGTGATGTCAGTTATTTTTGTGAAGACCATGAAACTGTGAGATATATGAGCAGAATTAGGCAGTTTGGCCCATCATGTCTCCTGTGCTTTTCAATTATGGTAGATACGTTTCTCAATTCTATTCTCTTGCCTTCTCTCTGTAATCCTTCATCCCCTTTATTAGCAACAACCATCTATCTCTGTCTTAAACGTACTGAAAGATTTGGCCTCCACAGCCTTCTGTGGCAATGAGTTCCACAGATTCACCGCTCTCTGACTGAAGAAATTACTCCTCATCTCAGTTCTAAATGGTCATCCCTTCACTAAAGCTGTGCCCTGGAGTCCTAATCTCATCTGTTAGTGGAAACAATTTCTCCATGTCCGCTCTCTCCAGGCCTCTGTTCTGTAAGTTTCAATGAGCTAAAAATACGTGCCCATAGCACCTGAAGTTGCATTTTGGTCTCATTGTGCTGTGTGCAAGAATATTTGGTTAAATTAAAGCAATTTAAAAATTTAGTTCCCAGGTCTGTCTTTTTGAATGTGTTTTCTAAACCTTCAGACCAAAACTGTTCAAACAATGGCCGATTGGTTTTATCGCTGGAATATTAATTCAGAGACCCGGATAATGTTCTGGGCATCCAGGTTTGAATCTTGCCACAGCAGATGGTGGAATTTGAATTCAATAAAAATCCAAAATTAAAAGTCTAACGATGACCATGAATCCATTGATTGTTGGAAAACCCCATTTGGTTCACTGATGTCCTTTTAGGTAAGAAAACTGCCAGACTTGCCTTGTCTGGTCTACCTGTGACTCCAGACCCATAGCAATGTGTTGACTCTTGTTGCCCATCCCTAATTGCTCTCTGGGCAATTAAATGCCGGCATAGCCAGCAATTCCCTCATCCTGTGATTGAATTAAAAAAAAACTCTGAATTAGACCTTAGCAAGTGTATTGTGGACAATTCTGGGCACTAAAAGCTTTAGAGAGCAGAAAGAGAATGTTTAGCAAGGATGAGGAACTTCACTTACTAGTAGTAGTTGAAAAAGATAGCACTGTACTCTGAACAAGAAAGGTCTGATCTGCCAGATATTTTCTACTTAATGAGTGTCTTTGATAGAGTAGATTGTGAAAAAACATTCTCTCTACAGAGAGGATAGTTTTAAAATAGTTGGCAGAACATCTAGCAGGGAGGAGAGAATCTGTTTGGCAGTATGTTGTCAGGATCAGGAACCCTTAACAAAAAGGGTAGAATCTGATTCCATAAATAATTTCTAAATGAATTTTGAAAAGATAAATGATGAAGATATTAAGGATAAGGACCAAAGAGGTAAGAGTGTAGGAATATAAATGGTTGGTCTTTCCAAGTGTTAACACAGACCACAAGCTTCCTGTGCTGTAAGTTTCTGTGAAAATGGATAGAATACAGAGTTCAATTTCCAAAATGTCGTAAATTGGAAATGAGCTTTGTATTTCTTTTAAACCTTTGGCCATACTTATTTATACAGAAGTGTTTTCTGTGAGGATTTGAGCCTCTGACAAACAGGGCCAACTGCAAGGAAGCATGTGGCTAAAATCTACAGTTGATAATGCAGTATATATAAAATTTATTGGTTCCTTTAGATACTGCTTTTGAAAGACAATCATGAATTAGTTTATTTATAACAAAAAAATGAATTGATTGCATTAAACACTTCTTTTAGTTCTGGAAATGTGAAGATGTGCCATAATCTGCCATATTTCTCATCTTAATGTTTTTATAATGTTTAGTTTGCAAGGAAGTGTAACTCCCCGTTACCAATGATGAAAAGCCAAAGTCTGACTGCTCTTCCTGGAACCAAGTGCATGCCCTCTGGAGGGGAATGCCAGACAAGGCATACGACCTCATATAACAACCTCTTGGCTCGTTGTACTAACTTGAATGTTTCAGGTAAGTGAACAGTAATTTTAAATATCTTTTATTTTTAGACTTTTCCCTTCCCTTCCCAGGCTGTTAGTTCTATGAACTTTTGGGGGGGAAAAAAAGACTTGAGCATAGTCTAGAATGCTTCCAGAAAATCAGGTAAAATATTTTCACTATGTCAACTTTTTGAATGTTGTTGATGAGGTAATTATATTCAACAGTCTGAGTTTTCAACTGGTTATTTTGTGCTTGATTTGTTCATTCCCTTGTATGTGTCAGTCTGTAATTCTTGCCAAAATTGTTTTATCTGTCCAGTTAAACAATGTAATCTAATATAGTAATAGAAGTTGTTTTCCTCTAATGTTCTTGAGTTGAGACTGAAGTCATGTTTTTCCAAAATTCTCTGGCTGTGTGAACAGTTAGGAGCAAAAATCTTTGTACTTTATCACAAGTGTAATGTAGGCAAATAATAAACATCATTCATTCAGGCCCTTGATCTGCTTATTGGCTTAGGTGGTGGGTTTCTCTCAATCCTTTCCAACTCTGTCAGCTGGAAGGAGCAGACAGAAAAATGTCAATAAATATGTTGCTAGTAGAGTAAGGGTTTGTATATTGTAATTTGAAGTGACATATAATAATAATAATGGTGATAATGAGTTAGGAAAATGAATTTGGACAAGTCAAAAATAAGCATTCAAGTAAATTCCCCCATTCGCTCACTTTTTGTATGCTTGTCTTATTGAGAAATATGGTCTGGTTCGTTGCAGAGCTTTGTTTTACTCAACAACCATTAATATATAGATCAGACAAATAATTTATTGTCTTTACAATCATGAACTGAACGTAACATAAGCACATAGGAAATAGAAGTAGGCCACTGGCCCATCTAGCCTGCTCCGCCATTCACTAACATGGCTGATCTTTTTGTGGACTCAGCTCCATTTACCCACCCACTCACTCACCATTACCCTTAACCACTCTTCAAAAATCTTTCTTAGCCTTAAAAACATTCAATAAGGTAGCCTTACCTGCTTTGCTGGGCGGGGAATTCCACAGATGCACAACCTTTTGTGTGAAGAAGTTCCTCAACTCAGTCCTAAATCTGCTTCCCCCTTATTTTGAGGTTATGTCCCTTAGTTCTATTTTCACCCACCAGTGGAAACAGCTTCCCTACTTCTATTTTATCTATTCGCTTCATAATTTTTTTTTTATCTCTTAATAAGATACCCCCTCATTCTTCTAAATTTTAATGAGTCGCAGTCTACTCAATCACTCCTCAGGCCAGCCCTCTCAGTTCTGAAATCAACCTAGTGAACTTTCTCTGCACCCCTTCCAGTGACTGTACATGTTTTCTCAAGTAAGGAAACCAGAAGTCTACACAGTATTCCAGGTGAGGCCTCACCAGCACCCTATACGGCTGCAGCATAACCTCCCTATTTTTAAACTCCATTCCTCTAGCAATCAAGGACAATATTCCATTTGTCGTCTTAATTACCTGCTGTACCTGCAAACCAATTTATTGTGATTCGCGCACAACTGTCTATGGTGTAGCCTGTAGTACAGTGCCATAAAATTTGTGAGAAAATGCAATTGCTAATCCTTTCTTTTTTCTTTCCTCATTTAATAGGTGGTGCACCACAGGATTTCATTACTGTCAATAATACTCAGCAAGCGTTAAAGAAGAGGGCTAATTTGACATTTTTTCCCGATTCAACGGATAAACCGGCATTAGATCAGTACTCTGGCGTCCACCAGTTTCGTGACATCACTTCTATGGAGCCATTTTCTCCAGTCAGTGAGACAACTATTAGTACCCCAGTTAGCCATAGTGAGGATTCTTCAGCTGAAGTACAGGATGAGGGATCAAGTGAAATGGATGATGGACCAGAGTATTTGGCTATTGGAAATCTGGGACGGAGGGATCGCAGTTCAAGCCAGTGCAGTAATAGCTCCTCCTCTTGTTCTGGCGGTTCACAGACACTAGTTCCTTCTGCCTGGCAGGTTCCTAAAATCACCGTTAGCTGTAGTGAATCTCTGCTGAATCTTCCGAGACGTTCCAGCTTCTCAGAAACCCAGAATCTGGAACGACAGGCTAGTTTCAAGAAGAGCCATAGCCGATCCCATTCTGATACTGGTATAGCAACAACCAAGACATCCGGTACGGTGAATTTCAATTCAATAGTTTGCATAGATCAAAATTTGTTTGATGCAAGATATGAGTAAAATTTTACATTTGTGCTCAACAAGGAAGTGCAAAATGTAATAATTAGTAAATCTGTTGATGAATCAGGCTGATATAGATGCCTGTAGACCATTTTGGTCTTTGGCCAGTACTTTATCATTTGTTTGAAAGCGGATCATGTTCTGCCTGACATTAAGCCTTTGTATTTATGGACAGTTGAAGAGCGAAGTCAGAGCTATTACTCCTAATTATCTCGTCAATCCAAGTATGCGAGTAGCAGGTGAAAAGAGGACAAGAAAAAGACTGAAATAGCAAGAACTGCAGATACTGGAGTCAGACAATACTGTGTGGTATTGGAGGAACACAGCAGGCTAGGCAGCATCAGAGGAACAGGAAAGCTGACATTTCTGGTCGGGATTTCTGAAGAAGAGTCCCGACCCAAAACATCAGCTTTCCTGTTCTTCTGATGCTGCCTGGCCTGCTGTGTTCCTCTAGCTCCACACTTTATCGCAGGATAAACACCAATAGTTCTTGTGGTTGGTAAGCCTGTCAGCACTTCCTCTGTAAACTGTTTAAAGGTTGTAACTTGAGAAAAGAACCTGAAGCCTGTGGAACCACACCACTGAGAGTTGCTTTCAGAAAAGGGGAATAGCTTTGAAGATGGAAATTACATAAACTTCCAGAGATAAATGTTCAGAACTGATCATACGCTATCACAGTGATCGAATATAGGCTTGTTCACTATGCCAAAAGATGATCGATTTGGAAGATGGTGACAACGAGAAAGAAACACCTGTCAGTTGAAACTTGGTGTCTGTTTGGTGGAGATGTGAAGATTTCTTGCTTGGTTTCATTTTGTTGGGGAGGTGGTGATGCAGCTATGTTAATTGGACTAGTGTTGCAGAGACTAAGGCTAATCCTTGGGTCAGGGATTTGAATCGCACCATGGCAGATAGCTATTACCATTCTGGATTTAAAAGCTGGTCTAATGGTGACCATTAAACAATTGTTAATGGTTCACTAATGTCCTTTTTCAAGCAAGGAAAATCTGCCATCGTGACTTGATCCGGCGTACATGAGACTCCAGATCCACAGCAATGTTATTGACTCTTAAGTACTCTGTGGAATGGCCTGGAAAATCTCTCAGTTGTATCTAACTTTTGACAGTCTGATGAAAGGAATGAAAGTAGGTTGACCACCCAACATTGACAAAGGATTGGAAACAACAATGCCACAAACGGCCTTTTCTACCTTGCAAAGTTTGCGTAATTAATATTTGGGACTTGTGCCAAAATTAGTTCGAGCTGTTCCATTGACTAGTCAAGCCTGACAGTCAATCTGTCAGAATCATACCTTGCATCCAGACACCACCATCACAGCCTTTGGTTATGTTGTGTCTTACTGAGGTGGCAATGCAGAGTTATGCAGTTAGGTAGGGAGTTGATCTGTGAGATCTTGACACATTGATGTCTAATTTCATGGGCTCTAGAGGTCACATTTGTTATAAAGTCAAGCATGGACATAAAACCAATTGTTGATTACCACCAACAATCCCTGCTCCCACGCCCAAAAAAAGCGCAAAACAAATCCACTTTCTAGGTTGGACACAGAGGGTGGCACAGTGACAGAATGGGCTGATTGAGCTGGTTGTGTCCTAACAGACATAGCTATTGATCTATGCCTGCGGAAGGTGATGAGGAAAGCAAAAAAAGGAAAAATATACTTGACCTCACCTTCACCAATCTGCCTGTAACAGACCCATCTGTCCCATGACAGTATTGTTAAGAGTGATTATCATTAGTGTTTGTGGTGCTGAAGCCCTGTATTCTCATTGAGGACACTCCCCACTATCTTGTATGATGCCATCATTGTGCTGAATGGACAAATGTTTAACTGAGTCAGCAACTTGATGAGAATTCATGAAGCACAGTGGGCTTTCAGCAACATAATTATATTCAACCACAATCTGTAACCTCATGGCCTGGCATATTCCCTCATTCTAGCATCAACACCATTCCAGGGGATTAACATTGGTTCACTTAAGAGTTCAGGACATGATGAGGAGCAGTACTGGATGGACCTAAAAATGATATGTCATCCTGGTGAAGCTACAATACAAGACTATTTGCATTTCAGGCCTCCTAAGCAGCACATGAAGAAGACTAAACGATTCCACAACCATTGAACAATTCCAAGTTCCGCAGTCATTATAGAATCCCTTCAATGTGGAAGCAGGCCATTTGGCCCATTGGGTCCACACATACCCTCTGAAGAACATCCCACTCAGACCCATCCCCTATCCTTGTAACCCTGCGTTTCCCATAGCTAATCCATCTAACCTGCATATCCCTGGAGACTGTGGAGCAATTTAGCATGGCCAATCCACCTAACATGCACATCGAAGGACTGTGGAAGGAAACCAGAGCACCTGGAGGAAACCCAAGCAGACATAGAGAATGTGCAAACTGCACAGTCTCTCAAGGGTGGAATCAAACCCGAGTCGTGAGGCAGCAGTGCTAACCGCAGCCACCTTTCTCCTGCCATATGCGGTCAAAACGTAGTGGTGGGTAATTAAATAACTCATTGGAGGAGGCGGCTCCACAAATATCCCCACCCTGAATGATGGGAGAGCACAGCATAATAGTGCAGAAGTCCAGGCTTACCATTTGCATCTCTCTTCATCTAGAAGTGTTAAATGGACATCCATTTCAGCCTCCATTTGCGGTCAGTCCCAAGCACCACAGATGCCAGTGTTCAGCTCCACGTGATATCAAGAAATGAGTGAAGGCACTGGAGAGTGGAAAAGCTATGGGGTTGGGCAGTATCTTAGTCATAGCATTGAAGACTTTTATTCCAGAACTAGTTATCCACTTTCACATTCTAATTCCAACAAGGCTATCTAACTCGGGTGGTTAGTTGCTCAGGTATGTCTTGTTCACAAATGGCAGGACAAATCCAACCTGACAAGTTACTACTCCTCAGTCTACTGTCAGTAGTCAGCAGAGTAATGTAAGGAGTTGTTGACAGCCTTATCAAGTGGCACTTAGTCGACAATAACGCACACTTGATTTGCATTCTGTTAAGTCAATTCATCTGAATTTCTTGGAGACTTAGTCTGAACATGGATCAAAGGAGTGAATTTCAGTGGAGGGATGAATGTGACTGTCAAATTATGATGTCAGGGGCAAACTGTGGCATGAAGCTGCCCTATCAAAAATGGAATCATCGGGAATTGGGAAGAACACTTCTCTAGAGTCATGCCTAGTGCAATGAAAGATTGTGGTAGTTTTTGGAGTCAATCGTTTCAGTCTCAGTGCATGTCTGCAGGAGTTCCTCAGGGTAGTGACCTAGGTCTGTCCACCTCAACTGCCTCATCAATGATCTTTCCTCTGTCAAAAGGACGGAAGTGGACATGTTTGCTGATTGTGCAAGGTTCAGCACCATTTGCAACTCCTTAGTGTAGCAGTCCATGGTCTAATGCAGCAGGACAACATCTGAGCTTGGGCAGATAGGTGGCAAGTCACATTCATGCCACACAATTGTCAGATAAAAACCATCTCTACCCAGAGGGGTTCAACCATTGCCCACTGATGTTAAATGGAATTACTATTGTTGTATCCTGCACAATCAACATCTGGGGGTTAGCATTGAATAGAAACTGAACCAGACCAGTTATATAAACACTGTGTGGCTCCAAACTATTAGGAATCAGCAACATTTATTGATACCCATGTATAAATGTAGAAGTAGAGTTAATTCATGATTAAGGAGGTTTTAAAATGGATATTTTAAATGCTTAAAAATCTTTTCTTCAGTGAGGAATCTTGCATATGAAGTAACTGAACAAAAGTATTTACTTATTTACCCTTCATTTACTACTTTTACAAAACATTGAACATCTATCATGCAATATATATATGAGCCAGCCAGATTGTAACAGCAATTGTATATTACCACTAATTTTTCAAGTCTTGTATTTTATGTTGATGCCATTTTCTCAGTCTTAGTTTCCTCGTTTAAAGGAGGGAAAGGAAACTTGACAAGGCTGTCTTTGCATATTAGAGGTGACTCTTTACACCTTGTCATCTTAGCTGACTTTGCCAACAGAGTGCATATGTAAGTGTATTTTGCATGATATTATGGCATTGGCTCAGGAAAGGTGGGTTGGAAGCAATGTGCAGAGCAAGAGATCATATTTGGCACTGTTCTGTAGTCCTAATGTTTTGTAACCTTTCATTTTCCCAATTTTTATTCTTCGGCTTTCTCAAGGGGACCTCCGGAAAATCACTATAATAGTAGAGGACCCAGTGGAAGGTTTGAAAACGGCTGTCATAAGTTTCACTTTCATGAAGCAGCAGCATGCAGACTTCACTGTTATTAATGATAATAGCAGTGTCAGCTTTACCATTTGTAAAGTGCAGAAATGGAACTGGTTGATGGTCTACCTTTAAAGTCGCTTCAACCAATAAAATTCACCCATGCACCTTAAGTTCTTTCCGTAATGTTTATCATTCTAGCTCAATCTGTTTCTAATTTTTTAGAAATGAGTATGTAGAAAAGTCAATATAACTTGGCGATCTAAATGAGAACTGGTTTTTCTTCATTCAGATGATTGACCCTTTGGTTTGGAAAAAGGTTCCTTGTAATATAATCTAAATGCATATTTAACTGTATTATTATGTCCATATTCAAGTCTGTACAATCCTCAACGGAAGGATACGTGAGTTAAGTGTTTATTTTAATTGTGCTGACAGCTTAGCAAGTTTTATCTGTGCACATGCTCATACCATAATGGCAAATGCATAAAATAGCATTACTGATTGATTGAAACTGTAATTTGTTCTTTGTGGAGGAGTTCCAACAACAGTATTTGTAAAACAATCATAACTAAAAAGATCTTGCATCATGAAAGATTTTCTACAAAAAGTTTTTCCTTTTCCCCAGTGAAAGTGACATTTTCCAAAGATCTGATAGCATACGTAAAAGATTAAGACAAAAATTCTTGCAGGGTTGGAGATGAATTTCAGCTTTCTGATCAAGTTCCAACTATATCCTTTGCAGTTTCTTGGTTCTTTGAGGAAAGAAATGGCCTGATTTGCTTTTCCTTTTGTGTGACTTTCAAAGTGATAAATGTAGGTGAAGAATCATAAATGCAAACTTGTTCTATCAATATCAGTTTCAATTTGTTGGAATATCAATGATAGCATAATTTGAAGTTTTCCAAGCTTTTTAAAAAAAAAGACTGTGACCCTAATTAAAAGAGAAAAGATAATCATGTGACTCAGACATTATACATTGAAATTAGTGGGGTACTATAAACAACAAAACAGAAGATGGGTGGCCAAAATGCCACAGCATTGCTTAAACAAATTTGTTGAAGTAATGGTTTTGAGGCTGCTCAAAATGGGACTGAAGTGCTTAAAAGTGACCACTAAAACAACCGGAACCACTGATTTTTCTGAATCACAGGTCAGTGTCTGTCTTATGTAGTCTTTTCAGCGCTGGCCTGTTAATGATTGGAAATATGATTTGAGAACGCTACATAGTGCACTTAGTTTCTTGTTTGTGAATGAATTTCAGAATACTAGCAATGTAAACTGCAATCCTAAGCAACATGAAACCTACCACATTGCAGACCTGTTCCTTAAACGGGTTATAATATTTCTTTTGCTGTTATCTTTTAAGGTGTCAATTATCTGTTTGGGTGTGATTGGAACCCAGATATGGCTGTCAAACAGGAATTTCTTGATGCACAACTTTAGTTTATCGGTACCTCCTGAAATTATTTATTTTTTAAAGTGGTAATTGGATGATTTAATCTGGCTGTGTTTTTGTGAAGACCTTCAGAACTAAATAAAAGCATCTGCAGAATAATTGCTAAAGTAAATAATTTAATTAGGCTTTATTGTTTTTGGAATGATAGCCCCAATGATATGGTCTTGAACTGACTCATTTCAAGTTGCTGAAGCTATGTAATCTCACACTCTGATCTAATAGAATCAGCTTGAATCCACTGAAAACAGTGGGAGCCCTCGGGGAAAATATTTAAATGGACCCCCAAAGGCTAATGACACTGGACCCCTAGGCTGAAATAAGCTAACATTAATTGCAGAACCTAATTCTTGATATTGGTTGATGCTTACTTGGTCTGACCAGTGACACCACTTCTCTGCTTAATTTACATTTCATTGTGCATTTTGGTTTTTTTCCTCATTTTAATCTGTATTGCATGTTGCATTTAGTTTCAGTATTTGTTTTTCTAAGTGTTGATATTGTTTCTGTCCTGTCTGGTTTATGAAACCAGTTTCCAATATTAAGCAGATAATTTGAACAAAAAAACACTTAATGTTTTGAAAAGCTCCTTTGTTTTAAAGCATGTTTCTGATAAATTTAATGTTATGTTGTAAGTATTTTCTAATTAACATATTCTTTCCCAGGGTAGCAATACAATATTACAGATTTACTGAAGCTGTGAACGGTAACTCAAGGGAAGTGAAGTGATAAGTCCCTAAAATGAATGAATGACTAATTCTTCTTTGTTAGAGTCACACCTGGGAGTCAGAAACCTGAAGGAAAACAGTCCTTTCTCAGCTCGGAGTTGTCAGATCAGTTCTCCTATCTCTCCCTACCTGGAAGCTGGTAAATGCCATTTCAAATCTATTTACTTTGCTTTTGCTGTTTCAAGTTACATTCCAAATTATTTTGCTTTGGAACTTTGTTTCGACCCTACAATTCAGTAGAGGTTTGAGTCCCAGAATTTTCAAAGGTGGGAATTTTCTTCTCCGTAGAGGTGGTGTGAAAGGCACATCTGATGGGTTGGCACTGTGGCAATGCTTTATCCCTACCTCCCTTCCTTCTCTCTTCACCCCCATCTCCCACTCCACTCTACTCCTCCCCCTGTCCCTCTATTTCCCCACCCCTTCCCTGCTCTGTCTGTTCTGAAGATGCCAGAATTTGGTTAACCGGACTTCCTGATCCGCATTTGTAATAGCAGCAGAGAACCTGCTAGCAGGCAATCAGCTGGTTAATTGACACTTACTGTGGGTCGGCAGTGGGTTTCTTCCACTAACTTTTGCTTTTTGACTTGATTTGATTCACATTGAGTTTTTAGGTAAATCAGTAACAATCTGGTTAATTTCAGAAAAGGAAAGTTTTTTTATAACCTTTCAGTATCTTTGAATAAACTCTTCATAGCTTTAAGGAACTTGAGTAATCAGCCTATTCGTTGCAGATCTTTAAATACCGATATCTAAAATTTCGGTCTGAATAGAATCTTCCATTAATGTAGTTAAATACTGCTGACATTACCTACTCCATATACCGTAGCTTATGCTTCAGTATTAGAGTCTAGTGAGACTTTCATATTGAGTATTAATTGATAATGCAACATTTGATCTAATCATCATTAGTCCTGGTGAACAGTGTCTTCAGGTTTATAACCCCAAATAATTAAACTTGTTCATGCAATGTCGGTTTAATTTGTTCTAGAGGGTACCCATTGCACACACAGTTCTGATGGAATGTTTCGCCGGCCATCACAGGGCCAGTCTCTGATCAGCTATCTATCAGAACAGGACTTTGGAAGTTGTGCAGATTTGGAAAAGGTATATTTATGTTTCCTTCCTAAGCAACAGAGATGTGAAGTTTTGCTTGGCGTCTTGAATTTCTGTTCTTTTTATTTTTCTTACTTTTTTTGTGCATTTCAAATTATTATTAAGGTTAAAGTGAGCTTTCCATTAGCTTCTTTTAAAAATTCAGATTTATGTAAATTCTTGAACCACTGCTTATTCCTGCTCAGTTTTGGTTTGACATATTAAAAGCTCTTGCTTGTTTTATCAACACCACTACAATTCTTTGTTAAACTATATTTCTCTCAAGACGAGCACACTCAGACCACTAATTTCACAGTTTGGACAGTGCATTTTTTTTTCTACGTTGATCTAGTGGGTACACAAGTTTGCAGGTGTTTCCTCTGTGGCAGTAGTGTTATTTTCTTTTATTAAAACATTGCCCATTGCAATAACTGACAGATTGTTCTGTTCTCAGTCAATCTGTCACTTTCTTCTCAATCCGGAGCTATTTTCCTTGATGCTAAACAGACTATTGGAATTTTGTTGTAATTTCTGGAAAAAAAAGATTAGGATCAGTTCACAAAGATCACTTTTTGCTTTTAGACATTTTTTAATTTTCTGTGCTTCCCTTTTTTTTTGGTTGATGGCTAAGTTGATGTGGGTTTAAAAACTGTTTCCACTAGATACCTAAATGTTTACATATCATCCTGTATATTAGAATTCTCTCTGCAGATGCATTAAAGCTTTCTCAGAACTTTTTAACAAGTTTGATCTGGATTTCAATCACGTGATGGTTGGCTAGCATCTCTCTTCTATCTTCACTCCTTAAATTATGCTTGTTGAAACAATCAAATGTGATTTCACAAGTATATTAAAATGCTAAAGCTGGCCTGTTATTCTTTATCCATAATATGGGCATTTTTACTGAGTGAGGAAAAGTAAATAAAGGTGCAAATTGCACTGTACTGTACTGACAGCAAATCAACAAAGAAATTATGTTAAGTGGAAACAGAAATTGCAGCAGAAACTCAGCAGATCTGGCCGCATAAGTGGAGAGAAAACAAAGTTAACGTTTCAAGTCTAATACCCGTCTTCAGAACAGTGTTTTTTGACACCATTTCAATGTTTGTTTACATTGATGGACAGAGACACAGGGTTTATACTAACAAATTTTGAACTTGTATTTTAGAAACTTGTTTAAAATACTATTTGCTCTTGGAGGGCAGGGAGAAAAGATCTTTTTAAAAAAAAAAAAAAAACAAACAAAAATTCATTTGCTAGTTTTGAGCACTTAAAGAACTATTTTCTCTGACAGGGCTAGCCCATTTGACTAAATTTCTTTAGCAACAGAGGTATTCAGTTTTTAAGATGTGAGTAATTTGTGAGAGTTCCTCAGATTGGAGAATTCTTTTATTAACTATCCCCTTTCCCTCCTCGCTATTGTATTTACAAAATATATTGATAATATTCAAACTCATTTTTAGGAGAATGCCCATTTCAGTATCTCTGAATCACTGATTGCTGCCATTGAACTAATGAAGTGCAACCTGATGAAGAAACAGATCATGGATGATGAAGATGAGGATAGTGACAAAGAAATAAGAGAACTAAAACAGAAAATTCGTATTCGACGACAGCAGATCCGTACAAAAAACCTCCTGCCTGGATTGAGGAGCACTGAGTCAGACAGTATGTATGGCTGTGTAAATATGATCTGCTAATGAAAAATAAACCTTTTCAATATAGGCAGTCCTTGGGTTTTGAGCAGATTACGTTCCAGAGTCCATTCACAAGTTGGTTTGTATTTCACTCGGAGCAAATTGCAGGATGATCTTTGTAAATACAGGAACCGTTCAATGCCAGATTTTTTTCACAAGAGCGCCACGGTGGCTAAGTGGTTAACACTGCTGCCTCACAGTGCCAGGGACCTGGGTTCAATTCCAACCTTGGGCAACTGTCAGTGTGGAGTTTGCACTTTCTCCCCATGTCTGCGTGCATTTCCTCTGGGTGCTCTGGTTTATTCCCATAATCCAGAGATGTGTAAATTTAGGTGGATTGTGTTTAGGGATATGCAGGCTATGTGGATTAGCCATGGGAAATACAGGGTAACAGGAATAGGTTGGGGGGGGCTGGTGAGTCTGGGTGGGATACTGTTCGGAGAGTCGGTGTGGACTTGGTGGGCCAAATAGCCTGTTTCCACAGGGATTTTATGATTGATATTTGAAATTACATTCCTGTATGAGATCATGTTTGTAAGTTGCACATTTGTAAATTGGGCGCCCTCTGTATTGACTATTTGTAGATGTATACTGAAGTGGCTGTAGATATGAGTGTGAACCATTGAATGTGTGAAATTAAGTTTCCTACAATGATGGAGAAAATGTCATATCCCTTTATACCAAGTAGGTGGCATGTCAGATGTACCTGGGATATTTTTGGTAAAATATGTTCTCATCAGAGAATATGGAAGGGACAGCTTGTCATGTTTGCCAGCTATAGAAGGATTTCAATCATGTTACTGGAGGATCAACGCGTGAATCAAGATAGAGGTTTTAATCAAGAATAAAAAAAATCATCTATTAGATATGGACAACTGGGTTCAAATGAATCTCTTGAACAGTATATAGCGTGTAGGGGCAGTGTAAAGAGGAAAATCAAGAAGGCAAAGAGGGGCTTTGATGTATCCATGGCTGATAAAGTTAAGGATAATTGAATGTGATTCCACAAGTGTATTAAGAGAGGAGACCAACTAGCGAGAGTGTAGAACCCCTTAAAGATCAAAGAGGTGGTTTTTATAGAGTCATAGAGAGATACAGCATGGAAACACATCTTTTGGTCAACTCGTCCCTGCTGACCAGTTATCCTAAATTAATCTAGTCTCATTTACCAGCATTTGGCCCATATCCCTCTTAAACCCTTCCTATTCATAGCCATCCAGATATCTTTTAAATGTTGTAATTGTACTAGCCTCCTCCACTTTCTCTGGCAGACAGGATTTCGTTTAGATAAATGTGAAGTGCTGCATTTTGGAAAGCAAAATCAGGGTAGGACTTAAACTCTTAATGGGAAGGTCCCTGGGCAGTGTCGTTGAACAGAGACCTTGGAATGCAGGTAGATAAGATAGTGAAGAAGGCAAAGTTGTAGGCTTGCTCACCGAGCTGGTGTGTTTGATTGCAGATGTTTTATCACCCTGCTAGGTAGCATCGTCGGTGTGCCTCACGTTTATTAAATTAAATTCCCACCTGCCACTCCTCAGCCCATTAGCACATCTGTTCAAGGCCCTGTTGTACTCTGAGATAGCCTCCTTCCCTGTCCGGTGCATCTCCAATTTTGGTGTCTTCTACAGATTCACTAACCATGCCTCCTGTGTTCACATTCAAATCATTTATGTAAGTGATGAAAGGCAGTGGATGCAGCACCAATCCCTGTGGCACACCGCTGGTCACAGGCCTCCAGTCTGAAAAGCACCCCTTTGCCACCTCCCTCTGTATTCTACCTCTTTGAGCCAGTTCTGTATCCAAATGGCTAGTTCTCCATATATTTCATGTGATCTAATCTTGCTAACCAGTCTACTGTGAGGAACCTTGTCAAACGCCTTTTTGAAGTCCATGTAGATCACATCCACTGCTGTGTCCTCATCAATTCTCTTTTTTATTTCAAAAAAATTCAATCAGCTTAGTGAGACACAAATTCCCATGCATAAAGCCATGTTGACTATTCCTAATCAGTCCTTGCCTTTTCCAAATCGTGTAAATCAGGATTCCTTCCAACAACTTGCCCACCACTGATGCTGGGCACAACGGTCTGTAATACCCTGGCTTTTCCTTACCACATTTATTAAATAATGGCACCACATTTGCCAACCTCTAGTCTTTTGGCACCTCACCTTTGGCTAATGATGATCCAGATATCTCAGCAAGGGGCCCAGCAATCACCTCCCTATCTTCCCACAGAGCTCTAGAATGCACCTGATCACGTTCTGGGGATTTATTCACCTTTATGCATTTTAAGATGTTCAGCACCACTACCTCTATAATATGGACATTTTACAAGATGTCACTATTTATTTCCCCATGTTCTGTGACTTCCATATTCTTCTCCACAGAAAACACTCTTGAACCTCGGATATTAAATGAATATTTTGAGTTTTTACCATGGAGAAAGAAATGGAGGGTAAGGAACTTTGAAATAAACATTGATGTTTTGAAAACTGTTCATAACAGAAGCAGAAGAGCTGGAGGTCTTAGAAAATATGAAGGTGGATGAATCTCTGGGACCTAATCTAGTGTGTCTTGGGAAGTTAAGGTGGTGTTGCAGGGCCTCTTGCAGAAATATTTGTATCACCTATAACTACAAGTGAGTGTCAGATGACTGGAGAGTGACTAATGTGCTTTTGTTTAAGAAGGGATGTAAGGAGACGTCTAGAAACTATAGTCCTGTGAGTCCTGAAAAATGCATTTGGAGAGGCAAGGAATGATTAGGGATAGTCAGCATTGTTTTGTGTGAGGGAAATTGTCTCTCTGAACCTTGGTTTTTTTTTTTTTTTTTTTTTTTTGAGGAAGTAACCAAGAAGATAGAAGGCAGAGCGGTTGATGTTGCTTACCTGGACTTTAGTAAAGCTTTTGGCAAGGTTCTGCATGAAGGACTGATTAGTAAAGTTAGATCATGTGGAATTCAGGGTTAGCTTGTCAATTGGATACAAAATTAGCTTATTGGCAGGAGACGGAATGGTGGTGGAGGTTGTTTTTCAGACTAGAGGCCCGTTACCAGCGGTGTTCCACAGGGATTGGTGCTGAGTCTGCTTTTTTGTTCATTATATAAATGACTTAGATCAGAACATACAAGGCATGGTTAGTAAATCTGCAGATGACTTCACTATCCACTGTACGACAAATTTTGAAGATTACCAAAGAGATCTTGATCAATTGGGCCAATCGGCTGATGAACAGGTAAATGGATAGATAAATGTAAATTATTGCATTTTGGTAAAACGGACAAGGGCAGGACTTGTACAATTTAAAAGCAGGGCCTTGGGTAGTGTTGTAGAACAGAGACCTAAAGGTTCAGGTACATAATTCTTTGAAGTTTGCGTCACACTAGACGTCGTGGTTAAGGCATTTAGCATTCTTGCCTTAGTTGCTCAGTCCTTTTGAGTATAGGAGTTGGGACATTGTGTTGAGGTTGTAAAGGAAGTTGGTGAGGTCTCTTCTGGAGTGCCAGGGCCGGTTCTGGTTGCCCTGAGAGAGCAAGGATATTAGTAAGCTGGCTATGGTTCAGAAGACATTTACCAAAATGAGTTATAAGGGGAGGCTGGATAGGCTGGGACTTTTTTGGTGTAGGAGGTTGAGGGGTGACCTTGGATTATAAAATCATGAGGTGAATGGCAGATGTCTTTTCCCTAGGGTGGGGAATTTCAAAACTAGGTGTTATAGTTTTAAGGTGAGAGGAAAAAGATTTTAAAAAGACATGAGGGGCAACTTTTTTTTTTACATCGTGGTTCATGTGAGGAATGAACTTCCAAGAGAAGTGGTGAATGTGGGTACCGTTGCAACGTTTAAAGATATTTGGATAAGTATGTGAATAAGAAATGTTTGGAGAGATATGGGCCAAGTGCAGGCAGGTGGAATTAGTTAAGTTTGGGATTAAGGTTGGCATCGACTAGTTGGACAGATTGATCTGTTTCTAAGATTCTGACTGTGACCCCAAAGTGATGCACTGTTTGATCCTAAAAGTGGATACTGTAAGGGAGCAGTCCTGAAGGGGAAGGAAATAATGACAAAAGGAACATATGAAGATTGAGTATTTGCAAATGCATAAAATGATAAAAGGAACCCTTCTATCTACCATTCTTCACTGTGACATAATGCCATAAAAGAAGGACCATAGTAGAAAATTTCTTCATTGGAACAACCATTCAGATGAAACATTGTGGTCAAATAACAATATTGAATCTCATTTTATAACATTGCACCTCGTTTAAATTGTTATGAATAGCCAAATTCCTAGTGGTGTTGCAATTATGAAAGCATAAAACTATTACATTCATGTATGGAATAAATATCTGAAGACAATTCCTAGTCTTCTCAAAATTGTAAATTGTGGTTAAGAGGTCTGAGTCAGTCATTTTAAATATAAAAGTTGGTGAGCTATGTTATAGCTGTCTAAAACTTCAGATAGGTCACATTTGGAATATTACATGCAGTTCTGGTCGCCACACTACCAGAAGGACACGGATACTTTTGAAGAGGTTATTACCTGGTCTGAAGTGTTTTAGTTATAAGGAGAGGTTGCATAATCTAATTGTTTTCACTGGAAAGCTGGAGGCTGAGGACAACCTGTTAGAAAATTGAGGCATAGATAGGGAGGATAGTCAAACTTGTTCCCAGGATGGAAAGGTGAATTAAGAGGGTGCAGGCTCAAGGTGAGAGAGGGGAGAAGTGTGGGGAAAATTGTTCAGTGGTGGGTGCCTGGAACGCACTGCCAGTGGAGGTGGTGGAATCTGGCACGTTAGCCGGATAGACACAAGAACAAGAAATGAATAAAGGGATAGAAACTGCATATGGGCAATAAGTAGAGGCCCTAAATAAGGATTAGGAATTGGTGCAGGCTTGGTGGGCCAAAGGGCCTGTTCCTGTGCGGTATTGTATTATATTAACCTGGAAGACTTCCTAGAAACCAATTGCATGGTTGAACTGAAGCATCATCTAATGCTGAGTGATCTGGAGCTGCATTGTTAGATTTTATTTTCAAGTTTAGCCTGTGGCTGTGACTCTCCCAATGTGAATAGTCAAATTTTGAATTGCTTCAAGAACATTTCACAACTTCAGAATGACTCGGAATGTTTTACTGCTGGTGAAGTGGAATCACTCTTGCTCTGTAGGGAAATATGGCAGTAAATTAGTTCAGTTACTGTCCCAACATATTAATGGCCAGCTATTTGTATTTGTGGGGTTGGCTGAAGGGTAAACTTTGACCAGGATTATGGGGAAGCACTCATGCTATGATATGTTTCATCCACTAGAAAAGCAGGCGCAACTTCATAAGATCAGCGAACAGTATTAGGCCATTCGGCTCACGGTCTGCTCCATAATTCTATCACGGCTGATGTGTTTCTCAACTCCATTCTCTTGCCTCTTCCCCATAACCTTTGATCCCCTTTACTAATCAAGAAATGCCTCTTCATCTCCGTCTTAAAGGGTTGTTCCTTCACTGAAGGAACTGAAGCTGTGCCGTCTGGTTGTAGTCTGTCCTAGCGGAAATGTCGTCCATACTTGTACTCTTTCTAGGCTCCTCCATATTCTGTGAGCTTCAATGAGATCCATCCCCATTCATTGTTCTAAACTTCAAGTACAAACCCAGAGTCGTCAACCACTCCTCATATGACAAGCCCTTCATCCCCAGGATCATTCTTGTAAGCTTCCTCTGGAACAACTCCAACGCTAACATATCCTTTGATATGGGGCCCAAAATTGCTCATAACATTCCAAATGCAGTCTGACCAGAGCTTTGTATAGCCTTGGCAGTGCATCCCAGATCATGTATTCTAGCCCGATCAAAATGAATGCTAACATTGCATTTGCCTTCCTAACTGTCAACTGAACCTGCAACTTAACTTTAAGCGAATCCTGAACTAGGAACTCCTTAGTCACTTTGTGCTTCGGATTTCGGAGCCCATTCCCCCACTTAGTAAATTAACTTGCGCCACTATTCTTCGTACAAGAATATGGGTGGTGTCTCAGACCAGCCTGCTGGCCTTATGGTGGTGGTCCCTCAGAATGGACTGCTAGTCTCCAAATAATTCCAGTCATTTTCTGGTCTCGTGAGCCCTGAAGTGAAGCCCAGCATGGTTTGGAGTTGAGGCTAGGTGCCAGCATTTCTCCATTTTATAATTTATTCCTAAAATCTACAGTGCTGGACGTTTACTCCTCTATTTTTTCGAAGAACTGTAAGTGAAGAAGCTATACCTAAGGACTTTTGTACCTAAGATGGTGTCACAAGCAGTGACTTGTACACTTTTCACTGTACTCATTTGAGTACATGTGGCAAAGCTAATTCTAATTCTACAAAAATGGATAACTTCAACTTTCATTGTCTTTCATTTGCCACTTTTTTGCCCAGTCTCCTAACCTGTCCAAGTCCTTCAGCAGCCTCCTTCCACAACACCACCTGTCCTTCCACCTATCTTTTGTGTCATCTGCAAACTTAGCAACAATGTCCTCAGTTCCTTCATCCAAATCATTAATGTATAACGTGAAAGGTTGTGGTCCCAACACTGACTCCTGCAGAATTCCACTAATCACCTGGCTGCCATCCTGAAAAAGATCCCTTTATCTCTACTCTCTGATTTCTGCCAGTCAGCCAATCTTCTAGTTATGGCAATACCTTGCCCGTAATACCGTGGGCTGTTGTTTTATTTTGCAATTTTAAAGCTTAATCTCTCATCCACAAGAAAACATTTCTTCACTGTTTCACTGAAGTGACAGTCTAGTTTATTTGACCAGGTCTGACTTTGAGCCCATGACATTTTACTCGGGCATGAATATGTGGCTAAAAGACTGAGGGAGAATTGGATTCTGGTTTAGAGTACTGGCTCAGTTTATCCTAGGGCCTTGTGGGAGATGGCTAATGAGGTTGTTGCTACATTGGTGTTAACTTTCTAAAACTCAAGGGAATCTTTCCAGAATCTGGTGAAGTGGAAAGGAGTAAATATAACTCCTTTACCCAAAAGGAAGGGAGGCAGAAAACTGGAAACTGTACTTCAGTTAGCTTGGCATATATCATGGGGAAGGTGTGGAATTGATCATTAGATAGTTCAGACTGGGCACCTTTTTAAAAAAAATGAAGGTAATTGGGAATAGTCAGCATTTATTTACACAAAGGTGAATACTGTTTAACCAAGTTATTAGATTTCCTTGAAGCAGGAACGTGCTGTGGGTAAAGGGCAGCCTGTAGATGTATTGCGCACAAATTTCTCGAAGGCATTTGACAAGGTGCCACATAAGTTATTGTGCAAAATAGAAGCTTATGGAGAGGACACAGCATATTAGAATGGATGGAAGATTGTTTTCTGTCAGTTAGCCAGAATATGCATGAAAATAAAAAGATTTAAAAAGGACATGAGGGGCAACTTTTTTCACAGTGGTTTGTGTGTGATATGAACCTCCAGAGGAAGTGGTGGATGCCAGTACAGTTACAATGTTTAAAAGACATTTAGATAAGTACATGAATAAGAAATGTTTGGAGGGGTATGGACCATGTGTAGGCAGTGGGACTAGTTTAGTTTGGGATTATGGTTGGCATGGACTGGTTGGACCAAAGGGTCTGTTTCTGTTCTGTATGACTCGGACTGTAGAAATGAGTCATCTCTTGGTTGGCGGAATGTGCCAGGTGGAGTCCTGCAGTGGTCTGTACTGAGGCCTTGGCTTTTCGTATTTTGTATCAATGACTTGGATGGGGAGGTTGGGGAAGGGAGGTGGAATAAAGTTATGTCTGAGACAATCCTTTAAGTGAAAGATTATTGGGAGTAGGTGGGCAGGTGGATTTGAGGTTTCAATCTGATAAATCATGAATGTATTGAATGGCAGAGCAGACTCGAGGGCCTGAATAGCCTGTTCCTGTTCCTGATTTACAATTATTTATGTACATGTGTTTGTATGTAGATAGGTAGGAAATTAGTTTGTGGAAGGGACCTATGGAGAATGCAGATTAGTATGAGTGAATGGGCAGAAATCTGACAGATGGAGTATGATGTGGAAAAATGTGAAGTTGTCTGCTTTGGCAGGAAGATTAATGAAGTGTTTGAAGTAAATGGAGAACAAGTGCAGTTTTCCAAACTGCTGAGGGATCAAGTTGCTCTAGTGCATGAGTCACAAAGTTAGCATGCAGATATAACAAATAATTAAGAAGGCTAGTGTAATGCTACACTTTGGTATGAGGGGAATTGAACTTAAAAGTAAGGGTGTAATCCTTCAGTTATGCAGGGCATTGACGAGATCACGTCTTGAATACTACTTGGAGTTTTGGTCTCCTTGTTTGAAGAAGGCTGTATTAACTTTGAAGGCAGTTCAGAGGAGGCTTACCACATTGCTAGCTGGAATTATTCAGTTGTCTTCTGAGGAAAGGTTGGACTGACTGGTTTCCGTTGGAATTCAGAAGAGAGTGGTGTGATTTAATTATAGTATGTAACATTCTGAACGGCCTTGACAAGATGGACATGAAAGGGATGTCCCCATTTGCGGATGATCCCAGAACTGGAGTCGCTGTTTTAAAAATGAGCGATTCCCTTTTAACAGAGGTGAGGAGAAATATCTTTCTTAATTTTTGAATGCATTGCCTCAGAAGGCAGTGTCATTGAATATTGTTAAGGTGGAGATAGGGGAGCCACCCATCAGGGGTGAATGGGAATATGAAATTTGAAATGCAAGTCAATCAACTATGATTTCATTGAATGGCAGCTCAGCCTTGAAAGGCCTAATCTGTCTTCTGCTCCTAATTCCTATGTTTTATGCCAACCAACCAGCCATCTGTACGGTTCAGTTAATTCAGCATGCGTTGATTTAACTTTTCATTCATTTATGTTAAATGAACCCCTAAAATGCAAAGGTTTCACAAACACTTTCACTTTCACAGCCTGCACCACAGAAAGTGGGTCCCCTATCAGCTCCCGTGATTCTGCGCCATTATCAGATTCTGGATCTACTGATGGAGTGGATGAATTCGAATTAAAAGGTATTGTCAACGAGAAAAGTGCAAATTGTGGAACGGGCAAAGTCCATTCTGCTGATGTGGCTGCTTTTCGGCAGACTGACACAGTTACACTACCTTGGACTTTCCACAATTGTTTAGTGATTTGCCAAAAATGAGAAACCTCATAAAACCTGTACCATTATTGTACCATACCATAACTATAGTTAATTATAAGTAAAATGCCAAGTTATCACATTTTCATGACTGATAAGATCAAAATACATGGAATGTTTCATAAACTCTGCCTATCTTCCAATATGTACCTGCAATTATTATTGATGCATTGACTTGTGAAAAATTAATTTCTTGAGACTTAATTTACCATGTATCACTTTGCAAGGGAGAGAAAATGATATTCTTGATATCGTCTTCCTTGTATCATACTCCATCTTTATTGAATTTGTTGAAGTTGGCTACCCATATTTTAGAACCTGCATCGTGTATCACTGCATTTTCTCCAATGGGAATAAGTGCAATTTTGTTACATGTGAATACAGAACATAGCTTTTAGTTCTCTGTTATAGTGTGATTGGACCTTTTTTTTTTTTGGAAGAGCCATCAGAGTTTTTAGGACAAACACATTTGATAAAGGGCATCATCATCACTTAACTGGGGTGAACTATGGATAATTCAGTTGCAAACTGACTAAGGGAGGAACTGTCAATAACATTTTTAGCCAAAGTATCTACAAGACCAGATATAGATCTAATTTTGTAAGGTACTACAAAGTATTAGTTTAATCTCCTTTTTCCTTTTTCCCAACTGATCTACTTGTGCTTGATTAGATGTGCAACTGACATTGGTCGCGTTTTTCCCTCTTGTGTATGTATACTCTTTTTAGTAAGAAAAGCATATACTAAAGATCTTTGTGGTTCATTAGTTTTTATAATCCTATTTGTACCATGTGTTGTGGTGTATCAGAAGTAACACCTCCAACATAGAAATAATGTAATGACTGTAATTGAATGTCACTTAAAGAAAATCTGTCTTAAAATATTAAACGTCTGTTTGTATAATTATTACTGCATTCCAAAAATAATGATTTGAGCATAACATTTTCACAAAGTGATGCAACAGAAGGTTGCCTGTTTATATTTTCCCTTTTCACTTTCCCAGACTATCAAGATCTGTCCTTAGTGATCTGAATAGCAATCATTAGCTGCAACATGTTGAAGTAAAATAATTAATAACTGTCAATTAGTGCATTGTTTTTATTTCAAAAGTGTTGCTAATGAACATTCCCTTAAATTGCAAGTTCATTATTTCCATTATAAAGCCGTTATATCCCTTTCAATTTAGCACAGTAACCATTAAGTGAATAATTATTACAGATTGGTACTTGAGTTTATTTTTTGGCTTTATCAGGCAGAGCTTTACTGCCCAACTGCCTGCACACTACTGGGAAAAGCTGTTGGAATGATGTAAATCTTATTGTCACTGTGTCATACAGATTGTATTGATGAGTCAAACCTCATTCACATGTCAGCGAATGGGCTCTCAGCATCAATGGCATCATTGTTTTCAGGTATTTCATTAGTGATTTAGATGTCGTTTGATTGGTTTCCAATGCTTGAATTCCACAGCACTTAAGGGAGAGCTCAGTCTGCTATTAAGAGGCTTATTATAATTAGTATAATTTTGCTCATTGCAGTTTAGTAAATTTATTTTTTGGTGTTCCAAATCAATTTTTAAGAGTCCTTTAACTGAGTTGGAAACAAAACTATTGTATGTCGTGCAAGCTTTGTCATTCAGATTTCACAGAATTGCGACTTATTGGAAAGTAACGTGACAGGCTAGACCAGTTTTGAGCTAAATGAAGTATTGAATCTGTCTGGACCATTAGACAAGTGAGCAACAACTTTATCAAAAATGAAAAAGTGTTTTAGCACTCTGCTCATTTGAGCCAAAAGAATCTACGTTAGTCTGCCTTTTTAAATTGGAAGGAAAATTTTCTTTTCAAAAGATTTTTTTTTTTTCTAGGTATTATACTAGTTCGTGCCTAGTTTCTGGAATTCCTGCTTGTGGTTCCATGCTGAAACCAAGTGCGTCCCCCATGGGGGCAGAATGGTTGAAAGTTGTCCATGGCCAACTGTTGTATGTTGGCAGCTAAAAGCAGCGTTGGAAGGGCCCCTTAAGCAGGCTGAAGCCATAGAGAAGACACATCTGACACCAGGAAAAAATGAGTATCTACCATAACAGCAAAAAAAGGTCTATGTTGTTGAAACGTTGTGTACTTAAATACAAACTCAAAGGTGCAACTCCAGAAGATCCAGAATAACACTTAGTTCGTGATTTTTTTTTTTATTGATCCACTGATTTTTTTTTTTTTTTTTTTTTTTTTGTCTTGGTAATTTGGCCCGCATCCTCCTTGCAACAGCTTTCATTGGAATTAAGTTCCACAGGTATTGGTAGTCGTTATCCAATTGGCCATTTCTCCAAGTGTTTCCATCATAAGTAACATATGATTAACAGTTAGGTGATTAAATGTTTCTAATTGAATTTCTGGAAATGGTGTTTCATTGCATTTTCACTGGTGGACCCTGGATGGTTGGTTGGTTTTTGTTTTTCTTTTTCTGATCTGGAGAAGTTGAGGCCAGTTGTGCCTTCAATTCCATCTGAGCAAAAATCACTGAACTCATTTTTGTTATTGATGACCTTGAAAATTGTTTATTGATAAATTTGTAATGTAAGTCTGCAGCTCTCCCTAGAGTTCTCTGGCGCTTTGTTTTATGTTGTTTTTTATTGTAGTTAGGCTCCAAAAAGGACCTTTCCTTGGGAAATATAAATGGTCTGTTGATTACTTTGCTAAGTGAAATCCGATCATTATAACATGTAGCTGTGCAGTTAATAATTCAAATAATTCTCCTTAATGTTCCCTTTCATTTTTCATTTAATTATGCTCTCCAATAAGGAAACTTTGACAAAATAAGCTAAATGGCACAATTAGGAAAGGTGTCTCTGAAAATAACTATTCTTGGGTACCAGCACTCAAAACTAATTAATCTTCTCGATCAAGATCGATAAAGTTACCAATATGGTAGACCAGTATCATTTTCAGTTTGTTTGACCAGATGGATTGGGAAAGTATTCCAGTGTTTGGTACATTCATTGCATGCCTGCATACAGTTAAGATCTCTTCCAGGATTTTTTTTAATTTTCCTGAGACTTGGATTGAGATTTGAAAACTTGTGGTCTGCTAAATGACAAATTTCACTTCAGTGAACTGATTCTGGCTTCTGCTCATTCTGTAATCTTCTTATCTTTTTTGTCAGAGCCAAAGGTTTATAAAAGTGGTGGAATTTGCCATGTTTTATTCTAGCCGAAAGCACCTGATTCATATCTGGCATACTGATTTTAATATTTAAATTTTTTTGTCCTGCACAGCTTTCCCTTTATGATATTATCTAAATTGTGATAGATATTGTATTTTTAATAAGTTTTAAAGCTTGATTCCACTACCTGATGTAATTTACATTGCTAATTGTATTCTGAGGAATGGTCCTTTTGCAAGTATTGTGTTGTCTTGGTGTCTTCCCTTTTTAAATAGCTTTAATCTGAATTTATCAACTGTTAAATTTGGTGGTAAGTTAAGTTGCCACTATTAAGCTGCTTTATGAGCATTGTTCAAGGAATTAGTTCAATGTCTAATACATCGTACTGCTCCCTGGGTCTGACTTTGAATAAATCTTGCATTAATGTGAATGAATATGGCATTAATTCATGTGAAATGAATGCCTTAGCACACCAATTAATTTTGCTGTTCACAAAAATTATTTAACACAGCTTTTTCAAATGTATGCCAATGTTTATAGAGATGGAGGTCAACAAAACATAACAAACAAGCTGTCCCACTTTCTTAACAGATAAAGAGGAAAAAAATTAAACAGCATTGAGTCATAATTGTTTATTGTTACCAAAGTCATTTATAAATGTTACCTTGCATGATAACTACAGTTAGGTCTTTAAAATCTTTCAAGATGTGTTGTCTCTATAGTGGAGTACAACTGCTTTGTTCGAAATTTGTTGTAAGGAATCTCGCATTGAATCAAACCTGACAAGTCCCAACTCTCACTGGCTGCTGGAAGTTCTTACAATGATTTCTTTCTTTCCGCCCACCCCACCCTCCCCCATTTCTTCTGATCCTTAAGGAAACTGGAGATGTGGAAAGTAACGGACATAAGCAAATGTCCAATTGTTCTTTGAATATTTTGGACCTTCTCGTTCCTTCTGCTGTTCATGTTGCTGTGTCGTTAATCGTTTAGTTTTATGAGAATTGAGTTAGTTGTAACTTAGATTGTTGGGTTTGCATGCAGTGAAATATGTCTTTATTTCACCCATTAGCACTCTGAAAATAAGTATCTGTATGTGGAGAAGCTTTATTTAATCCATTAAATACGGTGCATTAGTGTTGGAGCCATTCTTCAAACTTTGGAAAAGGTCCCTTGAGTTTGGTCTTTGGTCCTCCAAAAACATGTCTTGAACATTGTGTTGTTTTGTTTTACAGATGCAGATATTAGAAAGAGTTTAGCTTCAAGGAGCAAATCAGCGATCAGCTCAGAGTCCATGTAAGTCTTAACTAAAATCTGTATTAAAGTTTAAACTTAGATTAGGACTTGGAGTATTAGTCTCTGTGGTTGATGTGAAATGCCAAAGCATGGACACATTGCACTTCTAGGTAACAAATGTTGCCTTCACTGTTGATCGAACTTGTCCAATTTCATTTTCCATTGCTTATGATTTTTCAAACCTGCTGACCCATTCCTACCAACACTAGAGTACATTATAAATCAAATTATGAATTGCTGATCTAAGACATGTCCATTATGACATGATTTGGTGCAACCTTCCTGACTTAGTTGCTTTGAGGTTGCACATAACCAAAATAATGCATCATAGAATTGTTACTGTATGGAAGCCCATCATCCCTGCGCCAACTCCAAATGCTTGTTCTGACTTTGTGCCTTTTTCCATAGCCCTACACAATATCTGTTAATTATCTAGTGCCTGCATGAATGTTTTGGATGAACCTGCCTCTAGCGCAATTCTGCTCAATCTCTGACACTATTTTATGCACATTGCATTTGCTAGTCCTAACCTCCTCCCAATCTGTCCTATTAGTTGAAATTCATAAACCCTGAATCTATTCTTGTACACCTTATTTTAACTCTCCAATGTGCTCGCACGTTTCCTAAAGTCTGGCAACCAGAAATGTGCACAGTCCTCCAGTTGAGCTCTAGCAAGCGTTCTGTATAAGTTCAACATACATTCTCTTGCTCTTGTACTTTATCACTATTAATGATCCAGGATATGGTCCACTTTGCACCCTGTTTAAAATTGTGGTCCCAGCACTGATCCCTATGGCACCCTCCCTGTTGCAGGTCTGAAAGTGTTATTAAGTACCCTAACATTTAGTATTTTATTATACCTTATGAAAATCAAGGATCTGACATCCACTGCTTCTCATTTATCTATCCTGCTTGTTACCCCACAAAGAATTCTAGTAAATTTGTCAGACCTGATCTCCAATTTAGGAAGCCATGTTGACTCTGCTTGATCATATTTTTCCAAATCCTCTGAGATTGTATCCTTTGTAATAAATTCTCACTTTCCCAATAACAGACATTAAGCTAACTGGTATAAAGTTACCTTTTTTTTTAATCTCCTCTATTTTAATAGAAGTGTTACCTTGTCAGTTTTCTAATCCTTTGAGACTTTTACAGAATTGAAGGGTCCTTCAAAGATTACTACTAGTGCATCCACTTTCTCTGTAGCTACTTCCTTTAATATCCTAGGATGCATCCCATCAGGTCCAGAGAACTTACAATTATTTTGCCCCATAAGCTTTGTTAGCACTTTTCTCTTGTGATTGTTGTATTTGCTGTTTCACCTCTTTTTGTCCCTTGATTCATGAGTAATTTTGGAATGCTGTTAATGTCTTCCTCTACAAAGACTGATGCAGTGCATTTTTCAGCTCCTCTGCCATTTCCTGGTTCCCCATTCTTATCTACCTAGTCTTGTTCTCTGAGGCTGTGTTAACTTTGGTTTCTGTCTTTTTTTAACATATTTAAAATCTCAAGAATTGCACTGAAAATGAGCAAATCAGTCCCACCTACTACCAACAGAAACTTCAACTTCCAAACTGTTACCTCATACTTATTGTATGAGAACTTCTAGAGGGCCCAGACATACATATTTAAGGGAACATCCGATCTCTGATTATCCAGGGACCATAAGATCTGGATCTTGGTTTCAAGAATCCAGTTATTACAACCAATTACATGTTCAACCTAGATAACGTTTGAAAAATAAACAGAACCATGGTTGAAAAGAAGTTCGCTGGTTTTCATAACTTAGGACTACTTTCTATTGAGGGCAACAATATAAATTTAATAATTCTCTAGTTTGGCATGCCAATCTGCAGGGATGTAATGAGCTCCAAATCATAAACGCACAGGAGATAATGCTATGAAATATTGTAACTGTGAATTAAAACTGAAAAAGTGCTCAGTAATGGAATGATACTGAAGTTAGAAGCACTGAATCGTAACTTTTTTGAGTTTGCTGAATAGAGGAGTAATTGACTTTATACTGAGAAATAAAACGCATGGACAGTTTATTGCTTTGACTTCCTGGCAAAACCTTAAAAACTGAATAAAATGGTCATGTAATTACAACTGATGTCACTTAGAGAAGTACGACACTGAGTAACCGGTACATTGTGGAGGTTAAACGTTTTCTGCATGGTGTATCCTAGGATATAGAATGTTGAATGGCTCAGCATGCGGGGAGCTCCTGGGTACCATTGTGATCTTGGACAAACTTGTCTGCTGTAAGTGTATGAAGCTTTAGCAACTTTAGTTCAGTTTGAGCTGGAGGCTGAACCACAAACTATAAACAAGTCAGGGAGAAGATTATCTGCATTCTTCGGACTCTGAGGTAGTTGCATCACATAGGATAGAGCCTTCTGATTTGGTAAATGGTCAGGAACTGAATGTGACTGAGGCAGGTAAGGGAACCCAGAGAGCAGTTCAGGAAAGTCAGCCTCTGCAATTATCCAGTAGGTTTGTGGTTCTCTCTTCCTGTTTGGATGAGAATGTGGTCTGCAGTGTGGTTGAGTAAATTGACTATGGCATCATGGTACAGGAAGCTGTTGAATGAGGGGGAGCAACACAGAATATAATAACAGTAGATGATATAGGGAGGGGAACTGACATTTTCTTTGCTGCAAAGGGTGGGAATCTAGATGACTAGTGCCAGCCCAATGCCAGGGTTCAGGGTATCTGCTCATGGCTGGAAAGGAATGTACACTGGAAGGGAAATGGATCATGACCACTGGATCATGTAGATGCCAATGACATCAATAGAATTAGGAAAATGTTTCTTAGTGTGTGAGGAACTAGGTACGTAAATAATAACTTTTAAAAAGTGAAACCTCGGAGGTTGTAATCTCTGAATTATTAACTGAGCCAAATGCAAATTGGCATAAGATGCAGATAATTAAAGATGAATATGTGGCTGAAAGGTAGAGAATTGGGTTCCAGTTGATGGACTAGCTGTTGGTGGTTTTGGGTTTGGAAGGTGCTTTCTAAGGAGCCTTGCTAAATATCTGGGTTGCACTTCTAGCTGGTATACACACTGCTGCTACTGTGTGGCGGTGGAGGAAGTGCACGTTGCACATCCACAGTCAATAAAGTAGTATGCTTTATCTTGATGGTAAGAAGAATTTTCAGAGCTTCTGGAGATGCTGTCATCAAGGCAAGTTGGGAGTATTCCATCATATTGCTGACTTGTGCAGTGCTGATGCTGTTTAGGGATTTGGGAGACAGGAATTGAGTTACTTACTGCAGGATTCATAGACTCTGAGCTGCTCTTGTTGCCACAGTATTTATATGGCTGGTCCAGTTCTGTTTCTGGCAACCCCCAGGATATTGATAGTTGAGGATTCATTGAGGGTAATGCCATTGAATGTCAAGGAATGATGGTTAGACTTTCTCTTCTTGGAGTTGGACTTTGTCTGGCATTTTTGTCATGTCTGAGTTACTTGCCACTTACCTGCCCAAGCCTTTTGGAGATGGACTGCTTCAGTACCTGGGGAGTTGCAAATGGTGCTGAGCGTTGTGTGATCATTGGCAAAACGCCCCACTTCTGATCATGTGATGGAGGAAAATCATTGAGGAAGCAGCTGAAGATGTTTGGGCCTAGGGCACTACGCTGTAGAACTCATGCAGAGCTGTCCATGAACTGAAATGACTGACCTTCAATGGCCATTTTCCTTTGTGCTAGGTGTGACTCCAAACAGAAGGATTTTTGTAATTCCAGTTGACTCCAATTTTGCTTGGGCACCTTGATGCAATGCTTGGTCAAATGCAGCCTGTGAAGGACAGTCATTGTTGCCTCACCTTGAGTTTTTTTTTCTGAGAGGTCTAGGCCCGAAACATCAGCCTTCCTGCTCCTCTGATGCTGCTTGGCCTGCTGTGTTCATCCAGCTCTACACCTTGTTATCTCAGATTCTCCAGCATCTGCAGTTCCTACTATCTGAGTTTTACTGTTGTTCATACTTTAATCAAGACAAATGATGAGCCAAGTGGGGAATTAGAGGATTGAAAACTGCCTATGAAATACCTATTTAGAAAGGGAAGGAGACAAATAACAGCTAATTGTAGGCCAGTTAGCTGAATGTCTGTTTGAGATTATAATAGAGTATAACAGCAGAGCATTTAAAAATGAATAAAATGATCAAGCAGAGCCATCATGACTTCACAAGGGGAAATCATGCCTGACTAATTTATTAAATTCTTTGAGGTGACAAGTGGGATAAATAAAGGAGAAGCAGGAGATTTAATACATTTGGATTTCCAGAAGATATTGATAAGGTACCGTGTTAGGCTGCTTGATAAGACAAAAATCCATGCTCTTAGGGTGATGCATTAACATCGATATAATGGTGGTGTTGGTGAATTCATAATGATGTTTGGAAGGAAGTTCCAGGATTTTGACCCAGCAACAGCAAAAGAATGTCTATTTAGTTTCAAGTCCAGATTGTTTATGGCTCAGAGGGGACCTTGCAAGTAATGGTGTATGCATGCTGACCTTGTTCTTTGAGATGGTAGTGGTTACGGATTTGGTAGGTGCTGTCGAACAAACTTGGTGAGTTCCTGGAGTGCAGCTCATGTATAGAGCACAGTGCTGTTACTGTGGTTGGTGATGGAGGGAGTGAGTATTTAAGGTAGTGAAAGGAGTGTCCGTGAAGTGGGCTGCTTTACTCTGGATGGTTGTCAAGTGTCTCAAGTATTGAGGGAGCTGCACTTGCCATCCAGGCAAATGGAGAATATTCCTTCACACTCCTGACACGGGCTTTATAGATGACGGCAGGCTGTTCTCATGAGTTAATGCTTCAAAGGACAGGGTTAGTGGGGTTTGGGGGGCTGGGGGCACAACAGGGGATGCCTGGAAGAACTGTTTTGTTATAAGTAGTAATTCTCGTGAGGGTGGTGGAAGCAATGAGTCATTTTAAAACGAAATTAGATGGAAATTGAAGGAATTAAATATTAGGGTATAGGAATGAAACAGGGGAAATGGGACTGGCAGGCTTGCACTATGGAGAACTGGAATATTTTTAATGAACCAAATGGTTCCTTTCATGTTGAAATGACAACTCGTACATGATATAGCTTACTGAAAGAGGACACTAGTGCATCTCCAGTTTTAATCCTGTCTTTGCGATAGTTCAAGGTTCTTGCCTTGGCTTTGTCTGTATTGTGACTGTGTAATAAGTTATTTGATCTCACGTTGGATGGTTTATATTTACTTACAGAGTAAAAGGAAGACGTTCAGAAGTAAAATGTACTTTCAGGTTTTTAAAAAAAAATCCATAATTGCATTTTTATTTATGTTGCAGTACATTCTCAGTCCTTCATTCCAACTCAGCTGAGGCAGTTGCCATGGGCCTGCTAAAACAGTTTGAGGGGATGCAGCTTCCTGCTGCCTCTGAGCTAGACTGGTTGGTTCCAGAGCACGATGCTCCTCAGAAGGTAGGAAGCAATTACATTTTTCATTTTGCAACTATAAAGAAACTTGATGTGATGACTAGTAGTTTGATAATCGAAACTAAGTAAAGCAATCCTGAAAATTTCATCGTCATATAACATGCCTGGCTTTTTATATTTAAATTACTATTAAAAGCAGTAGCAGCTTGATTATTCACTTTTTGTGGCAGGGATTTCTGGTGCTTAATGGAAATTAGTAGATCTCTTAAGTTATCCAAGTACATTTACTAATTATTTTAAAATTTGTAATGTTGCCTTCCTGACCTGATGTGCACTAACTTGTCTTTGTCAGTAACATTTGTTCATTCTGTAACTTTGGCAAATTTAGCTGCTGCTGGACTAATTTCTGTAGTTCCACATAAATAACTTCTTTATAGCTTTTGCCAATTCCAGACTCTCTTCCGGTATCTCCCGATGATGGTGAGCATGCTGATATTTACAAACTGCGAATTAGAGTGCGAGGAAATTTAGAATGGGCTCCACCTCGGCCTCAAATCATCTTCAACATTCACCCACCGCCCAAGTAAGCTTTTGTGCATTTCATTTTCTTGGCTAAAGATTTATTTTTGTTTTGTGCTTTTCTTTTCACATTGACATGAATTCACTACATATGATCAAATTATGTTTTTGTCATTAAAGGAGAAAGGTGGTTGTTGTCAAACAAAATTACCGCTGTGCAGGATGTGGTATCAAAGTGGAGCCAGGTAAATGACATTCAGGAATTTAGCAATCTGATAATAAAGTTCTACTTGCACTTGTGTAATCAATATCTTTTTTTCTGTCTCACAGGGGTTGTGCTGTATTTAGAAATTCTGTTAATTGTTATGATCCCAGTTGATGTTAATACTGGACAAATCTGATCCCAAAGTGAGACTTGGCTTAATAGACTATAAGTTTTACTTTTTCTTTTTGTTAACTGTGGAGGTCAGTTACAGAACCAATTTATAAGCGGTCACCAATTTCTTTTTAATAAAACAACATCTTGTGCAGAAGTGGGGGGGTGAAAATTCAAAAACTATATTGTACTATATAAGAACTAATAGAGCAAACTTGTTACAAATATCAGAATTGTTTTAATGAAAATCTGTGGCTTGGGTTGCGGATGGAATTGTTAGTTGGTTTGCCGAGCTGACTGGTTTTCATGCAAATATTTTGCCTCCCTTCTAGGTGACGTTGTCAGTACTGTGTAGCCTCTGTTGAAGTGCTGCTGTTCTGACCCGCTCTGAATTTATGTGGTCCGGTCTGTAATGGTGGGCAGTCTTGTTTCCAGTTTTGTACCGTAGTGGTACGTAGATGGGGTCTATTTCAACATGTTGGTTAATTGCATTGGTGGTTGAAAACCAGGCCTCCAGAAATTCTCGTGCTTGTCTTTGTCTCGCTTGTCTTAGTACTGTAACTTTGTCCCAGTCAAATAGAAGGACATCAGTGTTGGCGTGTATTGAAATGCGGGAGAATTGCTCGTGCCGTTTTGCTGCGAGTTGGTGTTCGTGTTTCCTGGTTCGAGGTTCCTGCCCATCTATCCTATGTAGCGTTGCTGCATGGTATTCTATGTATCACATGCAGCAACTGCGAGAAACGCTACATAGGACAGACTGGCAGGAAACTCACCACCAGGATACATTAACACCAACTCGCAGCAAAACGGCTCGAGCAATTCTCCCTCATTTCAATACACGCCAACACTGATGTCCTTCTATTTGACTGGGACAAAGTTACAGTACTAAGACAAGCGAGACAAAGACAAGCACGAGAATTTCTGGAGGCCTGGTTTTCAACCACCAATGCAATTAACCAACATGTTGAAATAGACCCCATCTACATACCACTATATGGTATAAAACCGGAAACAAAACTGCCCACCATGACAGAATGGGACAGAATAACAGCGCTTCAATGGAGACTACACAGCACTGACGATGTCACCTGGAAGGAAGACAAAACATTTGCATGAAAACCAGTCAACTCGGTGAACCAACGAACAACCCAAAATATCAGAAAACTTCAACTTTTCTCCAACAATATCCTTACAAACACTCAAGCCTAAGTGAAGAATCATCCCTATTTCCATGCTGAAGTTTCTAATTTAACTGGCATCACTATAATCTGTTTCCCTTTTGACAAAGTTCTATGCTTTCAGTCTGTGTCTCCCCAAGACCTTTAAGCAAACTCACTAAAACTACCAGACATGGGCTTATTAAACTCATGTCTTCAGCAACCTTGTAAAATGTCTTAAACAAAAAATGCTGGAAATTACAACAGATCAGGCAGCATCTGTTGAGAGAGACCAAGCTAACATTTCAAGTCTAGATGACTGTTCATCAGACTCTTCATATCCTTCTCTCCATCTTGTCTAGAGTCTTCTTCTGGAATTCTCTTCTATCTTGGAGGGATGAAGGGAGGGGCTTTCAAGTTATTTAGCTAAAATTGTATAATTTTGTAGAAATCCCATCTTTAGCTCACTGTTCAAAATTACTTTCACAGACATTCTTAAAATTGAAAACTAAAATCCATCTTTCCTCGAGCTTAGAATTTAAATTTCCAAATGTTATGAGCCTTCACCATATAATGTAAATAATGTATAGTATAAATTTGTCTGTTCATGTTCTCTCTCCCCACGCCCCGTATTCTCCCACTGAAAATCAAGGTTGCAATATTGTATTAATTAATAGAAAATAAAAATTCAGCAAAATGCTGATGTACTTGTGTGGCAGTTGCTATATGTACAGAGAATGGACAGCGGATTTACATTAAAAATGACCTGCAGGCTTCATGCAAATTGTTTGTTTGACCAATTATTTTCGACAATGAGTCACTCACTATTTGAGAGGAGATGACGTGAGCTGTATCATTTTTTTTAAAAAAAATTAGCTGAGTATAAATTCTCATTTCTTTGAAAGGTCTTTTGGACCATGGATTTCTGATGCTGTTGTATTGTTAAACTATTCTTTCTCCAGTAGCCCCTGAAGTTTCAGACCTCCTCTCCTTTTCTTTCCAGACTACATAAAGAGACTACGGTATTGTGAATATCTGGGGAAGTATTTCTGTCAGTGCTGTCATGAGAATGTCCAGTCGGTGGTTCCAAGCCGCATATTGCGGAAATGGGATTTCAGCAAGTATTATGTCAGTAACTTTTCCAAGGATTTGCTGAATAAAATATGGAATGATCCACTCTTCAATGTTCAGGACATTAACAATGCTTTATATCGAAAAGTGAAGTCTCTGGATCAAATCCATGTAAGCAATCCTAAAGCATTTTTTAATACAGTCTGTAAAATGGATTATTCCAATGATTAGAGTATGCAGCTTTCCTGATGTATGATAAATTGGCACAATTGCGGTATTTTGAGTCTCTTATTATCATTGTCGTGCCATAACTGTTGTGTTATAGTTACTATCCTAATTAGCTTTTTCAAAAGAAAATCCAAACAGAAGGCCTGTACACAGTCCTGGATGCAGACTTAACACAATTGGTAAAAGGATCAGAAACAAAATTAAGAATTTGGTTTCATGCAGCGAGTTGTGATCTGGAATGCATTGCCTCGATAGTAAGGAAGTTGGACACATAAGGAAAAAAGTTGCAGGGGAGTGGAGCTGATTAGATTGCTTCTTCAGATTCTGCACAATATGCTGAATGACTTCCTTCTGTGTGGTAGGGCTCCATGATGCTGTAATACCATTTTCCCAGATTATTGATCAATTCATTTGATATTCATATTCAGGCAAAAGTAATCATCTGTCTTGGCCTGTTCCTGAAATCCCTGGAATCACTTGATGCCTGTCTTCAACCAATTTTGATTCATTCTACGTGATGTCAAGAAATGGCTGAAAACACTGGGTACCGCAAAGGCTTTAAGCCCTGACAACATTGCTACACTAGCATTGAAGACCTGTGCTCCAGGATAATCAGCTCCCCAGCCAATCTGTTTAAGTACAGTTATAACACTGGCATCTACCTGACAATGCGAAAAATTGCCTAGATATATCCAGTACACACAGAGCAGGACAAATCCATCCCAACCAATTACTGTCGATCAGTTTCCTCTCTATCATAATCCGAGTGATGCAAGGTATTATTTGCGGTGGTATCAAGTGGTATTTGCAAAGCAATGACTTGCTGAATGACACACTTCTGTTTCCGCAAGTGTCACTTGATACCTGACCTCATTACTGCCTTGATCCAAATGTGGACAGGAACTGAACTTCAGAAGTGAGGTGAGGCTGACAGTCCTTGATTTCAAGGCATTATTTGTTTGAATTCGCCATCCAGGAATTCCAGTTAAACTGAAGTTGATGGGAATTGGGGAATTGATTGCAGTCATACCCACCACAAAGGAAGATGAATCTGCTAATTTGAGGTCAATCATCTCAGCCCTAAGCTTCAGGAATGATGCTCATCAGGATAGTATCCTAGGACCACTCATCTTCAGCCTCCTTATCGGTGATCTTCCCTCCATCGTAAGTTTAGAAGTGGGAATGTTTGCTGCTGATGTTTGCAATAAACTTCTAGACAATCTTCTTAACAGCATTGTGTGGGTGTTTCCACGCACATGGATTGAAGTGGTTAAAGAAAGTGTTCATCGCTACATTCTCCAGGGAGAGTAGAGATGGGCACTAAATACTGGCCTAGCATAATGCTCAAATTCCCTTGAATGAGTTTTATAAAAATTCAAATCTTTTGAGTCCAAGTAGTGTATATAGGGATGTAACTGTTTTTACTTATCATGTCTGATAAAGTATCGAGCAATAATCTTGATCTGTAACTGAATCAATCCAATAAGCTTTCAATTGATTTCAGTATTATCTGTAGATATAAGAATTGTTTTGAGCAACTGGCAGCAAATCTAATGTGTAGTTTTCTATGAGGAACAGAAAAATGAAGCTTTTCCCTCTAAACTGCATTTTGTTTATAAAGTAAGATGAAAATGTAATGTGCATTAAGTCATCTTTTTACCATTTTTGGAAACCTTTTTCAGATGTTGAGAATCCAGCTTGTTCACATGAAGAATTTATTCAAAACATGCCGGTTGGCAAAACAGTAAGTTAGATTTTTATTATTTCAAAAAAGTAAACATTCAGTTGTGCTTCTATTAGCTTGATAGTAATAGATTCTGTATTTAAGTATCCCAAATTGGACAGTCAAACTTAACTAAATGTGATTTATTGCTGTTGTTAACAAGACTACCAGGTCTCTCATTTGTGGTGTTTCTTCTTACCATCAAAATATTACTTCATGAAATATGTAGCATACATTCTGTTTACTAAGAGTAGATGTTACACATAACCAAGAAGCTATTTGAGGTTGTGGTTGGAGACTTTTTTTGTACAATTTTAAATAAACTGTTGTCAACTTCCAATTGCTTTTACTTAATTCTAACTCCATGTTTCTTCCAAGTAAAACTTGTTTGCTAGTCTTTGTATGCCTCAATTATAATGACTTCCTTAAATTTTCTAATTTTAATGGTGTAATTACAGTATCAACATAATCATTCGCAATGTACTTGTCTATGCCCAACCTATTTCAGATGGGTTGAAACTGTCAAAGCCAATGACAGACTATTTCTAGCAAGACGTAGGATTTTAGCAGTCAATACATGAACGTTGTCCTTTACCTTTTGTGTCGTGCAGAATTCCAGCTTGTAATAGCTAATGTGAAAAGAACACCATTTAGTGGATTTTGTGTCTGTGAATAAGGGCCTTGTTCACTGTTGTCATGTAGGTGAAAATCCTAGGCATATTTGTCATAGTCTTCTGTGAATTCATTTAATTTCAATTGACTGAAAACTGTTTTGTGATCATATTTTACTAGCACTTTTGCCCATTATACTCATTACTATATAATCCAATTCCATCCAATGAGGACAGTTGTCATGATAGGATGAGCCATGTAGTCTATCGTTTTGCAGTCTACTTCTGGACAGAATTTTGACCCGAAGGGAAAGAATTCTGTCAGAAGTCTTAATTTTTGCAAACTCGTCTGAATTTTCTATATGCTAATTTTTATTCATTTATTGAGCTGCCCTGTTCCCTAACTGTTCATTTTGTTTTGACACAATCCCAGACTAATTTCACTGACTTGTTTCTTCTCTAACAATCTGAAATGGCATTCTCCACCATTGTTTGTTTTCTAAATATAAAAGTGCAAGTTGGAGAATTTTCAGTTTAAGAAGAGCCACTAGTATGAGATGGTTGAAATTGGTAGTTCATAAACCTGTAATGTGTCAGGTCTGGAGAGCAGAACTGAGCAAGAATCTCAGTGCCGAGCTTGGAGAAACCTGTGTGGAGGAGCTCACTGCAGGGGAGCAGTTAAGTTGCTAACAGTTTTTTGTAAATCTACAATAGTAAGTACTAATAAGTAAGGTTCTTTTTTGATTATGTTTTTATTGAGGTCTGTCTCTTGATTAAGCTTTAAAAATATAAAAACAAAGGTACTAAGCTAGCCTGGAGCATTGTTTTTACAGCAGAAAGACTGGGCTACTTGTGGCTCTGTAGATTAAGGTACAAAGATGGCCTTCAGTAGAGTGATATGCTGTTCTTGGATGTGGGTGATTAGGGAGAGTTTCCACGTTAGTGATGATGTCAGCAGGAGGTGTGATTGCGAATCCTATCGGATCATGTGGATCGGTTCAAGCAGCAGTTAGAGGCAGTGAGGAATTTACAGGAGCTTGGGGGTGTGATGGACGGCAGTTGCAGGGAGGGAGATAAATTGAATATACAGTCAGGTAAATGTGTGACCTCCAGGAAATGTAGGAGAGGGAGGCAGGTAGTGCAGGAGTCTCCTGTGGCTATACCCACCTCAAACAAGTATGCTGTTTTGGAAATTGTAGGGTGTTGGATTCTCAGGGGAATGTAGCACTGACAACCAGGTTTCTGGTACCGAGACTGGCTGAAATGTAATGAGGGGTAATTCAGGTTCTAAGTGATCAATTTTAATAGGGGACTCTCTGGTCAGGGTCAGACAGACATTTCTGTGGCTGACAGCAAGACATCAGAATGGTGTGTTGCCTTCCTGGAGCCAGGATGAAGGATATCTTGGGTTGCAGAATATTCTTAAAGTGGAGAGAGACCTGCAGGAGGTTGTTGTACACATTGGAACTAATGACATAGGAAGAGAAATGGATGAGATTCTGAGGAGAGAATATCGCAAGTTAGGCAGGAATTTAAAAAGGAGGTCCTTAAGGGTAGCAATATCTGGATTACTGCCCCTGTCATGAACAAGTGAGGGTAGGAATAGGAGGAGAGAGCAGATGAATGTGTGGCTGAGGAGATGGTGCAGGAGAGAAGGATTCACATTTTTGGATGATTGGAATCTCTTCTGGAGTTGAAGGGACGTCTATAAGAAGGAAGGACTAATCCTGAATGGGAAGGGGATTAATATACTGGCGGGGAGATTTGCTAGGGAGGATTGAAACTAGTTTGGCGGGGGTGGGGAACGAGGGAGGTAGTGAGAAAAGAAATCAGTTTGAGACTGGTATAGTTGGGAAAAGGAGAAAGTCAAACAGTGCAGGCAGAAATAAAGCAGAGAATGAGATGAATTGATAAATTAAACTGCATTTATTTCAAAGCAAGAGGCTTAACAGATAAGGCAGATGAACCAAGCCATGGTTGGGAACATGGGACTGGGATATCATAGCAATCACAGAGACGTGGCTCAGGGATAGACAGGACTGGCAGCTTAATGTTCCAGGGTATAAATGCTAGAGGAAGGATAGAAAAGTGGGCAGGAGAGGAGGGGAAGTGGCGGTTTTGATTACGGATAACATTACGGCTGTACTTGGAGGATGTTCCTGGGAATACGTCCAGGGAAGTTATTTAGGTAGAACTGAGAAAGGGATGATCACCTTATTCGGATTGTGCTGTAGGCCACCTCCACACCGCCCCCCCCCCCAGCACCCGGCCCCAGTCAACGGGAAATTGAGAAACAAATTTGTAAGGAGACCTTAGTCATCTGTAAGAATAATAGTGGTTATGGTATGGGATTTTAATTTTCCAAACATAGACTGGGACTGCCATAGTGCTAAGGGCTTGGATGGAGATGAATTTGTTACGTGTGTACAAGAAAATTTTCTGATTCAGTATGTGGTTGTACCTACTAGAGAAGGTGCAAAACTTGACCTACTCTTAAGAAATAAGGCAGGGCAGGTGACTGAGGTGTCAGTGGGGGAGCACTTTGGGGGCAGGGACTGTAATTCAAGTAGTTTTAAAATAGTGATGGAGCAGGATAGACCGGATCTAAAAGTTAAAGTTCTAAATTGGAGGAAGGCCAACTTTCAAAATTTAATTGGAGGTGGATGTTCACAGGGAAAGGGACGGATAGAAAATGGGAAGCTTTCAAAAATGAGAATGCGAGTCCAGAGACAGTGCCTTCCTGTTAGGGTGAAGGACAAGGCTGGCAGGTGTAGGTATTGCTGGATGACTAGAGAAATTGAGGTTTTGGTTAAAAATAAGAAAGAAGCATATGTCAGGTATAGACAGCAGAGGTCGAGTGAATCCCTAGAAGAGTATAAAGGCAGTAGGAGTACACTTAAGAGGGAAATCAGGAGGGCAAAATGGGGGCATGAGAACTCTATTTGCCCAAGCTAAGGAGAATCCAAAGGGATTTTATTAATACAATGAGGACAAAAGAATGACTAGGGAGAGAATAGGGCCCCTTAAAGATCAGCAAGGCCACCTATGTCTGGAACTGCAGAAGATGGAGGAGATACTGAATGAGTATTTTGCATCAGTGTTTACTGAGAAGGATGTGGTAGGTAGTGAACATAGGGAAATAAATAACAGCATCTTGTAAAATGCTCATATTATAGGGGAGGTGGTGCTGGTAGTCTTAAAACACGCAAAGCTGGATAAATCCCTGGGACCTGATCAGGTGTACCCTAGAACTCTGTCAGAAACTAGGCAAGTGATTGATGGACTTATTGCTGAGATATTTGTATCATGCATAGCCACATGAGATACCGGAACACTAGATGTTGGCTAATGTGGTGCCACTACTTAAGAAATGTGATAAGGAAAAGCTAAGGAGCTATAGACCTGCGAGCCTGACGTCGATGGTGGGCACGTTGTTGGAGGGAATCCTGAGGGACAGGATTTTATTAATATAAATGATTTGGATGTGAACATAGGAATGTTAGTAAGTTTCTAGATGACCCCAAAATTGGACGTGTAGTGGATAGCAAAGGAGGTTACCTCAGAATACAATGGAACCTTGATTAGATGGGCCAATGGGCTGAGGAGCGGCAGATTGAGTTTAATTTCGATAAATGAAGTGCTGCATTTTGGAAAGGCAAATCAGGGCAGGACTTACCTCTTAATGGGAAGGTCTCTGGGGAGTGTCGCTGAACAAAGAGACCTTGGAGTGCAGGTTTATAGTTCCTCAAAAGTGGAGTCGCAGGTAGATATTCCTATGTCAAGGAGGTGTTTGGTATACTTGTCTTTATTGGTCAGTGCATTGAGTATGGGAGTTGGAGGTCATGTTACAGCTGTACAGCACATTGGTTAGGCTACTATTGGAATACTGCATGCAATTCTGGTCTTTCTGCTATGGGAAGGTATTGTGAAACTTGAAAGGGTTCAGAAAGATTTACAAGGGTATTGCCAGGGTTGGAGGGTTTGAGCTATATGGCGAGGCTGGAAAGATTGGGGCTATTTTCCCTGAAGTGTTGGAGGCTGAGGGGTGACCTTATAGAGTGTTATAAAATTGTGAGGGACATGGATAGGATAGATAGACAGGCCTTTTCCTTGGGGTGGGGGAGTCCAAAATTAGAGGGCATAGGTTTAAAGTGACAGGGGTAAGATTTAAAAGACTTTTAGGGAACTGTGGAGCTACACGCCCAGATCCCTCTATGTTAATGCTCCTAAGGATTCTGCCGTTAACAGTATAATTCACACCTAAAATTGATCCTTCAAAATGCATCGCCTTGCATTTGTCCAGATTAAACTCCATCTACCATTTCTGTGCCCAAGTTGCCAATCTATCTATATCCTGTTGTATCCTCAATTGTCAGCACTATCAGCAATTCCACCAATCTTCGTCATCTGCAAACTTGCTAATCTGACCGCCCACGAGTTACTGGTGTCCATTCTGAAAAACACCCTTCCACTGCTACCCTCCGTCTTCTATGAGCTAGCCAGTTTTGTATCCATCTAGCCAGCCCACCCTGAATCCCATGTGATTTTGGATTTTGTATCAATCTGCCATGTGGGACTTTATCAAATGCCTTCAAGTCCATATAAACTACATCCACAGCCCTTCCCTCATCAATTATCTTTGTGACGACTTCAAAAAATTCGATCAGGTTGGTGAGACATGACCTTCCCCGTGCAAAACCATGCTGCCTGTCGCTAACTAGTCTATTTTCTTCCAAATGTTTTTCTATCCTGTAGCTCAGTATCTTCTCCAAGAGCTTCCCCACCACAGATGTCAGACTTACTGGCCTATAATTTCCTGGATTATCCCTACTTCCTTCCTCAAACAAGGGAACAACATTAGCTAATCTCTAGTCCTCTGGAACCTCACCTGTGGTCAAGGAGGATGTGAAGGTATCTGTTAATGCCCAGCAATTTCTTGCCTTGCCTCTCTCAGTAACTTGGGATAGATCCCATCTGGCCCTGGGGACTTGCCTACCTTAATACAATTTAGGATACCCAAAACCACCACCTTTTAAATATATGGACATTCTCTAGAGTATTCACACATTCATCCCTGACCTCAACATCAGTCATGTCCTTCTCAGTGAATACTGATACAAAGTACTCACTAAGGATCTCTCCCATTTCCTGTGGCTCCATGCGTAACTTCCTTCCTTTGTCCTTGAGGGGGCCTACTGTTTCGCTTGCTACCCTCTTTCTTATATATGCATTTGTCTGGATGTAGGAGGTTATAGTTTTGGTTACTTTGGTCATGTGGAATAGATAGAAAACTATAGGAGAGATTTAAAGAGGAAGCTATAATAAATGGACTTGGGTCTAGGAAATTATAACATTTTGGAATGTTTTAAGTTGGAGCAGAATGCACACTTCTTCACCAGTGAACTAAAACATGCTTCATTTCTCCATTACCCTTCATAGTTAAAGTGCTTTGTTGAGGATTGCATTAAGAATGAAGTATTGGAAATTTTGCCACTTCTTAAAGGGTTTCATATTGAAGTTTTGCTCAAATCACAGTAATCATATATATTTATGCACTTGCTATTTAATTAAAATCTGTTCTTAATGCTATTTTAATAACTAAAAACTGAATCACTGATTATTAAACGGGAGGGAAATCATATCATAACTCACTGAGCAAATAGTAACTCCTGAATTTGCTACTCTTTATTGTTGGGTCATGCCAAATGTTTGACAATCTCAAACATTTTTGTCAGTGCACTTAAGCTTTCTAATGTCAGTTGTGTGGTATTGCCATGTCATGTGCTTCTTTTGTAGACTCTTGGATAACTTTGACACAGAACCAGGTCACCTTACTGAGGATCTTCACTTGTATTCACTAAATGATCTCACTGCTGTGAAGAAAGGGGAATTGGCTGGTAGGTTGAAGGAACTTGTGAAGATAGGAGCAGCACATGTGGAGAGCTGCATGGTATGTACAAAAGAAGCTTACATTCTGATGTTCAATATAAATAAGAAAGGAGTTGCATTAAAATTGTGCAGCATAAGAATACAACAGTAGTGCAAGTAAAGGTGTGATGCTTGTGGAAACATTCAATGTGGTTATCCATATGACAGCTGAGTTCTAATGTGTTCTGGTTTTTTTGATTGTTAAGATTATAATGCTCTCAAATGGGCTACTTTCTGACTGGGTTAATTTCCTATTGTTATTTTCATTTCTCTTTTTTTCCATCCTGCTCTTCATTTTGAGTAATCCTTCAGTTCTGAATAAGTTGAACTGTGACTTTCCAACAAATCCCATGCAGGCGAGAAGGTTTCATTAATGATAAACTAGGAAGGGTATATCAGTAATTCAATTCAAAGCGGGCAAGATGTGCAAGATTCCTTGAGCGTGTGTGATGGTTTGGGAGTAGAAAATGAATTTCTCCCATCACTTTGAAGTCTTGTGTGTTCGCTTTGAAATATGGAGCCTATTTTGATGTAACCCAGGTTTCATGCATGGGTTTATGATTTTTGTGCGGCTTTCGTTATTAATTATGCTAGTAACGTTCCTCTGGCGAAAGCTAGACTGACTGAACTGCTTTTTAGGGTGAATTCTTATTGTACCTAAAGCATTTTTTTAAAACACTAACTTGTTTTCACTCAGCTTTGTCAGGCAAAAGGCTTCATCTGTGAATTCTGTGGTGATGGCACTGATATTATCTTTCCTTTTGAACTGCACAAATGTAAACGATGTGAAGGTGAGTGTTTTTAAGTTGTACGAAGAAATGAGCAAAAAACAGACTGTTGTCATAGTGTCTTCACATGTCACTCCATTTTGGATGGTTTGCCATGTAGACTCCATTTATCTGATGTCCTATTTGTGCTGCAGTTGCTTGCTTTTGTGTAGCCCATGCAAAAATAAAATAAAATTGACTTAATTTTCCTGGGTTTAAATTTTGAGAGAGCATGTTTACTTTGCAGTTACTTTCTGGGTCTGTAAATTACTTTACTTTTATTTAATTTCTTAAACTTCTTGAGAGAACCTTCCCACCTGCCCTTACTATCACCCAGTTATACCACCTTCCATTTTTTTCCCCCTTTTTAGTGCATTGCTCCCAAATTTTTTTCCCCTCTATTCCTATCTCCTTGTCCCCTGCTTGCTTCCCGTTGTCAGAATATGTTGCATATTCCTAATTGCCCTTGAAAAGATAGTGAACACCCGCCTTAAGCTACTGCGTTCAGTGTAGTTAAGGTATGTGCATGGTGCTGTCACAAAAGGGGGGGTCAGGCTTTTGACTGAGCAATAGTGAAGGATCAGAGATATAGTTCCAAGACAGCATGGTGTTTGACTTTGCGGAGATCTTGCAGGTTCCCATAAGCTTTCTTGGCCTTGAAATTGTAGGTTGCAGACATTGACAGTTGGAAGGTCAACATTGACATATTGAAGGAGGCTTGACCAGTTGTTGCTGTGCATCTCATAGTTCCTGCTGCCATTCTGTTGTGGTGAAGGAAGTAAGTGTTTGGTAGCGGTTGGGTGGTTGACCAGGTGGACTGCTTGTGAGAAATGATACTGAGCTTCTTGAGTGTTGTTGGAGCTGCACTAATCCAAGTTAGTAGAGAATGTTCCTTCACGTTCATGAGTTACGCTTGTAGATAATGGACAAGGTCTGGGGAGTCAGAGGATAAGTTACTTGCTGTGGAATTCCCAGCCCTAACATGCTGTTGCAGCCACAGTATGTATGTACCTGGTCAAGATCAGTTTCACATGGAATCCCTAGAATGTTTCATGTGGGGATTCAGTGACTGTAGTGACTGAAGGTCATGCAACAGCAGCTAGACTGTTGTTGGGGGTGAACATTAACCAGTACTTGTGTGGCGTGAATGTTAGTTCTCACTTCTCATTCTAATCCTAAATGTTAAGTAGATCTTATTCGAAATGGACACTGACGCTTTGATATGTGAGAATTTGGGAATGATGCCGAACACACTCCAATCATCAGTGAACCTCCCAGTTTCTACTTTGATCAGTCATAAAACAGCTGGATCCAACCTTATTCATGGTTACTGGGGCCAAACTCTGCCCTGGCCACTTTCTCTATTTCAAAATGTTTGTTTCGATCTTGTCCTAAATTGATTCAATGATGAGCTTTCAAATCCACATTCCTTAAAATACTGCCTATTTTGACCAGGAGCATAGTCTCCCTTTGCCTCTGGTGTGCTGAAATGCTAATGTGTGTTTTTATAACGCTGGAACTCCTTGACGTGCTCACCGTCTTAAAGAAGCTTTATAAATTGCCTATTCTATTTTGTAGGCTGGGATACTTTGTCTTGTAGAAATCTACAACTCCAATTCTTTCTCAGACTTTGGGATTTATACTCTGTTGCATCATTGCAGCATTTATAACTTTAAAGTATTGAACTGTTAACAGGTAAGCTCACGTATGAATGTCCTCGTTTTTCCAAGGACTGCAACCACTCCTTGCCACTCTTCCCCCCCCCCCCCCCCCCCCCCCGCCCTCCCCCGCACCCCCCCCCCCCCCCTCCCCCCCCCCCCCCACCCCCCCCCCCCCCCCACCAACAGTGGTCGAAAACGCCCTCGACCGCATCTCCTGCGTTTCCCGCATCTCAGCCCTCACACCACCTCCCTGCAATAACAACAAAGACAGAATTCCCCTTGTCCTCACGTATCGCCCCATCAACCTCTGGATTCAACGCATCATTCTCCGCCACTTCCACCACCTGCAATCTGACCCCTCTACCAAGGATATATTTCCTTCCCACCCTTAACTGCCTTCCGGAGGGACCACGCTCTCCGCGACTCCCTCGTCCACTCCACAATCCCCACTAGTCCCACCACCCCCGGCATCTTTCCCTGCAACCGCAGGAGGCGCTACACCTGCCCCTCCACCTCCACCCTTCCCTCCATCCCAGGCCCCAAGAAAACCTTCCACATTAAACAGATGTTCATCTGCACATCTGCTAATGTGGTATATTGTATCTGCTGTTCCTGATGTGGCCTCCTCTACATCGGGGAAACCAAGCGGAGGCTTGGAGACCGCTTTGTGGAGCGTCTGCGCTCGGTTCATGACAACCGACAACTCCTCCCAGTCGCGAACCACTTCAACTCCCCCTCCCGCTCCTTGGATGTCATGTCCATCCTGGGCCGCCTCCAGTGTCACAACAATGCCACCTGAAAACTAGAGGAACAGCACCTCCTATTCTGCTTGGAAAACCTACAACCCAATGCTCTCAATGTGGACTTTACAAGCTTCAAAATCTCCCCACCCCGACCTCATCCCAAGACCAGCGCCCCCTCTCGTCCCTGCCTCCTTGACCTGTCATCTTCTCTCCACCTATCTGCTCCACTGTCCACCTTCTATCATCGCCTCCCCCTCTCTCCATTTATTTCAGAGCTCCCTTTCCCTCCCCCATTTCTGAAGAAGGGTCCAGACCCGAAACGTCAGCTTTCCTGCTCCTCTGATGCTGCCTGGCCTGTGTTCATCCAGCTCCACACCTTGTTATGTATTCATGTATGAATGAGTGTTGAACTGCTATTGTAAAATATTAAAACACTTTATTTTTTCTCTGCAGAATGTAAAGCGTGTTATCATAAGTCCTGCTTTAAATCAGATCAGTGTCCCCGCTGTGACCGGTTACAGGCACGTAAAGAACTCCTTGCCAAACAGACCATAGAATTGTATTTGGAGTCGGAAGGTGAAGAGGAATCGAGTTCACAGAGTACAAGTTGTGATTGAGCAGGAAGACAGCAAATATTAACAAAACTACTTGAAAATTTGGATTGAAGCAGTGTTGACTTCATGCACTTTTTATTAAAGTTGGCGCCATAGGCTTCACCTATACTAAAGTTATAATGAAAATGCTATTTATTGCCTTCCAGGAATGTAAACTTTAGTGATGGTGTGCTATTGATCTAATTGTTAACAATGTACATTTGTCCCTGATGCTGAACATTTTTTATTTTACATGTTTTTAGGTGTATTAAGTGTTTTTGCATGAATGTTTAAAGACTGTTTTTGGAAGGAGGAGACTATTAAATCCTGAGCAGTTCTGGTATTCTGTGTATCATACTACAAGTTGCATTTCAGGATTAGCCTATATTCTTGCCAGAATGAGGGAGCTTTCAGTCGGCTGAGTAGTTATTCTTGTCATTCATCTGTTTTCATCCACTTTCTTTCCATTTTGGCTAAAGGCACATACATGGAGTTCTTGAAGATGCACTTAATCTATGTAAACAAAAGTTCTCATCCCTGGTATTGTAATAAAATTTCCTATGGCATTGATGCCTGTTTAGTGTTGCAGTGTTCTTATTTAGTATTAATTTAGGAATTGATACGGAAACGTTGGATGATGCCAAAGAGAGTCTTTAGCATTTAATTTATAACCTTTAAATTGAGGTTTGTGGATACTGAAATTCAACTGTACAAAGTTGATTTGTGTTGCTGCCCTCTTTGAGCTGCTGTGAAGTTCTTTGTTTAATAAACAAACCTGCCAAGAATGTATAGGTTTATTTTAAGATCATATTCTGTAGGATGATAAAAGGATTATTCAAGAATAGTGCGTTTGGCTTGAATGTAGAATTTTTTGCTAGCTATCAAACCTAATGTTTGGGCTAGTATACAGCTGGGTTATTCATAGTGTGGGATGATTCAGGAGACTTTTCTCTTTCCAAGCAGACTGTTGCATTGGACTGTCACAAGAGTACTGAATTGTGATGGATTAAATGAGTCCCATATAAAATGGAGTATAACTTCTAACAGGATATATATGTCTACTTGTATAGATTTTTAACATTATAAGGATGGACAGATCATAAAAAATGATATTAAATACCTTCAGACATTTCAGATGTTATCTGGCATTGTCATGTGTGTTAGCGGTTGTATTTCTCTTATTCAATATTTTGTGGTGTTACGAGGCTGTTCATTCTGTTCATCTTTGTTTGCTGTTCTGCAATGTCACCATCCTGTACAGTAAATATCTTGCTGGCTGGATACTTGAAACACAATGGACTTGAGGTTTGACTAGATAAAACTATTCAAATCTCGGTTATGTTGAGGTTTTTGTAAGTAATGTTAATTTAAACCCAATTGCTAATGCAACAAAATCTGCTTACCAGGGCCACAAGGTTTGATGTTTATTGTAATGCAATGTCTTGACTCAAGTGGCATGGAAGTTGGTACAAACCAATAATAAAACAGATTTTCTTGTCCATGACATTCCAGTACAATCGTGAAGATGAATATTGGATATCTGTGTAAGATGAGGTACGTTAGAATTATGAAGTTTTGATATAGACATATCACTTTAGAGGACCTCCAGGCCTAGTTATGAAGCATACGTTGAGACTGTTTGTTTGTTTTAGTTTGAGTGGAGTTTTAATCTCTGACAATCTCCTGACCACCCCCCACCCCCCCCATATGGAAATTTTCCCCCTGTGCACAAGCCCTTTTTTTTTTCCCCTTGAAGACAACCAATGTATCTCGGTAATCTTACAAAACTAGCAACTTGCCTAAATAGGTTGATGTTAAAAATATACTTATGTTCTGGAAAATTGTGGGACAAGTGGGACTTTAGCCTTGACCTTCTGGTCCAGGAGATAGGAGCACTATCTCTGTCACTAGAACCCTCTTAACATATGACTACTTTATTTTTTTTCCCCCCTTGCAACAAAAGAAACAAATCAAAACATATTGAAGTAGTTATCTTTAATCATCCTATTCAGACATGTTATGGCACACATTTGAATCTGGGTCTCTGGGTTTTTGTCAAAGATGGTCCACATACCTAAGTGCTGTCTGCAAAACCAACAATATGTCTGAGCAGGTTGATTTAAAATATGCTTAGATATGTTATGCCACACTACTAGGGAGAGCGGACTTGAACCTGGACCTTCTGGTCCCGAGTTAGAGACACTACCACTACTGCAAAGGTGCTCTGAAACATACCTAAGTAGATATTTCTAAGCAACCCGATCAGACAGGTCATGACACATTCTGGGGTGGGCATGTTTGGGAACATAACTTGAATATGTCTTTTAATTACTCATAACCTTATGTGGATGTTGGCACATCAGGTATGTGATTAGCGTCAAATTTAAAGTAAGTGAAATGGTGTATTTTTCTCAATGTAGATGTTTTTAATCATCCTGTTCAGACAGATTATGATGCATCTTTGCAGCAGTTGGGACTTGAACTTGGGTCATCCAGCCTAAAAGTAGGGACAGTACACTGCCACAAAAATAAAAGTATATTATTTTCTAATCCACCTGTTCAGACATATTGTGAAATGTCTGGGAACATATCGAAGATATTTTCTGATCAATGCCCAACATCATCTACCTTTTTATTACCTTCAACAACTAGGCATTAAACATCCATTAACAGAACCTTTGGATTCCAGCAATCTCCACCTAACACCCCTATTTGGGTTCTGGTGGCGTACTGATGCCTCTGAGCTAGAAGATCTGGGGTCAAGTCCTACCTGCCCCAGAGGTGTGTTGTAATATGTCCAAATGTGATTGAAAATAATGAACATTTCTCACTTCATACGGAGAACTGTATAGGGCAGTTGTGTAGTTCACAGATAAAGGAGCTCGGATGATATGTTAATGTGAAGCCTGAACTTTTTGACTGAATCATTGTTGAATGATCTAGTGCTTTTTAAGTCTTACTTTAATCTTTACAGTTTCTGTCCAGTGCAGGATCTAGGGTGCTGTGGTGTTCTCTTGGTTGGTATATTACAAAATATTTTTAATCCTCCACATAACAATTTGTTTCATTAGCCATTTTATGATGGAAGTGTAATTTCTATGAATTGGAATTTACTTGGAAATAATAGAGAAAGTGTAATCAAAAACAGTTATTTAATGATTAAAATAGTCACAGACAAATCCAACCCTGCATTCAGGCAGCAACAGTTTAGCGCATTCAGTTGGAGTTATAACATTCAAGAGTAAAATCTACAGACAGTTTCCACCTCCCTGGATAACACATTAATTCATCCGTTGGGAGATGAAATGCTATTTGAGTGATCAGTCTTCTCATGTTTGTTTTTAGCCATTGGTGTATTTCAAAATTACACAAGAAATTTTAGTTCAGCACTATGGCCCAAATGTTTGGGTAATGAACATTTGGTTTCTGGCAGCTTTTAACTATATTTTTTGGAAGTTTTTGTTCAGAATTTCAAAATGAAAGAATCAGAATTACAGGAATTTTGTCTTGTTCTGCATGTTTGTCTGTAAGTTAAGTGAATAAAATATGCAGACGTGTAATTTTGTCAATAAGCCAAGAAATATTCTCTCAGCACATCATGAATTTAATGGACAGGAATATCAATTAAGGTGTACATTAGGTGGCAGATACCTTTGCTTATTATGCACACTATTGAATTCCAACCCCAAAACCATCTTTTTAATGTTTTAGTGATACAAAATGAATTGAATTTGGGTTACAGCAATTGATCAGATGCAATAGTAATACTAGTTCTTCCAGAGAATGGACATTTATAGAATTTTGCAGTTTGTAAGAAAATAGCTCAAACAATGTCATTGTATAGTCAACTAAAGAGCCCTGTTAATCACTAATATTGTACTGTATATATGGAAATATTAATACATTTAGTGCATCAATCCTGCTTGAACTTCTTGACTCCTGGAACATAGCTTTTATTTTAAACAATTGCAGGTTTTTAACTGTTTTATCCTTCCTTAATTTTGAATAGCAAAAGTTGAACAACAAAATTTTGTTGAAAGCTGCAAAGCAAAGTACTGACATTTAATATTAAAATTGTAAATATATTTCCTCAAAACTTTATTTCCAAATGTGTTTGTTTTTCTTTCTGTACATCAAGTACAAAGGTACACAAAATAATAATTTTTATTAGCTTTTGAGTTTATTGTACAGATCAAATGCAGCTTTCATTGTTTTTTTTTTTTTTTTTATTTGGTACAAATTCCAATCCTTTCTAATTTTGGTGGTGTGAGGGCTACTTTTATTTAAAGATCAAGCAGTAACCAATTTCCATAAGCAAGATTCTTCTTGGTCTACCTTCAAGGAGTAATTTCTTCTGAGGGTTGTGTCTGTATGGAACTCCATGCCACAGAGAGCTGTGGGGTCATTTTTGTATATCTAAGGTGGAAATATATTTTTGATCAGTTGGAGAAAGGGTAGGAGAGAATGCGAGGAGTGTGGATGAGTTAAACTGAAGGGTCTGTTTCTGTGCTGTATGACTCCATGATCCTACTGAATGTTGGAACAGGCACAAGGGGGTTTGAATGGTCTACTCCTGTTCATATTTCTTATGGCCTTTACCACTAAATTCCCTCTTAATTCCCTCTTAATTCTTCGGTCAAATTCATCTTTTAGCACAAAAAAACTTAAGATCCATTTCTGTTCAGCAAGCAGGATAATTATTTTGGCTTAAGTATCACAGGATTGTCATTCACCCACCTAATTTGTTTATAAAGTCAGAAATCACACAACACCAGGTTATAGTCCAAAAGATTTGTTTGAAATCACAAGCTTTCAGAGTGCTGCTCCTTTTGAAGTTGAAGGGACTTCTCAGAGCAGCACTCCAAAAGCTTGTGATTTCAAATAAACCTGTTGGACCATAACTTGGTGTTGTGAGACTTCTGACTTTGTCCAACACCAGCACCTCCACAAATTTGTTTATGTAATAGCTTTAACATAGCAAAATGTTCCAAGGCACTTCATAGAAATATTAAAATTTGACACCAGGGCACAAAAGGGGCTTTTTCTGTAGATGATCAAAAGCGCGGTATACAGATTTTAAGGGAGAAAGAAGGTTTGGCTGGCATTAAAATTGGGAATGCTAAAGATTACACATTTGAAGGAGTCCAGATTTCTAATTGCATTAAAACTGGAAATAATTACAGTTGTGAAAAGTTGAGGCTACAAGGAATTTGAAAAGAACTTTAAAGCTGAGGTGTTGCTTAATTGGAGGCTAATTTAGGTTAGTAAGCACAGGGTGACAGATGAGCAAGACTCTGGAGCAGCCAAAGACACACTTTTGGCTGACTTCAACAGCACAGACTGTTTCAAGAAGTCAATTTATTGCAGTTATACTGTATTTGCTATACCACAAAAGCTCAGAGCTTTCCATTAATGTAGTAGCACTTCTACTCCCAGCAACTGATACATAAAACTGATGGCATATATCAAATGTTAGATATCCATGGGAACTAGAAATCTCAAAAACAGAAAAATGAAATATGCAGTCGGTTTAATTAATTTGTGGCATGTTGGCATCACTGGTTGGCCAACATTGTCCAATTCTAGTTGTCCTTAAAGACTGTGGAGATCTGTCTTTGTGAACCACTACAGTCCAGCTAAATCTGAGGTTAATGTTTTCAATGTATCACATTCCTTAAACTGTTCAGATGCAGTGTTCCATTTGAATCAGTGTGGTGTGCTCTGGTACTGTAATATCAATAACATGTGGCATAATATGAATTGCTGCAGTTGGTCCTGCTCACAAACCATTCTTACAATGGATCAGAAATTGCTGGCAATGTACAAGATGAGTCACAGTACTGGCAGATACTAAAGTGAAAACAACACAGCAGATGGGCGTGGAGAGATAAGAGTTGTGGAGTAGACCAAGTTGCTGTATAATTTGCACCACTGAACTCTTGGCCTTGGCTAATATGTAAGCTTGCCAGAAATCTCGTGTTCAAAAATAGCTGGATTTACACGAGTTTAAAATTAATCCTGCTGCAGTCATTCAAGACTGAAATTTCATGGTCAATTCCTGATCTAGATGTTCCTTTCTAGACCTCCACATTGAGAACAGAGATCCTAGCTGAGTCAAAAATTGTACCTAGCAGTTTAAGATTTAAATTTTAAATGTGTGTACTTCTCATTTCAATCCATGTCAATGAAATTCCTTTATTTGAAATGGGAAGGAGACAAAATTTATAAGTATAGGCCAGTTAACAATATCCATTATTGGGAAATTGTTAAAAGTCTACCATAAAGGATGTAATAGGAATATTTAGAAATGCATGATCAAACAGTCAACATCACTTCACAAAGTGAACGTCATGCCTGACAAATTTACTAGAATTCTTTGAGGAGGTAACAAGCAAGATTGATTAAAAAGGGAAGCACTGGATGTAATAATGTGGTTGACTCTGAACTGCCCTATGGGCAGTTAGGGATTGGCAATAAATGCTGCCTAGCCAGCGATGCCCTCTATTTATTTATCAATGAATAAAGAAACAAATAAACTTGAATTTTCAGAAGGCATTTGATATCGTACCACACATTAGGCTAACTAACGGAATAAGAACCTGTGGAGTTGGAAGTAGTACATTAGCATGAATACATGATTAGCTAACTAACATAAGAAAGAGAATTGGGTTAAGGGGACATTTTCAGGCTGACAACCTGTAATTAGTAGGCTACCACAGGGATCAGGGCTGTGGCCACAATTATTTACAATATATATTAATGATTTGGATGAGGAAAATGAGTCTATGATAGTAAAGTTTGCAGATGACAAAAATAGGTGCAAAGGCAAGTGGTAAGAATGACTGACTGCAGTGGCAATATGGATATTTTAAATGACAGAAAAAAACCTGGTACATGGAATATAATGTGGGGAAATATGAGGTTATGCATTTTGGCAGGAAGCATAAGAAGAGTTGAATATTATTTAAATGGAGGAAGACTGCAGAAAACTACAGAACAAAGCGATTTTGGGAGTCCCAGTGCATAAATCAGAAAAAGCTAACACCCAAGTTCAGTAGGTAATAGGTAAGGCAAATGAAATGTTGGCCTTTCTTTCCAAGGGAAGTGAATATAAAAGGGACATTTTGCTAAAACTGTACAAGGCACTAGACAGACCACAGCTGGAACACTATGAACAATTTGGTTTTCTCAACCAAAGGAAGTTTTATATCAGCATTGGTTGCAGTCTCCAGAAGGTTCACGAGGCTGATGCAAATATGGAGGAACTGTCTTATAAGGGCAGGTTGAGTATTTTGGGTCTGTGCTCATTGGAACATTAAAAAATGAGATGTGACCTTATTGAAACATACAAGATTCTTAGAAGACTTGACAAGGTCGATGTAGAAAAGTCATTTCCCTTTGTAGGACAGTCTAGGATCAGAGGGCTGCACATTTACGCCAGAGATGAGGAGGAATGTCTTCTCTGAGGAATTCTTAATGACCCAACTAAGTATATTCAAGGCTGAGACAGAGATTTTTCATCAGTAAAGGAATCCAGGGTTATTGGAATAAAATCGGGAGGGTGGAGCTGAGTAATATCAGATCAGCTATGATCTCATTAAACAGCAGAGCAGACTTATCATCTACCTATGTCTAGTCATTATCAGACTACTATATGTGGGAGTTGGTTTCCAATAATATACTAATGATTGTACTTGTGTTTAAAATTCAGCAGCCAGTATGTACACAGCAAACTGTCACAAACTTAAAAACTTAATTGGCTGTAGAGTCTTTTGTGACTTCCAAAGATCGTGAAGTGCTGTACAAGTGAGAGGTTTTGTTTTGTAACCTCGCTGTCTGCTCAAACTAGTCATTAGAGATGTACAGCATGGAAACAGGCCCTTTCAGTTCAACTTGTCCATACTGACCAGATATCCTAGATAAATCTAGTCCCATTAGCATTTGGGGTAAGGTTTTTCCTAGAATTGGCCAATGAGTGGCTACAATGCAAGTTCACCATCCGGTTGGGATTACGGGGTGGGGTGAGCTACTGAAGTTGAGACTAAACCATTCAGCGTGCTGCAAAGGTAGGGCAGTCTTGTCACTCTATTGAAGTATTCCAGCTAACAGCTTCTGCTGTCCATTGCTGGTTGACAAGGTCAGCATTCACACGACAGCAAAGGGTCACAATGAATCTTTGATCTTATAAATTCTGTGTCTGGTAATACCTCTGTCACTAACACCTGAAGAAGGACCGAGGATCTGAAAGCTTGTGTTTTCAAATAAAACTTTTGGACAATAACCTGCTGTCGTGTGAATTCTGACCTTGTCAACCAGCAACGGACAGTAGAAGCCCTTAGCTGGAATACTTCAATAGTTACAGCGGAAGATGTTCTAAATAGATTGCTTCTATGTATTGTAATGCAGTGTCATAATTTAGGAGAAATTAAATTTGAAGAAAGCACCAAGAAAGTCAAAAATTGGCAATGGTTAGTAGTAAAAAGAAATTCTGGAATATTGCTCTGTTGCCTGTGTAGATCCATGAGTTTCATTCAAACATTGAACAAGTCAGAATAAGAGGAGTCTAATGTATGACAGGGTACATGATACAATGCTTGTGATAAGAGTGTGTCTGAGCACTCGAATGGCCTTTTCTTGTTTTGCATTTTAAGGCTATCTTTCAAAATCTATCTCCCACGCCCCACACTTGCCCTGCATTTCAGATTTAAGGAACAAATGCTTCGTAAATTCAATTTTATGAAAGGATGTACACTGATCTACAATGGATTTGTAAACTTCTTGTAGTTATACTTCTTTTCAAACTGGCCAACGTCAAATTTCCTCTTACAGCCATTATAATTCATGTAGCGAATCTTGCCAAAGATTGGTCGCTCTTTCCAGCCTTGGTCGTGGATTCCACAGATTGACCACATGCAACCTACAAGAGAAGATGCTGATCAGAAATGAACAGTAACTAAGTGCCAGACTGCAAAATGTTGGTTCATCAGGAAATTGCATTTTTTGGTATTATTTGTACTTGTTGGCAATTGTCCAAAATTTCAATGCTGAAATTGTGTAATATTTCACAGATGCTGTCAAACTGAAACAGGATGACTATATTTCAGGTCAGAAATTAAAGAGGATGAGTTAACAATGTAATATAGATGCAGCATTACTAGCAGAATCAGATTTTACACCAGAACCTGTTCCTGCTGTACTTGTACCTTATTTTCATGCCATTGAAACTTCTAGATCAGACGGGAAAGCAGCATTTCCTTGGTAACACTTTGTCATATTCACAAAAATGAAACGTACGGCTTCAGATATTAGAAATTTGATTATTTCTTCCTACATCTGGCATAAATGCTGGTGTAGCTTGGACTGGATAAACGTAGTCAGGAGCAGATTTTAAATGTGTCGCATGACTTTGCCACTTTTAGGTTATGCTCTATGTATCAAAATGAATTTGTTTACTTTTGTTTTTATTTCACAATGCTACTAAGCAGCACTGGAAAATACCAGGTGATTTTCCAATCCATTAAAAGATTCCACAAATCAACAGAGATTCCCTTTTTGTAATCTTAATGTGAGGGATAGGAATTGAAGAACAGATGGTATTGGAATAACGCAGCATTAAAAGGGGTTAAAGGAACTGCAAATGGTCTATTCATTTATTTTTAAGATTTATGCACTAATATTTTATGTGGAGGCATAAGGTATGTATGCACCACCAACTTTAGATAAATATAAAAGCAAATTTGTGCTTACCTACATATCCATTTGGATCTCTGCCATCCAGTTCATAGCGATCATTCAGGTAGATGGAGAACTGTAAGGCTTCCTCAGGTGAAGCAGTCCACTCTAAAATCTTTTTAGCCCAGTACATTCGAAGAAAACCATGCATCTTCCCCTCATGGATCATCTGAAGCTACAGTAAATAACAACAAAAATGTTGCAGCTGAAGGTGCTGCACTTTACAAGAAAGGCAGCTAGGGGTGGGTAGGCAGAATAGGATTGCATGCTAATTCTGCACAAAAGAGTCAAAGTGGATTGAATGGTTTTCCTCATTTATAAATATCCTGTAACATTGCAATCTCTCATTTCTAGAACTAGTGAATATTAAAGTCTCGTGTTCAATGAGATTCACAAGCATCAGTATCTCAACATTAAACTTTCATTTGTGTCTTTCTTACTTATTCATAGGAAGTGGACATTACTGGTCAGGTCAGCATTCATTGCCTGAGGCTAATTGCCCTTGGTAAGGTTGTCGTGATCTGTCTCCTTGAACTTCTGCAGTCCACCTGGAATTTGACCCCATGACAGTGAAATAAAGGCAATATAGGACAGCATGTGGCTTGAAGGAGATTTCCAGTAATGGTGTTCCCAAACATCTGCTGACCTAGATCCTTCTAAATAGTAGATATTGCAGATTTGGAAGGTGTTGTTGAAGGAGCCTTAGTGAGTTGCTGCAGTGCATCTTGTAGATGGGACACCATGCTGTTACTGAGCATCTGTGTTGAAGGTAGTTAGTGAATGTGGTGCCAGTCAAGCAGGCTGCTTCGTCCTGGATGGCATCAAGCTTCTTGAGTGTTGTTGGAGCTGCACTTATTCAGGCAAGTGGATTGTATTTCATCACCCTCCAATTTGTGCCTTGTAGCTAATTGACAGGCTTTGGGAAGTTGAGAGGTGATGAATTACTCGCTGCAGAAACCCCAGCTTCTAACCTGTTCTTGTATCGACAGTATTTAGTTCTAGACAGTTCAGTTTCTACTCAGTGATAACTCCCCAATTGAATAGTGGGGGATTTAGTTGATGTTGATGCCAGTAGAACATCAAGCTCAAATGGTTACATTCTCTTAACAAAAAGCAAAGAAATGTGGATGCTGGAAATCTGAAATAAAAACAGAAGTAGCTAGAGAAACTCAGCAGGTCTGGCAGCATTTGTGGAGAGATAACAGTCGACGTTTTGGGTCCAGTGACTTTTCTTCACAGCTGAATTCTCCAGCTATTTCTATTTTGGTTAGATTCCCTTGTTGGAAATGGTCAGTATCTGGCATTTATGTGGCATGAGTTTTACTTGCTGTCTGTCAGCCATTGTTGGCCATATACAACAAGACCTGCACAGAGGTTGCTTCAATACCTGAGAAGTTGCAATTAAACAAAGAAAATTACAGCACAGGAACAGGCCCTTCAGCCCTCCAAGCCTGCACCGACATGCTGCCCATCACAACTGAAACCCACTACCCTTCCGGGGCCTGTATCCCTCTATTCCCATCATATTTGTCAAGACATCCTTTAAACGTCACTATAGTATCTGCTTCCACTACCTCCCCTGGCAGTGACTTCCAGGTACCCACCACCCTCTGTTTAAAAAAAAAAACTTGCCTTATACATCACCCTTAAACCTTGCCCCCTCGCACCTTAAACCCATGGCCCCTCGTAACTGACTCTTCCACCCTGGGAAAAAGCTTCTGACTGTCCACTCTGTCCATGCCCTTCATAATCTTGTAGACCTCTATCAGGTCACCCCTCAACCTCTGTCATTCCAGTGAGAACAACCCAAGTTTCTCCAACCTCTCCTCATTGCTAATGCCCTCCATCCCAGGCAACATTCTGGTAAATCTTTTCTGTACCCTCTCCAAAGCCACCACATCCTTCTGGCAGTGTGGTAACCAGAATTGGACACAATATTCCAAATGCGGACTAACTAAGGTTCTATAAAGCTGCAACGTTACCTGCCAATTTTTAAACTCAGTGCCCTGGCCCATGAAGGCAAGCATGCTGTATGCCTTGTTGACTACCTTGTCCACCTGCGTTGCCACTTTCAGTGACCTGTGTACCTGTACACCCAGATCCCTCTGCCTATCAGTACTTTTAAGGGTTCTGCCATTTATTGTATATTTTCCATCTGGATTAGACCTTCCGAAGTGCATTACCTCACATTTTTCCAGATTAAACTCCATCTGCCATCTCTCTGCCCAAGTCACCAACTGATCTATATCCAGCTGTATCGTCTGACGTTCCTCATCACTATCCACAATTCCACCAACCTTTGTATCATTGGCGAACTTGCTAATCAGATCAGTTACATTTTCCTTCAGATCATTTATATATATTACAAAACAAAGGTCCCAACACTGATCCCGGAGGAACGCCACTAGTAACAGCCCTCCATTCAGAAACACACCCTTCCACTGCTACCCTTGGTCTTCTATGACCAAGCCAGTTTTTTATGCATCTTGCAAGCTCACCTCTGACCCACTGCGACTTTACCTTCTGTATCAGCCTGCCATGAGGGACCTTGTCAAAGGCCTTAGTGAAGTCCATGTAGATAACATCCATTGCCCTACCCTCATCGATCATCTTTGTCACTTGCTCAGATTTTGCACATTCTCCCCGTGTCTGTGTGGGTTTCCTCTGGGTGCTCCGGTTTCCTCCCACAGTCCAAAGATATGCAGGCCAGGTGTATTGGCCACGCTAAATTGCCCGTAGTGTTCAGGAATGTGTAGATTATGTGGGTTTGGGGAATGTGTCTGGGTGGGATTCTCTGAGGGTCGGTGTGGACTTGTTGGGCCAAAAGGGCCTGTTTCCACACTGCAGGGATTCTATTAAAAAATATAAATACTTTGCTGGAATGTTATTGGGGTTTACAACCTTTCTAGTATCCAATGTCTTCAATTGTTTCTTGATGTCATGTGGAGTGGATCAAATTGATTGAAGACTAGTATCTGTGATGCTGCAGCCCTCAGGAAGAAACCTGAAGATGGATCATCCACTTGGCAGTTCTGTCTGAAGATGGATGCAAATGCTTCAGTATTGTCCTTTGCATTGATATTCTAAGCTCCCCCATCACTAAAGATGGACTTTCTTTTGGTTGTTTAATTGTTCACCATCATTCACAACAGGATACAGAAAGACTGCAGTGTTTAGATCTGATTGTTGGTAGTGGGATTGCTTTGACCTGTCTATTGCATATTGTTTCAGCTGTAGGCAAGTATTCGGTGCTGTAGGTTTACCTGGGTCGACACCTCATTTTTAGACATATGTGGTCCTGTTTCTGGCGTGCCGTCCTGTTCGCAATCAATCAGGGTTGACCCTCAGCTTGATTGTAATGGTAGAGTGGGGGATATGCTAGGATACCATTCCAGCTTGTGACGGAGTCCAATTCTGTTGCTATCGATGGCCCACAGCACCTCACAGGTGCCCAGTTTTGAGATGCTAGATCTGTTCAAAATTTATCCCATTTAATAGTCATGTCACATAACACAATGGAGAGTATCCTCTTGAGCAAATAGGACTTTGAATCTATTGAGAGTATGTGGTTGTCACTATAACTAAGAACTAGCATGGATAGATGCATCTGTAATATGCAGATGGATGAGGATGACATCAGTCAAGTTTCTCTTTCTTATTGGTTCTCTCACCACCTGCTGCTGACGCACTCTAGCAGCTGCATCCTTTAGTACTAAGCTGGTTTGAGTAGAGCTCCTGAGCCATTTTTGATGGGGGACATAAAAGTCCCCAACCTGGAGTACATTTTCTATCCCTTCGTGTTTCTTTCAATTGGAGTTCAGCATGGAGGTGTACTGAGTCACAGGTTAAGAGACAGGGAGACATGGTAGATAATAATTAGCAGGAAATTTGCCCAAATTTAGCCCGAGGCCATGAGATGTCAACTTTGAGAACTCTTGAGGCACCTCCTTTCCAAGTGCATACGAGTGTGTGGCACTTCTGCACGGCCTTTCCTAATGGTAGGACAGGACAATTGTGATGGTGACAGTGATCTTTTGGCCTAGATCTTCTGAGAAGCAATGATAATCATCTGCTACTTCAATTAATCACTCCCCTGAATAGACACTGCTCTTGTTTTCTCCAGGGGCATTGGGAACAACTTTAAAAGAAATTTCCAGGTAACTCCTATGTAGGTCAGCATCTAGGGACTTCTGCAAGATTACCGATGTGTATCTCACTTGTATATCCAGTTTCTAGTGATCTGGCCATTTACAACTTCTATTTTTGGAAGAAATTTGCCTCATAATGCAAGTCATGAATGTTAAAATGTAAACTGCCCATAGATAAAAATGTAGTGCTTGGAAGAATTTGTAACCCAACTAAAGAAAAATTTACAGGAACCATTGCTAGTGTTTGTATGTACCTGTGCTGCATTCCACAAAGAATCATGTGTTCGCCCATCTTCCAGTTCTTTCAGCGTATAAACATATGGCCGTTTGTCTTTGCTGTGCATTTGCAAAGTTTTCTGTGCCCAATCAGAAGCACCTGAAAGAAACAGATTCCTCTAGGGTAACCAAAGATCAGCTGTAACTATCTGCAATGTTGTTTTTCTAAAAATCGTTCTCATATTTCCTCTTTCCTTTGCCAATCATCTTCATTCCTAAGAATTAGTATATAATCAATTTCTTAAAAAATAACACAATGCATTTTAAATGTAAAATGATGGCTTCGCATTTAATTTTTTTCTAGTGCTGACTTTGAAGGGTATGTAAATTTTTTTCTAACTTTTAAAAAGAAGGCATATTGGATCTTTTTCCTTTTAACAAAGCATCTCTTAGAAATGACATAGTTCCAGGTAGTTGCTGCTCTTGTTTGTCTGAACTTACTTCAGTGAAAACACTAGACTTTTTTTAAAATGACTCAGGTTTAAGGTTGTTCTGTTTGAAGGCTTGGAGACTGCATTTGGATTTTCAATTGGTCGGGCAGGGTAATGTTTGAAAAAGACCAAGCTGTTCAGCTTGTATACAGTGTGGAGCTGAAGGAACACAATAGGCCAGGCAGCAGAGGAGCAGGAAAGCTGAAGAAGGGTCCCAACCCAAAACGTCAGCTTTCCTGTTCCTCTGATGCTGCCTGGCCTGCTGTGTTATCTCTGACTCCAGCATCAGCAGTTCTTACTATCTCTGTTCAGCTTGTATCTCCTGTTTCTGAAGCACCTTCGTTGCGAATCCAGTGTGAAACCTGATTGCCCTTTTGAAGAGTGACTGCAAGACTTCCGCTACTGTGTTTCCTGAGCAACGGTTGCCATGATCCCAGAGACTAATGTTTACTGACACTCATGTACACATGACAGAATATTTGACTGACCACCATCTGAACATTCCATACCTGGTTCCATTTGCCTGCAAGATCTAAGCCTTATTAGCCAAAGTGTGTTTTCCCAAAGTGAATCTCTGCAAAGAATAATCCATTTTATCTCTCTACTTGGTGTGTGTGTCACTGGAGTTATTTAGAGAGGAATGAACATTTATATTTTCATATTAAAAACTGTGTTAACTAGTTTGGCAGTTTTAGATATGTTTTGTCTTATAATAAAATGTTTTTGTATTTAGTAATGAAATTTGGTTAATGGATCTTTCAAGTCTAATAGAGAGAGAGAGAGAGAGCATACGATTTGCTATGTCTGGAACTTGGTAACACCATTAAATTTATGCTGTGACCCTGGAGTTGTGGAGCTAGAGAAAGCCAGTGCAATCCTCCCATCTTGGTCACAACAAATGGAAATTAATTTACAGTTTAAAAAAAAGTGTCAATTTTAACCAGGACATAATTATGATGCAGCTGATTTATTCACTATCTGCAAGTGAACAGGAGGAGACTATTGTTCTCTAGGATAAAAAAAGAATCAGAGGACTAAGTGTCACTTTCTGGCAAGAGGTGAAAAAACTGCAGATGCCAGAATCCAAGGTAGACAAACAGGAGGCTGGAAGAACACAGCAAGCCAGGCAGCATCTGGAGGAAAGGAGCAGCCAACGTTTCGGGTATTACCCTTCTTCAGGGCTGAAGCCTAATTAACAGGACTGAAGAAGGGTAATACCCGAAACGTTGACTGTTCCTTTCCTCCAGATGCTGCCTGGCCTGCTGTGTTCTTTCAGCCTCCTGTTTGTCACTATCTGGCACTTGGACAAGTGTGGAGGAAAACGATCCCATGCGGTCTCAGTATAGGAGAGACACCGGTGGAGACTGGGTCAGGAGGAGGCTGCAAATACCTTTTGGGAGCCTGGAGGAGCATTCTCCTGTTCCTACAAAAAGAAAGTGTTTAAAATCCATCTCTTGTGGTCTTTTCTTACGATCATATCCTGAGATGGTTTATGTGGCAGGGAAGCTGTCTGGTTGCCTAGTGAAAATGTTACATTACATCAATTAGACCCTAATTAACATTTCTAAAAGTTGAACCTTGTTAAAATTTAGTCTATTATGCTCACCCATCCATACTGAAACTTAAGTAAAAATTATACAGCAAGATTTCGTCCATGCAAAGCTGTTTAAGTAATCTGAATAATTATAACTGCACATCGGGACAATTGCTGCTGGGAAGATGGGGTTTAAAGGTTACACAAGTCAGCATCCTTTATTACTGGTAGTGCACTGTAGCAAATCAAAAAAGGGAGAGGATACATTATGTTCAATTCCAAAGGCTGCTAGATTAAGATTTTTAATTTCTTATTTAGCCAAATTGAATATGATAATTATAAATGTCTTGTAAAATTTAAACAACAAAAAAGCTAGCATACAGCGAGAACCCATTATTCATACTTAAGTTAAAACAGAACAATGCTACTCCTCACCTGCAATCTTGTCATATTGTTTATTGTAAAAACAAAAGTTGTCTGCCAGCTCCCGTCGTACTACAGCTTCTTCAATATAGCTGTCCACACTGTCCTTAAACTTGTTGCGGTATTTCCTTATTTCCAGAACTGCTCGCTGAACTGAAATCTGACCTGCAAAAAGAGTATGAGATACCCTCAGAATCACCAAAGCTATTACTTCAGAACTGGCATTCAGTTCGATAAACCAACATTAGTTGCCAATTCAAAATTTGAAGTTTCTAACAATCTTATTTCTTTGCATTTTCCCTGCATACCATCTCTATCTTATTGATATCATTCTAATTCAAACACATACAAATTTGGTCCTTACTCATTGTTCTATCTATATAGCTATATTCTGTTTAATTCCAACTATTATGTTTCACAATTTATGATTATTTTCCCTAAGATAAAAGATAATATGACTAACATTAAAAAATGCTAAATTAATTTGCCATGGGTCTAATTTAATTGGCAGATGAGAAATATGCATTAAAGCTACATGGATTCCTGAATAAGGTTTACACGTTATCCCTTAGATTCGTTGTCAAGCAAGGGAGAACAAAAACCAACATTTTCAGATTGGTTTACTGCAACATATGATAATAAAGAAAAAGAGTAGCAAGATTGCGGGATTTAAGAGAGTTGACTTAGCCTGGAGACAGCAGATCAGCGTCAGTAATGAAGCTAACAAGGATAAGTGAGGCAAATATCAGGGATAGTATGGTGCTTAATGTTATGCTTCTAATTCATAAAGGAGGAACAGATATCAGAAAGATTATGTTCAGATTTAATTAGTGTTGTTATTCTGCATCTAAAACAAAGCAGTTTTATAATTTGTATATGCTGTCTTCTCACTGAGGTGATACCAGTCCATCGATTTAAACAAAATAGAGTGCAGCAAGGCCAACTGCAAAAGAAACCAAAACAGAAATTACTGGAAAAATTCAGCAGGTCTGGCAGCATCTGTGGAGAGAAATCATAGTTAATGTTTCGGGTCCAGAACTGATGGTAGCTAGGAAATTGTCAGTTTATATGCAGAAGATAGAGTAGTAGTGGTGGTGGTGGTGGTTGGCGGGGTGGGGAGCGGGGCGGGGGGGTTGTGGAGGAGTGGGTAAGGAGTAAACAGTAGGTGGGGATAAAGCCCAAACAGAGCGAAGAACAGTTGGACAGACAAAGCAGTTGATAACAATCTGGCCAGGAGGGTGAATAGCTGTTAATGGCTACCAATAGATAGTGTGTAATTGCAGACTATGAGATAACAAGGCTTGGTGTGTGGGGTAAGGGGCTGAGACATGGGAGAGTTAAGGCCCTAAAATCATTGAACTCGATATTGAGTCTGGAGGGCTAAAGGGTCCCCAAGCGGAAAATGAGGCGTTGTTCTTCCAGCTTGTGCTGAGCTTCGCTGGAGCACTGCAGCAAGCAAGAGACAGAGATGTTGGCCAGGGAACAGGGTGATGTGTTAAAGTGGCAGGTAACTGGAAGCTCAGGGTCTTTTCTGCAGAACATGTATGTTCCACCCACAAAGTGGTCATCCAGTCTACGCTTCATTTGCCCAGTATAGAGGAGACCACATTGTGAGCAGCGAATGCAGTTGACTAGATTCTGGGAAGTGCAGGTAAAGTATTGTTTCACCTGGAAGGTATGTTTGGGCCCGTGCATACTGAGGAGAGAGGAGGTAAATGGGCAGGTGTTACATCTTCAGTGGTTGCAGGGGAAGGTGCTGTGGAGCTCTGGGTGGGTGTTTGGGAGTGAAGGAAGTATGGACTAGGGTGTCTCGGAGGGAATGGTTCCTGCGGAAGGTGGACAAGGGAGGGGACAGGAATGTGTGTCTGGTGGTGGCATCTCACTGGAGGTGGCAGAAATGGCTGGAGTCGGAGGATTTATAGTGGATATTAGTGGCCAGTCTATCCCCAGAAATGGAAACAAAGATGTCTAGGAAGGGAAGGGAGGAGTCAGAGATAGACCAGGTGAAAGTGAGGGCAGGAAATTGGAAACAAAATCGATAAACATATTTGCATTCTTCCTTAAATGAGGTAACTAATAATGTGTACTGTATTCCAGACGCAGTTTCACCAGTATCCTGTATAAAATGAAGCATTACCTCCTTACTTTCACATTCAATTCTCCTTGTGATAACTGGTAACATTCTCCTTGCTTTCCTACTTAGTTGCAGTCCCTGCATATTAACCTTGTTGTGATTTCTGTGCAAGGACACCCTAAAACTGTCTGTATCCCAGAGCTCTGTAATCTCTCACCATTTGTATTATATGCTGCTCTTTTATTCTTCTGCCAAAATGGATGATTTCACATTTTCTGACATGATACTCCATTTTCCACATCTTTTCCCACTCCTCTAATCTGTATCTCTTCTCAATTTATTTTCCTACTTCTCTTTGTGTCATCAGCAAATCTGACAATCAGATCTTCTGACCCTTCGTCTAATCATTTATGGAAATTGCAAGCAGTTCAGGATCTAGCAATGATCCCTGTGACATGCCACAAGTTACATCTTGCCAAACTGAAAAAGACTCGTTTATGCCTAATCTCTAGTTCCTGAAAGCTGTCCAATCTTCTACCAATACCAATATGGTACGCTGCACAATATGGACTTTTATCTCCCACAATAATCTTAGATGTGGTACCCTATCAAATGTCTATAGGAAATCTAAGTACACTACATCCACTTCCACTTTATCCACAGAATATGTGGATAATAGATGGCAATAGGCTGGTCAAATTTGATTTCCCTTTTATGAATGCATGTTGATTCTGTCTGCTTACCTTGAAGATTTATAGCTAGATAAAAATATAAGTTATGAGGATAGTGCAAGGCTGCAAAGAGATAAAAAGTCATTGAGATCTACAGTACAGAAAAAAAGCTCTTTTGCCCATTGTGTCCATACCAGTCAAAAACAGCCACTTACTATTGTAATCCCATTTTCCAGCACTTGGCCATCGCTTTGTATGCCTTGCAATCACGTGCACATCTAAATACTTTTTCAACGTTAAGAAGATTTCTGTCTCTGCCACCCTTACAGGCAGTGAGTTCCAGATTCTCTCCACCCTCTGGGTAAAAAAGCTATTCCTCACACCTCCTCTAAACTTCCTGTCCCTTACCTTATATCTATGTCCCCAATCACTGACCCTTCCATCAAGGGGAAACGTTTCTTCTGAGACCAGTATGATAGTGAAGATGAAATACTTCTTTTGAGATGAGAAAGAAGAAAATCTAAAGTTAAACACTTCCTGAACACTCACCAAAGTGAAACCATGGTGACATATTACTCAAGGCAGTTTTACTTGGGTTGTTTCTGTCAGTGTTGAAATGCTTAAGCTGCTCGTTAATGAATGACTCCATCCTAGTTAGACCTGCTGCAGTCCCGGGTTTAGCCCAGTCAACTTCCTTAACTGTACGATCCACTTGAAGGCTTGCTGCGGCTGCATCCCAATCAATCAGCTGGAAAGATAAATCCCAAACAAGGAAAGCTACAATTGACAGATTCTCGTTTAAGAATAAAATATTTAGTAAACAGGGAGAACAAGTAATCCTAGTATGCATCTATCAGATACTGTAATCACAAGGTGGTGGAGTACTGCAGTTCACTCAGGGAGTCCAAGATCCTGTGGCAATATGCACTACTACATGCATGTTGTTTTCTGGAGCTATGGTTAGTGATGGCTGAAGAGTCAAATTTCTTTCTTTCAGCTGGCTGACTAGGACTCTGTCCCACTCCTACCACCTGTTATTGTTGCATAACGGAGTGATGTACAGTTTGGTACTCCTTCTGGTTGGTCACATTATGAATAAACCTTCCTTCCATCATCATGTCCTGGGATAGGTCTCGAACCCAGAGCTCTATCTATTGCACCACAAGACCTCAGTATATAATCATATAACCCTTGATAAAGTAACAAAACCAAATTGACAGTTAATAAGATGACCATATCATTCTTACTTACCCGAATAATGAGTCATAGAGTCATACAGCACAGAAACAGACCATTTGATCCAACTCGTCCATGCTGAAGTTTCCCAAACTAAACTGGTCTGTATTTGGCCTATATCCCTCTAAACCTTTTCTACTCATGTACTTGTCCAAATGTCTTTCAAATGCTATAACTGTATGTGCATCTACCACTTCCTCTGGCAGTTCATTCCACATACGAATCACCCTGTGTGAAAAAGTTGTTCCTCAGGTCCCTTTTAAATCTTTCTCCTCTCGCCTTAAAAATACGCCCTCTAGTTTTGAACTCCCTACCCTAGGGAAAAGGCCTTTGCTATTCACCTTATCTACGCCCCTCATGATTTTATAAATCTCTCTAAGTCCACTCAACCTCCTATGCACCAGTGAAAAGTCCCAGCCAATCCAGCCTCTTCCTAAAACTCAAATCCTGCAGTCCCAGCAACATACTTGTAAATCTTCTCTGCACCCTCTCCAATTTAATAATATCCTTCCTGTAGCAGGGTAACCGGTATTGTACACAGTACTCCAAAAGTGGCTTCACCAACGTCCTGTACAATAAATCAACTAACACAACATTACACTTGTTTCAGGGGTCAAAATACATATGACAATTAATTTTAACATTGTTGCAATACCCAGCATTGTAAAAACCAATTTGTAATAGCCAGTAGAAATTCATACTGTAGATAGGTTCCTCTAAATGAGCCATACTTTGTTTCCTCTATTGATGTGGCAGAGCAAAGAGGATGACACTGAATTTGAGGGTCAGGGATTCAGTAACTAACTCTACAGCACTAGCAAGAAATTGTGCACTGAAGATAAAATTACCTGACATACCTAACGCAAACATCAAAAGAAAATTGTATGTTTATTGGAAACAGACCCTTCGCTCCAAATAGTCCATGCCAAGTATAATCCCAAACTAAACTAGTCCCACCTGCCTGCTCCTGGCCCATATCCTACCAAACTTTTCCTATTCATGTATCTATCCAAATGTCTTTTAAACATTGTAATTGTACCCGCATCCACCACTTCGTCCGGAAGTTCATTCCACAGGCGAACACGTAAAAAATTTGCCTCTGATGTCTGTTTTTTTTTAAATCTCTCTCCTCTCACCTTAAAAATGTGCCTGATAGTCTTGAAATTCCCCATCCTAAGGAAAAGACAACTACCATTAACTCTATCGATACCTCTCATTATTTTATAAACTTCTTTCAAGTCGCTTCTCAACCTTCTACACTCCATCCTGTCCAGCCTTTCCTTATGACTCAAACTTTCCATAACCGGCAACATCCTGGTAAATTTCTTCTGAACCTTCTCCAGCTCAATAATATCCTTCCAAAATTGGGCGACCAGAACTGGACACTATTCCAGAGGAGGCCTCACCAATGTCCTATACAACCTCAGCATGACTTCCCAATTCTTATCCTCAAAGGACTGAGCAATGAAGGCAAGCATGCCAAATGCCTTTTTAACCACCCTCTCTATATGTGATATAAACTTTAAAGAATTATGTACCCCTAGGTCCTTCTGTGTTCTACAAAACTACCCAAGGCTCTACCATTAATTATATAAGCCCTACTCTTGTCTGTTGTACCAAAATGCAATACCTCACATTCATCCAGATTGAACTCCATCTGCAATTTTTCAGCCCATTGACCCATTTTAATGAGCTTCCTGTGTAATCTTAGTAAACCTTCTTCACTGTCTACTCTGCCACCAATTTTGGTGTTGTCTGCAAACTTACTAACCATACCTTCTAATATTCTCATCCAAATCATTTATATAAATGACAAACAAAAGAGGACCCACAGGGATCGGTTCTGGAACAGTGCTGGTCGTGGGCCTCCAGTCAAAAAAACACCCCTCCACTATTACTCTCCGTCTCTTGCCATTAAGCTAATTATGTATCCAATTGGCAAACTCATCCTGAATCCCATGTGACCCAACTTTACTAATTAGTCTACCATGCAGAATCTTATAAAAGGCTTTACCAAAATCCAAATAAACAATGCCTATTCCCCTTCCATCAACAATCTTTTTGGTAACTTCCTGAAAAAACTCAATCAAGTTTGAGAGACACGATTTTCCTCACACAAAACCATGCTGACTATCCCTGATCAATTTTTGCCTCTCTAAATGTCCATAAAGTCTATCTTTTATAATCATCTCCAACAATTTACCCACAACCAAAGTCAGACTCACCAGTCTATAGTTGATAATCACGAAGGTGTCAATCAATTGAACCAAAGTTGTCTACATCTAAAATAAAATTCTCTTCTTTTTTTGACTAGAACCTCAATATCTTGATTCATCCATCGTTCCCTAATCCTGCCAGCCTTACCATTCACTCTAACAGGAGCAAAATGCCTCCAAACTCTCGTCATCACACTCTTGAAAGCCTCGCACTTGTCAGACATCCCTTTACCTGCGAACAGTCTACCCCAATCAACTTTTGAAAGTTTTTGTCTCCTACCATTGAGATTTGCCTTACTCCAATTAAAAACGTTTAACTTTTATGGAAGGCTTATCCTTTTCCATAACCATTTTGAAACCATCCCAAAGTGTTCCCCCTCTTTTACTTCAGTCACCTGCCCTGCCTAATTGCCCAAACGAAGGTCTAGTTTTGCTCTTTCTCTAGTAGGAGCATCCACATATTGATAAAGAAAATTTTCTTGAACACATTGTACTTCACCATCCAAACCTTTAACACTATGGTAGCCCTGTCTTTTGAATATTTTCCATACAAAGGTTTTGAAGGTAGCCAGCCTGTTTCTGAACTAAAGTATGCTAAATATCTGCCGACACAAAAATAATTTTTCATCAGACTGGCTATTAGAATGAGAAAACTGGCTTCTGGTCAAACGGTCATTTTGTTTGATCCAAATAGACTTCCAGCAAAACCCAAATGGAAATTTTGAAATACTTGTCATAATCAAAGGCACAAAATAAATTTTCACATAGAAATCTATAACATTCTAACAGGATCAGAGAGGGTAGATGCAGGAAGTACGTTGCCAATGTACAGGGGAGTCTAAAACCATGGGTTACACAGTCTAAGGATATGGGACTGAGATGAAGAGAAATTTCTTCACCCAGAGAGTGGTGAGCAATTTGCTACCATAGAAAGCAGTGGAGACCAAAACATTATCTGATTTCAAGAAGTTGGATACAGTACTTGGCGCTAAAAGGATCGAAAGGATATACAGGAAAGGCAGGAAAAGGCTATGGAGTTGAATGACCAGACATGATCATAATGAAGGATGGAGTAGGTTCAAAGGGCTTCGATTTTCTATATATGTATATTTTTAAATCTCTAAACTAGTATAAGATTGGATTTCTTTAATTAAGGCACCTCAAACAAATGTGTTCTCAGTACAATAAGAATCCATTACAGTCCAACTGTCGGCAGAAAGGATTCTTGACTAATGTAAGGGAGTTAAAGACCTTTGGGGGTCAACAGAAATGTGGAATTGAGGCCACAACCAGATCAGCCATGACCTTAGGCAATGGCAGGGAGGGCTCGAGGGGCCAAATGACCTACTCCTGTTCCTAATTCATACATTTATATGTTCATGTGTCACATATTCATCCCAATGAATGAATTTCTAATTTCTGGTAAAATCTGGGGGCTAATATTGATAAATAAAATAACATTTTTAAAATCACTATTCAAAATATAAAAGCAGCTTGCTTGTGTTGAAAATAAGTTAATGCTTTTAATAATTATACAGATTCCTTGTGTTACATTGCTGGCCTCTCAGACAGCAACAATTTTGAACCAGCACAAGCTCAAAACTACTTTGTTTCTTTTTACCACCCTTACATTCTTAATAGTGGAGTTAAGAAATAACTTGTTTCAGTATTTTTCAACATTCAACCAAGTTAATGAGCTTCGAGATAAAATATTTTATGATACCAACCTCTGCCTTCAGGGATGAGCTAAAAGGATGCTGGATAACTGGAGGAAAATCTGTCAGGAACTGAGGGAGTTTATCATGAATTTTCTTCCTGATTGTTCTGGCACTGTATTCTTGTTTGTCTGAAGCTACCCAGCAGGGTACAACATTGTGAGCATCGACCTGCATAACCGTAAAACACATCATAAAAAGAATAATGGAAGCAGTTTACAGCAGAGTTGTGAAACCTTCTGATATAGTGTTCAAGTTCCCGTTCCTCTACAAAATAAAGTGAGATTGCATCTCCAAATCAGAGGAGTATAGACTAATTAGTTGAATATTCTTTGCATAATACAGTTTTTATATATATAAAAAGTTACATCTAATTTAGTCTAGAACTTAAACTATAGAAAAATTGACTATAACACTAAGTAATGTTCACTAGATCTTGGGCTGTTCCACAGTACACAATGTATTCTGGTCACCCTGCTACAGCAATGATTTCCAGATACGAGACATGATGCAGCAAGGAGCCTGATGACATCTGAGCAATACACAAGGAAAGGTAATCGTATCTGTTTGCTTCCCCCTTTTTGTTTTGCTGAATGGACTCGGGGATGAGCTACCACATCAAGGTATTTCGGTTTAAAAGAAAAGTACATGCTTCAAAAATGGAACGAAGCTGGAGGTGTTGATGAAGCCGGAATTGGCCATGGATATTATGCTTATCTTAGATGACCGACAAATGTTCACATCCATTGTCCTGAGAACTTTATTAATTACAGCAAAGCATAAGGTTTCTGTTGTTTCTACGCTTTAGTATAACATAGTCAATTTGTCTGACTTCAGAAGTGCTGGATGAATTACTGGACTAAGAAACATCAGAAATATTGTCTTCAGCTTTTTGGAGTCAGGAATTACCGAAAATGAATATAAAAACCAAGCAGTTGCATAGCCAGATTTTAATTCAGGGCTAAAGGGACAGAGCAGCTCACAGAGCAGGAGGAAATCAGTTTGTGCAGTTGGACATAGTTGAAAGAAAGGTTTTGCCTTTAACAAGTCTGCTCACAAAAAGGCATAGATTTTGTCTTTTATTAATTTTGTCCACTTTCGAGGAAAATGAGTGAAGTAAATTAAATTTGTTGTGATTATTAATAAGCATGCTCAGTTGGTTCCTGAAAATATAGTTCCTTGTCTTGATATTTTTCCGTCTGCTATAAATGCATTTCAGAAACACATGATAGTAGTATGAGAAATATGCTATCTAGTGGAAATCCTAAAGTGGTCCTTTTGTTACATTGCTGAATTAGATAATAGGATATTACTGAATGAGCCATATGAGCACTGCTCTGAAAGTAATGTATTCAGGTCAATTATTGGAGTGACCAACACCAAAGTATCTAAGGCCTTAGAACAACTCATTGAGCCAACCAGTCAGGCACTGCCCACTCCAAATGTGACAGGGTCTGCACATCATACTTTACATTAGCCATCTCAGAACTCAAACTCAGTCAGCCGAGATCCTGAGGGACTGCCTTAGAAGCAGAAATATATCCAAAGGGAATACTCTAGAAAAAGGGCACCAACCTGCTTAATAGTTCATTTAGGTCACTTAAAATGATACAAGATCTTTAAGCAAGTGGATAAATGTACTGCAATATGGATAAATGTACTGCAATATGTTCAAGCTTTCCACATTTTCTAGAACCAGCCAGCCAGAGGGAAGATACACTGACAGTTCGAGTTCAATTACTATATATATTAGCAGGATGAGAAATGTTTCGAACAAGCACACCAGTGTCATGATATTAAAATATTAAATTATTAATCTCTAAAATCTCAATAACTAACTTCAACGCCTTGAATTGTGGGATCGAGAGAAAAACATTTTATTCTTTAATTTAACCTATTTTTCTAACCTACCTGTTCAGAGATGTTGTCACACAGCTCTGGAGAAGGTAGGACTTGAACCCAGGCCTCCCAGCCCATGTGTAGGAACGCTAGTTTTTTTTAAATTTCAAAAATATACTTTGTATATATGCATAGTCACAAACGCAGTTCAGTTCTGTACAACAGCATATCAAGGAAACAAACAAACTTTGCAGTTTAACTCTACTAGTTTTAAATTAGCTGTGACACTTTAAAATGGCTGCAAATGACACCTGATCTGAAAGCAACCAAACTAAGAGGAATATACAAAGGAACATCTAAATGCTGGGACTGACGAACACACCTGGTAAAGGCTATCCAAGAGGTAACTACCTGCCATTAAAATTCATTACCTGGAATTTATAACTCACTGTGAGCCTTCAAAAGTCTCTGCATAGGGACGGAACTTCTTAACTATAAGTACCACTGGAAGAAAGACTCAAATCTGAAATACATTATGCAAAAGAGGAGGACTGACACTCCAATCAAAGGATAACAATGGATCACAAAAACCTATCACAGTTTCAAGAAGACTTAACAAATGCAAAGTATTGACAGATTGACTGTCACAGGCGGGTTCACCCAAAAATCCTCTTGCGAATAAATACTGGAACCAGTATGTCAAGGAAGGAGACCATTTTGGCAAATAACTGAATAGAAGCTGCTGTCACAGTTTTCTCTTTAAAAGAATAAGGCATCAAGTTCCAACAGAGAAAAGCCACAAAGAACTATCATCAAGGCACTGAAAATTTTTAATAACTGCAATATACAATACAGCTGACTGCATTCAAGAAAATAGTTCACCAGCATCGGTCTCAGGACAAAAGATTCTACTTTAAAGACTACCAAAGGACCCTAAACCATATATTTTTTGATATCTTTCCTTGTACTGAACAAAAGTCTCCTTTAAACATGTTCATGTGTGTTTATATAAAGAGATTGTCAAGTGATTACACGAAAACCAAATAATTGATGTTGAGGTTTTTAAAGATATTTTCTTGGATTAACTGTTAATAAGAGTCGAAATGGATGTTCTAAATCTGAAATCAAAATAGAAATTCCTGGAAAAGCTCAGCAGGTCTGGCAGCATCAGAACTAATGAAGGGTCATTCGACCCAAAATGTTAACTCGGATTTCCCTCCACAGACACTGCCAGACCTGCTGAGCTTTTCCACCGATTTCTGTTTTTGTAGCCATTAGTAAGTATGGTTTTTATGCCACACAAGAAAACCTTGTTGATCAACTCTTCATTGCTCACAGCAAAAATAGTTAACCATGTTATTAATTACAGTGTGCACACATGAGAAGAGAGACAACGCCTTGTTCAAAACAAAAATAAGCTTTTGTTATGACCAAATAATTAGGCTGAACAGAAGGGAGCCAGTTCACCCCTTCCCACCTGATTGTAACAGCAGCAAGGCTGTGGAATCGCGAACTGTGGAAAAAAAAGAACAGGAGAATTAGATTGTTATGTCTGGTGGTTGAGAAATTTTAAGTTGTGAGACTGGGAAGAAGGACTACAAGTTATTTTCCAGCCTTTGCTTTACAGTTAAATTTTAACTATCAGTGCACCGTCCCTCTTTTGATTTGGCTCCAGAAAGTGTGGCAAACTTTTCTTTTATTCAGTCACGGGATGAGGGCATCGATGGCCAGGCAGAATTTATTGCCCATCCCTAACTGCCCAGTTTAGAGTCAACCACGTTGCTATGGGTCTAGAATCACATGTAGGCCAGACCAGGTAAGGATGGCAGTTTACTTCCCTAAAAGGACATTAATGAACCAGATGGGTTTTTACAACAATTGACCAATGGGTTCATGGTCATCATTGGATTCTTACTTCCAGATATTTATTGAATTCAAATTCCACCATTTGCCCTACCGGGATTTGAACCTGGGTCCCCAGAATGTTGTCTGAGTGTCTGGAGTATCAGTCCAGTGATAATACCATTAGGCCATTGCCTCCCCTTGAACTCATTATAGCTAAATTTAGCCTGTCACTTGGAGAGGGGAAAGCCCTGTATTACAGTACAATAGAATAAAAGGGAAGAAAACGTGCATTTACAAAAGAACATTCCTGGATCTCAGAAAACATGACAACCAGTTTGTGCACCACAATCAACCATGAGCAATGAGATACTGATCCAATCATTTTATTTTTTATGTGATGTAATTGGAGGGATAAAGCTTATACTGAAATGGCATTCTTCTGATTTTATACTCCTGCAGTGAAAGATGAAAATATTTTATGCTGTCCAATAATTAGCTCCATCTTTTCCAGAAGACAAATGTTCCTTTAAGAAATTCTGAATGAAAGATAGCAAACTGCAATGCTCCCATATGTTACATATGAACCTTGTTTTCAATGCAACATGTTTGTACTATGCAAGTTTCAATCATTTAAAATATCTCTTTTATTGAAGGAAAAGATATATATACAAACCTGAATAAATGGTATATCTTCTGGTAGGTTGTATCTCACATTCTCAATCCACTCCAGTGGGAGACGCAATGGAGAGAAATCTGTAACCATCCCTCCAATGTTGTGCTCTTTAACAAAGTCTGGCAATACATCTTTGGCGAATCCAATAAGTAAATGGAAAGAAATATTCAGCTGCTTGCATTCCTGCAAGATAACATTGGCAATACTGTCAGTGAGGGCATGATTTGATAACAGGACTCATCAAATTTACGACTACAACTTATTTTTCCCCCTCTGTTGTGCAAATTCTTTTTTCCAGTTTTCTTTTCTTGAAATTGCTAAATATAAGGAAAAAATAATTTATTTTAATCGTTTAAGTCTTATGTTAAATTTCTGGCAAAACTCCATTTAGAGGAAAAGGCCATGAAACCTGGCAGGTTACATCAAAATCTGACAGGACAGGTTGCTTACAATGAAGAATATCTATGTACCTGTGGAAGTACTACGAAAAGCAGACATATATGATAATTACGTCATAAGGATAATGGATAATTCAGATAAGAAACAATATTATAAAATATTTTAATAGCTGACTGGAAAATAATGAATATAACTTTTGTTTCTAATCACAGCACACAGTTCCAAGGAGCGGATGCAAAATATTTCTTCAATTTTGCCAACATTTGTTGTTATCTACACTTGACTGGAGGGAAAAATAATAAGAAACCTGGACTTATATAATGCCTTTCATGGTCTCGACATCCAATTGCAATTTACAATCAATGAGTTAGTGTTGAAGTGTAGTCAATTTTTGTTATGTAGGGAAAATGTGCCAATTTGCTAACAGCAATGTGCTTAGAGGCCAATTAAACTAATTGGTGATGTTAGCGGAGAGATAAATGTTGGCCAGGGCACACGGAGAAGACCAGTCCTTTTCTTTATATAGTGCCATGAATCTACAGTCAAGGGTAGATTGAACCTTGATAGAACATCTTCAGCAGTAAAGTAGTCCTTTTGTAATGGATTGAAATGTCAGCTTTCTCAAGATTTGAAAATATTGGTGCAAGACATCAATCAAATATATGACTGCATTTACCTCAGCAACCTCGTGGAGTCCCTTCAGCATGAAACCAAAATGGCGGATGGTGGCATCTAGGAATTTGGGCACCAGACAGAAGCAGACATGGAGTGGGAGTTTATGCTTAAGAGCTAGCCATTGTGCATATAAGAAAGCCCAGTTATCTGTGGAAACAAAATCACTCACAAGATGACATATGTATTGACAATAACATTGATTGGATACCACTGTAATGCTAAAAGATAGGTCAGATGTTACATTTTTGTGTAACTTATCAAAGCAGAACTGGACAATCACACCAAACCCCTTCTGATACTTTCTCTACAAGATTAACCATCCATATCACTATATAATATAGAGCTAGTCCTTGCACAGACTTTATGCATCCAATCAGAATACAAGGTAAATTTAAATTAAAAGAAAACAAAGAACTTTGGATGCTGGAATTCAGAAATAAAAACAGAAATTCCCAGGAAAACTCAGCAGGTCTGGCAGCATCTGTGGAGAGAAAGTAGAGTTAACGTTTCAGGTCCAGTGACCTTTCTTCAGACATGACTGTAGCTAACAACAGTTGGACAGACAGAAGAATGGGTAAAGGTTGGCCTCAAGGAATGCTAATAAAACCTGGGGGAATAGCTGCTAATCTGGACCATTAGTAGCTGACAATAGGATAGTTCAGGTAGCAGTTCATGATGACAAGGCCTGGTGTGTGAGGGTTGGGAGTAAGGACATGGGAGAATGCCCAAGTGTTACAGGTATTACACCTTTAGCGATTGCATTGGAAGGTGCCAGTGGGGATGTGAGGAGGTGGTGGAAGTGGAGGAGGACCAGATCAGGGTGTCCTGGAGGGAAGAAATTCAAATTTCATTGTTACAGATGAACATTCAAGTTTTTAACAAATATAAAAATCTATAGGGATCTTACAACAGAGATACTGAACACGAATTGTTTGAAATTGAAGTGTCATTCATAATAAATAAAAATTAACACCTAACCAGCAGAGAACATTGCTCAAATGAAAGAATGGGAAGAGCCTCACTAACTTTGAAGAGAATTCTCTCTGATCACCACTTTGATTCAAGGACAAGAAACAGAACATATCAGTATCAGGAGTAAGTCACATACATGTGAATAATTAGTGACAACTAATACATTCAACATACATTCTATGATAGTATGTAATAGAAAATTATAAAATCAATTGAAGAATAAAAGATTAATGATTAAACCATGTTTGGTCATGCAATTCATTTTAAGTTAATTGTTAGTCCAGGTTGTGATATTTTGTTAAAAACACTCTTCAGATGGTAAAACTGCAATGAGTGCCATATAAAATGAAAGCCGATAACTGCATGAAGATAACAACCCAAACATGCAATGTGACCTACCCTGTACTCTCTGGTCGCGGGACATCCAGTAAATAATTCCCTGAGAGTTTTCCCTGATGCTCTCTGTTTTAGAAAGGAGACGGATGCGTTTTTTGTTAAAATTAAATTCTTCCACCGATTTTGCTGTGGACAAACGTGACTTATTGATACTTTCCAACAGATTCCTTTCTCTAGAGGGAGACGCCTCAGCCTGGTCTTCAATTTTCCTCTTTTTATTCATCCTAGGATTGGACATTTCTCCCTCAATTAATCTTGGAGCTCTGTCTTCCACTTTTCTTTTTCCCTTAGATTGAAGCTTTGGGGAATCTTCCCGACAGGAGCCATTATGATTAGGTTTCTTCATTGATACTTTTGTGGATGTTTTCAGACTGTTGGACAAGCTGGAAAATGCAGTTTTCTTTTTATCTGATTTCTTTTCAATATTTTTCTTGTACTCAGAATCGTTAGCATTGCAACGAGTCGTCTCGTGGGCTTGTTTATCATTCTTAGACATGTTGCTTCTTTGTTTAGCACACTGCAGCCCCACACAAACCAAACGCCGGGGACAGTAAATTACTGACAGTCTGTGGCAAAATGATCGGCAAGCAATGCTTAATAACCTGGAAACAGTAAAAAGGAAATAGGTCTCCAAGGTATCCATCATTTTATTTAATAACACCACAGGGCTCCTGCATCTGATGTAACACTCTTCAAACTGGTCCCGTATAGCTTTGTATGTTTGGAAGGAGTAACAGGAATACAGAGTACTGGGCTAATGGTAAGATTCTTGGTAGTGTGGATGAGCAGAAAGATCTCGGTGTCCATAGATCACTGAAAGTTGCCACCCAGGTTGATAGCGTTGTTAAGAAGGCGTACAGTATGTTAGGTTTTATTGGTAGAGGGATTGAGTTTTGGAGCCATGAGGTCATGTTGCAGCTGTACAAAACTCTGGTGCGGCCGCACTTGGAGTATTGCGTACAGTTCTGGTCACCACATTATAGGAAGGATGTGGAAGCATTGGAAAGGGTGCAGAGGAGATTTACCAGGATGTTGCCTGGTATGGAGGGAAGGTCTTATGAGGAAAGGCTGAGGGTCTTGAGGCTGTTTTCGTTAGAGAGAAGAAGGTTAAGAGGTGACTTGATAGAGACATACAAGATGATCAGAGGATTAGATAGGGTGGACAGTGGGAGCCTTTTTCCTCGGATGGTGATGGCTAGCACGAGGGGACATAGCTTTAAATTGAGGGGTGATAGATATAGGACAGATGTCAGAGGTAGGTTCTTTACTCAGAGAGTAGTAAGGGCGTGGAATGCCCTGCCTGCAAAAAACAGTAGACTCACCAAGTTTAAGGGCATTTAAATGGTCATTGGATAAACATATGGATGATAATGGAATAGTTTAGGTTAGATGGGCTTCAGATTGGTTTCACAGGTCGGCGCAACATCGAGGGCCGAAGGGCCTGTACTGCGCTGTAATGTTCTATGTTCTATGTTATGCATTTTCTTACATGACTAAATAAATAAAATTGAAAATAGCATATCAACTATATTAAATACTAAAAATGTTGCAGAAGTGATTATTATTTATTATTTGCAGTTAAATTACTTTAAAATAATCAAATGCAAACAACCTAAAATGAGGTAAAAATAAAATTTTAAACTGGCAGCTTGCCTGCTATTAGGACAGTTGCAAGATTTCCAGCAGCTTGGTTGCTTCCTTTACCCTAGCTGAAGGACTGCTGGTAGGATCATGTACAAGCTTAGATAGTTTGCCTGAATCCAGTACTTTAAAATCTGACAACAGTTTCCCTGTACTTAACTTACAGATTTAAACCAAACATTAGCAATGCTGTACAATAGATTCAATTTGCAAGCTATTTGCAAAATTCAGTTTGCAAAAAGGTTTTTGTCAGGGAGGTATTTAAAACCATGGAAGTCCTAGAGATACTTCCCCGTGATATACAAAAAATGATTTGGACCGAATAGGAGGAAGGGGTCAGTTTGAAAACCACAGACAGAAAAAGAATTTTCAATGTAAAAGTATGCAGCCACCGCCAGTAAAGCAGAGCCTCGAAAATGCAGAGTTTACAGGTTCTCCCTCCAAAAAAAGTGACTTTCTAACTTTTCCTTTGTGTCCAAAAAGATGTGTAAGTCTATAGGGTTAATTTTGCAGTAATTTGCAAAGCTCCTCTATGTGAGATTTCCACTACCCTTTAAAAATGAAGTAGTTTGTGCTGTCACGCCCAAACAGCCTAGAAGGACTAGTTTTAACGTACACATTGAGCTCCTCTAATCCTTTTTTAAATCACTAATTCTATACTATGCAAGCGAATACATGCCTATATGAAACTTGACCAAATCTTTCTTTTTATGCATTTTGATCTCTATCCTGGTGAACTTAAAACAAAACACAATCTGCTGCTCTATTGCTAGTCATTGTGCAACTTCTAAGATCTGCCCTTTTGATTGTTTTCTGAAACACATTTCTCAAGCTGCTGCACATTGTTGCTCCATGAACTAGATTTCTTTATTCATTGATGGCATGAACTAGATTTCTTTATTCATTGACGGGATGAGGACGTCGCTGGCTAGGCAGCATTTATTGTCCATCTGTAAATGCCCAGAGGGCAGTTGAGAGTCAATCACATTGCTGTGGGTCTGGAGTCACATGTAGGCTAGACCAGGTAAGGACGGAAGTTTCAGAGATAAGTAGGAACTGCAGATGCTGGAGAATCTGAGATAACAAGGTGTAGAGCTGGATGAACACAGCAGGCCAAGCAGCATCAGAGGAGCAGGAAGGCTGACGTTTCGGGCCTAGACCCTTCTTCACCCTTCCCTAAAAGACATTAATGAACCAGATGGGTTTTTTCCTGACAATCGACATTGGATTCACGGTTATCATTAGATTCTTAATTCTAGAACGTTATCTGAGTCTCTGGATTAACAGTCTAGTGATGATACCTCTAGGCCATTGCCTCCCCATGCTGTATCAGCACTCTCTTATCTCGGGTTAGGAGGTTCGATCAATAAAATCAATACAGTAACAGATAAACACAGCTACCAGCTGCATCTGCCTTATCTGTAGTTAGCCTCCCAGTTTTACTTACCGGCTTTGAGCTGCCAGCTACAGGCGCTGTTGACCTGCTATAGCTGTCAATTTGCACTCTCTCTTCAATGCTGACCTTCCACAAAATTGGAATGTTGTATAACTTTTTCGGTTATGCAACTCCACTGGGCATGCGCATCAGCCCGGACACCAGCTTCCGCATGAGATCGCTGAGAGGGAGGAGATTATTGTGGTTGTTGTATGAATTTTAAACTGAGCTGCACATTTTCTTCTTAGAGAACATACGCAGCATATTCTAATTCATGTTAAATAAACCCTGTAAATGCTAATAAATACCATAAACTATAAAGCTAATAAGGAGCCAAAATAATAATGACTGAAAAATGGACAATTCAGTCACAACACCAAAACTTTTCCTCTACTGCCCCCTTTAATTACTGGCGATTGCCAACCAGAAACTCCTGCTATTCGCTGATTCTTTGTTGCAGAATAATTCAGTGCATGGGTGGACGAAATGATCGTAAATGTGGATTTTGGAGTCGCAGGAGAAACAACTGCGCTTAGTGCACGCAGCAGCCCGCGGTATCATAGCAGACACTTGTTAACCAATGCAAAATCAACTTTATTATTGTGTCGTGGCACTTGTGAGACTTCCGTCTCCAGACAGCTTTATGTCTCCGAAAAAAAATAAAGAGCGGCGGATGCTAGAAATCCGAAACAAAAATAAACAGAAACTCAGCAGGTCTGGCAACATCTATGGCGAGAAAGCAGAGTTCCGGCTCCGGTGGCCCTTCAAATGTTAACTCTGCTTTCTCTTCACAGATGCTGCCAGACCTGCTGAGTTTCTCCAGCAATCTCCGTTTTTGTTTATGTATAGGAAGCCTCAACGAATCAAGGTTCAGATAACCTACTCTAAACAAGAGAAAGAACTGCTTGCATTTATATAGCACCTTCATGGTCGAAATTGCTGGTCGTGAGTCACGTGGTCTTAAAGAAAGGCCAGGTTGCAGCCAGTTGAGTAGTTCGGAAGTGTAGTCACTGCTGGAATGTACAGAATATGTAGTCACAGAATTCAGGTCAGTTTTAGACTGAGAAGCATGAAATAAGTACTTCTTTTGAAGTATTTTGCTCATTCCTGATTGAATCACCAGCAAAAATTAAGTGCAATAATGGAAGTCTGAAATATTCGTTGAGTTCAGAAATGAGGGGGGTTCTCGTAGGTACCTATAAAATTCTAACAGGAGTAAAAAGGTTAAATGCAGGAAGGGTGATTCCAGAACCAAAGGTGTGAGGTAAGACATTCAAGACTGAGGTGAGGAAAATTTTTTTCTACCCAGAGAGTGGTGATGAAATAGCTCCACGGAGGCCAGTATCCTGTCACCAAGTCACCCTTTATTTACACGTGCACAGTACATGACACTGACCAGCTAGTTCAGAACAGGCTCCAAGAGAACAGAACCCCATACTCCTGTTTATATCTGTCAGCCAAGACCCCCTGATTGGACCAGGTTAACAGCCCCAGTCAGGGAACTCTTTATATGAGATCCACCTGACTGACCTCGTTCCAATCCCTACATCCCTCCTCTTCTACGTCCTGGAATGTTGGCCCATTCTTTTTCCTGTAGCTTCTCCTGGGGCGTTTTCACACTAAGTCCAGTTCCTCTGACTCTGCTTCAGATATTGGTGGTCTGTACTGGACCATAGCCTGCCAGTTGTGCTCGGAGCATCTTGGCTGAAATTCATCTTCTTCTACAGGTGGTAACAGCATTGAAGCTTTGACATCTGCCGTGTCCATCTTGTCCTTAGAGGTTTCCTCGACGCTAGGGTGATGGGGAGGACCCGCAGATTCTGACAGCTTGGTGGATGTTCTGAGGGCCTGGTATAAGGGGGCATGAGAAAACCTTGGCAGATAGGATCAAGGAAAACTCCAAGGCTTTTTACACGTACGTGAGGAATAAGAGAATGACCAGAGAAAGGGTAGGGCCAATCAAGGATTGTAAAGGGAATTTGTGCACAGAGCCTAAAGAGGTAGGAAGTCCTTAATGAATGCTTTTCTTTGGTATTCACAACTGAGAGGGACCCAGGCCTGATGGGATTTATCCAAGGATTCTATGGAAAGCGAGGGAAGAGATCGCAGGACCTTTGGCGATGATCTTTTCGTCCTCACTATCCACGGATATAGTTCTGGAAGATTGGAGAGAGGCAAACGTCATTGCCTTGTTCAAAAAAGGGAATTGAGATAACCCCGGAAATTACAGGCCAGTTAGTCTTACGTTAGTGGTAGGCAAATTATTGGAAAGGGCTCTGAGAGATAGGATTTATGAGCACTTGGAAAGGCACAGTTTGATTCGTGATAGTCAGCATGGATTTGTGAGAGGTAGTTCATGCCTCACAAACCTTATTGAATTCTTTGAAGAGATGACCAAACATGTGGATGAAGGTAGAGCAGTGGATGTGGTATATATGGATTTAAGTAAGGCGTTTGATTAGGTTCCCCATAGTAGGCTCATGCAGAAAGTAAGGAGGCATGGGATAGAGGGAAATGTGGCAGATTGGATTCAGAATTGGCTGACCCTTAGAAGACAAAGGATGGTAGTGGATGGAAAATATTCAACGTGGTGCTCAGTTACGAGTGGTGTACCACAAGGATCAGTTCTGGGTCCTCTTCTGTTTGTGATTTTTGTAAATGATTTGGATGAAGGAGTGGAAGGGTGGATTAGTAAGTTCGCAGATGATACAAAGGTGGGTCGAGTTGTGGATAGTGCGGAGGGCTGTTCTAGGTTACAAAGGGACATTGATAGGATGCAGAGCTGGGCTGAGAAGTGGCAGATGGAGTTTAACTCTGAAAAGTGTGAGGTGATTCATTTTGGAAGGACAAACTTGAAAGCAGAATGCAGGGTTAACGGAAAGATTCTTGACAGTGTGGAGAAGCAGAGGGATCTTGGGGTTCATGTCCACAGTTCCCTGAAAGCTGCCACACAGGTGGATAAAGTTGTAAAGAAGGCGTATGGTGTGTTAGCTTTCATTAATAGAGGGATTGAGTTCAAGAGCCGTGAAGTTTTGCTGCAGCTATACAAAAGCCTGGTTCGGCCACATCTGGAGTATTGTGTCCAGTTCTGGTCACCTCATTACAGGAAAGATGTGGAAGCGTTGGAAAAGGTGCAGAGGAGATTTACCAGGACGTTGCCTGGAATGGAGGGAAGGTCTTACGAGGAAAGGTTGAGAGAGCTAGGGCTTTTCTCTTTAGAACGACGAAGGATGAGAGGTGACTTGATAGAGGTGTACAAAATGGTCAGAGGTATAGATAGAGTGGACCGTCAGAGACTTTTTCCTTGGGTGGAGGTAGCTATTATGAGGGGGCATAGTTTTAAAGTGAGTGAAGGTAGATATTGGGGAGACGTCTTTACTCAGAGTTCTTTACTCAGAGAGTGGTCAGGACGTGGATTGCATTGCCGGAGAGGGTAGTGGAGTCGGCCTCATTAGGGGCATTTAAGCGGCTATTAGATAGGCATATGGATGATAGTATAAGGTAGGGGTGGAGGTTAGATAGACTTTAGGATTAGGGTAAAAGTTCAGCACAGCATCGTGGGCTGAAGGACCTGTACTGTGCTGTACTGTTCTATATTCTATGTTTTGTTCCTGCCACATTTGTGAGTTTGCACCTTTCATGTGGTCCATGTGCTTGTTCAGGACCGATTCCCCTACCCAAACTTTGCACGTTGAGAGACCTGACCACATGTCAACCATGCCTCCTTGCCCATGCAGGCTGTTCCCATGGTTTTGACACCAAACTTCATCCCCTGAAGTAAACTGCCTCTCTCACTTAGAGGAGTCTTGTGTCTGGTATTGACACTCCTGGTGCCATTTCACCCTTCTACCCAGGTGCAGGAAGATCCAGTTTAACCTGGTGCAGAGTGTTCTTCCCATTAGCAACTGTGCTGGAGCTGTTCCTGTTGTTGCCTGAGAGTGGGTCCGATAATCAAATAGGTTTTGTATCGAGTGAAGCTGTAGCCTGTTTCTTTAAGCCTGTCTTCAAAGTTTGGACCGTTCTTTCTGCCAGAACATTGGACAATGGATGGTATGGAGCTATCCTTACCTGCTGAATGCCATTCAATTTTAGGAAACACTCAAATTCCCTGCTGGTAAATGAAGGCCCGTTGTCTGTGATAAACACTCCGGGAATCCGTGTATTGCAAAAGATGCTCGCAATTTTCAATCATCATCCCCATGTTTGATGAATGAACTTTATGTCTGTCTAACCACTTTGAATGGGCATCCATTAGTGTACCTAAGTCAGGGTTTACTTGGCTGTTCCCACAAATATGGGGGAGCTGCTGGGGGTAATGTTTGTCCTTGTTGGCACTCTGGGCACTGCCCCACCGATGGCTATGTCAACATCCAATCCAGGACACCAGACATAACTTCTTGCCAACATTATCATTTTGGAAACCCCTGGATGACCCCGGTGGAGTTCACCAGTATCAGGCAGCGACCTTTGCTCAGGACAATCACTCTTGTTCCCCATAGTGAAATGCCTTCCTCTATGGTGATTCTGGTTGTGATGACCTTTTTGCTTTCTTCTTCACCACCAACTGTTTCATTTTGCCAGGACGGGGGATCGTTTTGTGTCCACAGTCTGATATTGCCAGCGGTGACCGGAAGGGTATCCAGAAAGTTTAAAACCAGAACGGACTCTTCTAGTAGCAGCACCACCGGTAGTGTATCTGCCAATGGGAGGCAGCTCAAGGCATTTACATTTGCATTTGGCCTCCCGGACGGTGATCCAGCTTGTAATTGTATGTACTGAGAATAAAAGCCCATCGTTGAATTCAACCTGAAGCTATGGGTGGCAGAGCTCTGTCCTCTTTTATTAGCCCTAGCAGGCATTCATGGTCCATTACTATGCCTAATTTATGTCCGTAAAGGTATTGGTGGAACTTTCTCACACTAAAGATGACCGCCAAACCTTCCTTCTCTACCTGGGCGTATCTTTGTTCAGCATCATCCGGAAGCATACGCTATTGGGTGTTTCTCTCCATTGGGCCATCTGTGAACCGTACGGGGAGACATCACGTGGCAGCAGCAGATGCTGCTTGTAGTGTGCCAACACCCTTGACAACGGTAGCTGCTTGTTCACTCCCTAAAGGCTACATCTTGGCTACAAAACCATTTCTAAGGCTGACCCTTTTTCAGTAGCAGATGTAAGGGTGCCATGTTGGAGGCCAGGTTATGCATGAATTTTCTGTAATAATTCACCAACCCAAAATAAATACCTAAGCTCCAGTACAGATATGGGAACCAGGGCACCTTTCATCACCCCTCACTT